CTTAAGGCTCTTAGATCACACTCGGGAAGATGATGATATGACCTCCTCTTCCTCCTTATCATCTTCCCCGCCTTCATCTCCTCCCTCTACCTCCTTCTAATTGGCAACGGATCATTGAAAAGCACTCACAACCTCAATTATCATCCTTCATCTAGACCCTGCATCGCGGGCGTGATGGGGAATTAAGTTTTCATGAGATGACTTCCTTGTTCAAGAGCTAGCGCTCTAATTTAGTTCGCGCCTGGTGTTGCAATACTGTCGTCGTTTACTGCTAGCTATCCCCGTTTTGAATGCATGGGTCTAGTCTGTCGCGTTCGAGGACAGTGTCTATGGAATACATTTGAATTGTTAAAAAGTTGTTTTAAAAATGCCCTGTTTCGAGAAAATTGGTGGATTTGTATTATGCTAATACGAATAAGATCACCAACTAAAAGAATGATTCATTCTAGGCATAATAATGCATTTTACTTTTATGGAGGTTGCGGTACATAAACAATTATTGGCTAAGTTTGGGCTATCACTTCTATATTTCACAGAATGGAATTAGTCAAGACAAGTTAAGTTTAATTTGTTTTGCAATATCCCAACAAACTAACTACTAAGGATTAATGTTACCCACAGGTTTGTGCTATTGCAGCGTTCTTCATCATGACTGAAGAGAGAATTGAATTGAATTGAACATGTGTCTGAGATAGACAAATGGAGATTGACAGTGATAGAAAAAGAGAGGTGATGAGAGAGAGGATGATTGTAGAGACAGAGAGAGAGAGAGAGAGAGAGAGAGAGAGAGAGAGACAGACAGAGAGAGACAGACAGAGAGGAGAGGGAGAGATGAGGAGGTAATCAGCGTTTATTTCAATGTCAACATTGAAGTATACAACTTGACACAAGTATACATGTAGATTTTCCATCAGATAAAAAGGTATTACGAAGCATGGTTTATGTCCTCCCTGGTAAGTATATCCCAGGTTGCTATACAGAACAGTCTCAAGCTACAAGTTAATAGGGTGTAAACGTTGCTACATTATTGCCCTTTGTTATGCAACAAGGATCTAAAATGTCAAGGAATGTTTGCTTCCTATCACTTATCTCACGACTCATCAAATTTACCTTGTAATAAAAGGGTAATTACAACCATGTAGCCCATAGTCGGTAAATGCCAAGCCGGGATGCCAAGCCGGCACCTTTTAGACTGACGTGGAAGAGTATAGTTATGAAGTAAAAACATTTCGATCGTACGAAGATGCAATGTTGTTCAGAATATAGATACAGAGTTGATTGTTATTGATAAGGATAATGATACAGTTATGACACTACATATTCTTGCATTTGAGAAAGTTGCGAGGATGATTATAATTCCACGACTTCAAGCTACCCCGACTAGAGATGCGTGTGTCATGTTGAGCCGTTGTGAGACTATTTTTATTGAAACGGATGGATTAAACTTACGAGTTGTAATTTTTTTTGCTCCCTTGACCATTTCTTTTGACGAATTGTAATAAAAGACGATAAATAACTTTTTGTTTAGCATTACCATTTTGCAAAGATATAAATTAAAAACAGTGAGGCACCCTTATTTCGAGGTAGATATTATGTTATTATAGAAAGAGGAATGACTGAGAATCACCATTTTTTCCTAAATTATATCATACAAAGTGTATGCACCACAAATTATTGTTTCTTTTGTCGTCATATCAAACCATGATACACACGACACAAGTGCATAAAATAAAGGAGTTATACTTTTAAAACGTAGAAAAGTAAAGGTAGTCATATAGAAATCCATCAGCTCAGTCATAGAAGCAATCCATGGCTACGAATCAATGCACTATTTCTGTGAGCTTCACTGCTGATGCTTTCTATTTCCAGCAAATCAAAAATGGCGCCCGAGCTCGGACATCGCGCAGACGGTCAACTACGTGGGAAATTACTCTGGCGCCTTTTTTGTCGCCTTTCTAAACTTTCAGTGCACTACGGGGACGGATTTCAAATACCATGCCTTCCAATAAACAAGCGATCACGTTGATGGCTTCTTTTTCATTTCGATTGAGTTGTGATAATCTGGAAGTGTAATAAAAAGGGAGGAATTTTTGTGAAATAAAAGCGGGAAAGAACGAGAGAACGAGAGAGAGGAGAGAGAGAGAGAGAGAGAGAGAGGGAAAATACTCTTCATTTCGTAAACTGGTTTTCGCAAATTCCATATTAGTTTCAAATCGAACGTATTCTGTCGGAAGCTAGTGTTTCAAACATTTCTCTTGTCTGTTTTCGATACGCCCTTTCATAATATACAACTTTCTCTTTAGATCTTTGGAGGCTGTGACTAAAATAGTTTATTCATATTTGTGAAACGTTTCTCTCGCTCTTTTGCTTTCTTCTCTCATCCTCCGCACCCTCCCTTTTTTTCTCTCTCTCTTTATATTCCCATCCACTCCTTCTTTGTCGCCTCGATTGAGTAATTCTCTGCAATATTCCACCTTGAAAATGGCAATCTAGGCACTCCCCCAACCATGTGAACTAAAACAAGGCCATGTCTTTGTGATGTTTATGAGCCAGCGATGATTAATCTTTCTTTCTCTTCACGACACATACCCGAATTTGATATAATGGTTCTGCATGATTAGTTATTAATACACAGTTTCATCATTAATTATGTCTGTTGCTGCTGAATCACTTCATTGATAAATTGAACCCTCGGCAAACCTAGTTTATTAATTATTTTAATAAGTGTTTACAACTATACAGTGTGTGACAATAAAAGTCACTTTATCTGCCGCTTTTATTATGTATGTAACTATTTGCCTATTATTTTGGTAAACGGAAAATTTAGATCTGATCAGCAATGTATTATGAAAGCATTTTTTGTAATCGTTAATCCATATAATTTACTCATAACAAACGATATTTTCCGATACAGAATTACAATAATAACGACTCTCTACGTTCATGAACTGACAAATAGCCTTTCACTAGCTCTAACAAAATTTTCATCAGATTTCTTTCACTGATATAGAATACTGACTACATTCAAACTCATCTCGAATTCGACTTCGAACATTTCTTTATCCGATAATGAATAGTGCACGCGCAATCACCAAAGTACTATTTTCGCAACCTAGTTTCATGACACACCCTATACCGTCCCTTGTGCCAGAGTATATTTCCCTGCTTTCAAAGGCCATCCCACCAAAAACGCAATAATCATCCAACCCGAACGCCTATTGTTCGACCCCGCATTATCAATTTTTTAGCTAATTGATATTAGGCTGCATGACCGCGAATTTTTGACTGCACGACGGAGATGAGAAAATGATGATAATACGCACCATGCGTTTGCACTTTTCAAGGGGTCACCGAGAACACGTTATAGTCTCGGCACAAGTCATCGGTTTGTGGTAAACTTGTGCTAATTATCTCTTTGTATCAAGATGGCTTCCAGAGGTGGTACATCATGTTTCACGGTCAGTTCAGTATTGTGGGGAAATATTTCAAGAATGCATGTGTTGATTGGGATTGTCATTGCCTCATTGGGCAGATTGTACTGAACGAATTTGCCGTTTCCGGCATATCAAAAAAGAATTAAGCTTACAATATCATTTTAATATGAAAACGAGACACACGTGCACATTGTATGGTTTTATATTGCTGATTACGATCACCATTGATTTCCCTTTTTACCATGTCCTAACAAACTATGAGAAATTTATAAAAGCATTATCCCGAGGATGTAGGCCTACACACTTTTGTGTAGAGGTCAGAGTTAGGGATTAACAAACAAACAAAAACACAAAAAAGAACCCATAGCAAGCCATGAATATAACTTACTATCTGCCTGTATCTTGATGTATCTTCCAGTACACTCTCGTTATCCTTCAAATCCCCTTTTTAACATGTATCATCCATCTCTTAAATTTGTCTCTCCCTCGGCCAATAACCCCCCCCCCCCCCTCTCTCTCTCTCTCTCTCTCTCTCTCTCTCTTTCTCTCTCTATTTCTCTCTCCCTCTCTTCCCTATCGATAGTATTCTCTGGCATATTTTCTCCCTCGCCGTCTCGAGAAAATCCGTTTCTTCATTTAATGAATTTCAAGGGGTGGGGTTACCCCACCACCCCTGGCTACGCCCTCCTGTAAAACAACACCATCCCTCTCCCTATCTCGATATATATAGGCGAGCTTGTCGACTCCCCGTGCGGGCCCGTCGCATGTCATGTCCTATTACACTCCCCGTTGAGAATACACGTCAGCACGACCGGGCGAACAAATTTACTCCTTTTCTCGTTACAGTATCAACCTTCTCCAGCCATTTTTTATTTTCCTCTCATAAAATCAACAGACTCTTTGGCTTAGCGGCAGGTGGGGATAAACCATTGCCTTCCATCTCTACTAACCATCTCACAGCAGTGTTCTTTTATGGACATTTTTGTTTGATTCGTTGGTGCCGCTTCTTGACCCCATCAAAATTTTATACCTGCCCATAACCTCCGCAGACGAGTATACGACTCGGGTTTATTATGCGGTGTGAAATGGTGACTCACGAGACTTTTTTTATACTCGTTCAGGGGCCGAGTGATTCCATCAATAGATCGTAGCTTCTACCCCTTGATGGCGCTATTTAAAAAGTCCTCTTTGGGGGAACAGGATGCGGATAAACCAGTATATCCACAGATGTTTTATCCCGGTGTTTGTCTAGTAGTAAACAAATAAATATATTCAATTTCTTATACTCAATTTAATGTCGGGAATTATTTTAATGCAATACAACATTATAATGTAATTCTGACAATCCATTGGCAGAGCTTGCTGATACTCGTATCAAATTGTGGCCTTTAAAAGGCCTAACAAATTACCAATCCTTTTAATCAGACTGTCTATGCTTGATCAAATTAACATTATTTTGACATTTATGAAATTGTCTTTTTAGGGACGTGATTGCAAGTTGCCTTCATCGTGTTGATTGATTTAAAGTCTTTGTCGAGTCACACCCAGCATACTAATCAGGAATATATAATTGTTCTTTAATTGCAGAACACCATGCCCGCCGAAACACAGGAACCTTCGACATCCTTCACACCAACTGGTATACCGATGAACTCTACAGTTACGGAAACAGCCGAATGCAAGACGGGAGTCTATTCCACTACCGGTGAATGTTGTGAAGAGTGTCCGGACGGCTTCGGCGTTCATCGACAATGCTCGGACCCCAACGCCACCAACACGATCTGTACCATCTGCGAAACAGGTATGACGTACTCTTCCGTCACAAGTCACTTGATGCCATGTCAAACCTGCACACGATGTAGCCACAACGAAGTGATGACGTCATCCTGCAGCATCATGCAAGACACAGAGTGCGACTGTGCGCCGAATTATTTCCGAACGGACCCACAAAGCGGCGTTCCGGCTACAGGGACCGCCTCGATGTGCAGCCAATGTATGTTCTGTCCTCCTGGGTTCGGCGCGGCAGTTCCATGTTCGCCTCGACAGAGCTCGAGGTGTGAGCTTTGTGAGAATGGAACCTACTCGGACATCGTCAGTTCAACTGAAGGATGTAAAAAGTGTACAGTCTGCAGAGAAGGCAGCATTGTACTCAAGCGGTGTACGGATATCTCAGATACTGTCTGTTCAGGTAGAGTCATACTTTCACATTTACATTCTGGTTACACCGCCGAGACCGACACCAGACCGACGCTATATAAAACGAATAAAAATTGCCATTCGCCTGAATGGGCAAAATTTGGTGGAATATAAATCGGTATGGAGGTGGTGTGACTGCGCTATGACATACACGCAGGGGCGTACGCAGGGGGGGTGTTTTGGGGGTTCAAACCACCCCCCTTTGGTATTTAAATGTATGTAAACCCCCCTAAAAAAAACCTAAACCCCCCCCTTTGGCTTTTTTTTTTTTTTTTTTTTTTAAAAAAAAAAAAAAAAAAAATTATACCCACGGCTAACCTAAATAAGGTGACCTTACCCTCCCCCCATACGTAAAAAAATGTCAAATTTTGAAATTTGAGACCAAAAAAAAAAAAAAAAGTGTCCGCTTACCCCCCCCCCCCCCCCCCCCCCCCCCCCCCCCCCCCCCCCCCACTGAGCGACTTTTCTGCCGGCTGAGTCGTTGCGATTTTTTTGGCCTCCAAAAAAAAAAAAAAAAGTGTCCGCTTACCCCCCCCCCCCCCCCCCCCCCCCACTGAGCGACTTTTCGGGAGCAAAATATTTTAAAACCCCCCCCCCTTGAAAAAATCCTGCGTACGCCCCTGCATACACGTTTCCACTTTAGTGGCAGGAAGCAAACTTAATGATCCATCAAGTTTTCAATTAACATGATTAAAGAAATGATTTAAGAAAGGGCGATAGACAACTTTAGAAAGAAATCATTTTATACCAATCTCGGATAAAAATGAAAAGGAATGATCAATCTAAAAATGACAGCAAGTAGAGTCAACGCAAGACAATCATCTCTCTTTAATATATATTCTTTCGTTTCATAATATTTTGCGTGTGCTTTGTGAGGGTTTTCCTCTACCGTATTCACTAAAATCAAACTATTTCAATTTCATTTTGTGTTTCCTACTTCTACACAGATACCTACATACCAGCAGTGACGGACAGACCAGAGAACGATGGTATAACGACGACGGCATGGATCCCCAGATCGAACAGGACATCGTCAGGTTTCAGCGTCGTACCCATCTTCTGTACCCTTCTCGGGCTCGTCATCTTCGGTCTGCTCGCTTACGTCATCTTCAAGAAATGGTCGTTTAAGAAGATGAAGCTGAGACAGACTCAGAAAATGACCAGGTGGGTTGGCGTGTCAAGAACTTATGAGAAATCTTGATAAAATTGAAGGAGTTTCAGATCCGTTCGCTACAGCTTGATTTGTCACGGATGTTTTAATACAAGTCAAATTTCATTCTGCGACAGTTATGATATACAGAACTGAAATAAGGAATATATTCAACATGTACAGAACTTGTTTAGTAATGACACACAAAATTAATGACTGTTATATATCTTCAAGTTTGGTTGTTAAAACTTAGAACTTTCTCCCATATTGTCGACTTTGAAATTTATCCAGCCCTGTATCCCTCATATACGGCCCGTCCGAAGGGGGAACACGAGGAAACCTATTTACCAAGCAACCATTATTCGTAAAATGATTACGTTTTTTGTGTTACACTTTGATTTGTTTTAAACCAGGTCTAGCTCGTGCCATACCGATATTGAAGGAAACACAATCTCTATACTCTCACTGAAGAACGGTCAGAGCTATGCATCAAGAGACTCGGCCCTAGATCGGTCAGGTGTAGGCAGTATCTGTAGACAGCCACTCATGGCAGGTAAGGCACTAGCATGATATTATAGCCAGTAAAGAAATTAATAAACTTGTCTTGTTAAACCCCAAAAGGACTGACGCCGAATGATAATTATAATTGTTCTCCCATGAAACCAGAATCAATATAGCCCTCACCCCACACAAATCAGATCCTCCAAGCAAATTTTAGGTATCAAGGTCCCCTCCTTGCTTCCCATCGCCGATTTGTTGAACGTTCTAGAGGGTGTTAAGTCTTCTATCCGGCACCCCTCCACCCCTCTTTACTTTTCTCTCTACCACTATCTCTCTTCTCTTCCTCGACCTCTTTATCTATGTAGCCTGACATTATTAATATTATGATATAATTATATGTTTCGTCTGGTTTTATTTTCAGTTCCGAGTGCGATGCCCTACCAGCAGCTACCTTCAGACAAACGCTACGAAGTAGAACGCTCGCTCTCGGTCGCACGGATGGACGGCCGTGACTGGAGAGGTTTGGCCCGGGAACTAGGATTCTCAGATCTAGACATCGTTCACATCGCTCAAACGTGTACAGGATCAACACCACCCGCCAGAGCTATGCTCATTTCATTGCATAGCAGAGATATCAAACGCGCAACCGTCGGGACGCTCGTCGAAGCGCTTAGGAGGATACGACGAAATGACGTTGCCGATTTAATACCCATCTTCACGTATAGTGCTTATCACTTTCCAGGATCATGATGTCTGCTGCGAAAACTATTTTTAAAATGTAGAATGGACTCATTGTAAACAATGTTACTCTTTTGTATATATAGGTTACAGGTGGGTTATTTTGTACTCCAATTTAAAATATTGATATGTACTTGCCAGGTAGACGAAGACTGACATTGCACCAAATTCGAAATCACAAATTATTGAGTAGTCGCTTCATATAACTTTTGTAACCCTTAGGCCTCCAGTATACTATAAAAGATACACAATCTACATCGATAAAGTGTTTATTCTACAGCATTAATAAGAATTAAATCTTTCACTATACTGTTGCTTGCTTTATTACGTTGCCTTGTTATTCTGTCAGAATAAGCATTGTTTTTGTCAGGAGTTTGTTAATGGCAGCGTTGGACTTTTATACATAAAAGTTATCTTGTGGGGCTTCCCCGAGTCGCTTTTGATGTTGGTAGGGTCTAATAGTGTCGAGACCCTTTACTTAAAAAGAACAACTCTTATTAATGCGTTGTAAAATACATCTAAGTGTACACAATATTATTGTTCATTATGATCGGCACTTGTATAATGTTCAGTAGGGTACATCATACCTGGTAACTCATCGTAGTGTTTAAAAGTCAAAGAAGAGAGAAAATGAGAATCATTCATTTTGTATTGAAACATTGAATATTCATAATTACATTTACATGGTGCAATCTCTTTAATTCTTTAATGTAAATTCTTTTCTACATAAGCCCGTATTATGAAGACTATAGTGATACCTTTCAAAGATTGCTTAGAAGAAGAAGACAAGTTTTCAGACGCACGATATAACACTTTTCTTGTGGAATTGTTGAACTTCTGGTAGATCATTTTGGCAGCACTTTAATTTGTAGGGCTGGCCCCTCATGCATTAAGTTTGATTGACTTTCATCAATCATTATAGTGGGTGCCTGAAGGAGTCGTGTTTTGCTTATGAGAGTCTATGTGCGGGGGGGGGGGGGAGAATGGGGTGTGGTTACATTTTGTCACGTATTTATGAAGGCAATGCCATAACTGCCGTTAGAAGAAAACAAATGTAGTTTTGACATTTTTAACATCTTATAAAAGAACTTGATAGCGTAAGGTTTTATATGCGTTAGCAAACTTGTTAATAAATCGTCTGCAATGTATCTCTATCCATCATAACTGGGAAAATAGTAAATATCAGAGACACCTGTTGACTTTAGATGTAAATTAATATTCATATTCAGGCGAGCTAACATTTGTAATCATAGATCGATGAATGGCGTCAAAACACATGCAGACCACCTCGTTGTCCAAAAGACATTTAAGCTAATTGTATTACAACTTTCTTTCGATCCGTGATGAATTACATTGAAGGTGCTGCTTTTCTAATAAGTAATAAGTAAACAATTTTTAACCTTGGCGTGTATACTATTTTGATGAGTGTGATCTTTTTATCCCAAGTAATGTGGCTATATTTATTATCCTAATTATTGTACTATTTGTTGCGATGTCTGAGAAACATTTGAATGTTTACTTGAAATAAAATTGGGAGATTATCTGTAAGCATGGAGAAAGAAGAATGTATGAAATATGGATACTAATTATTTGATATAATTTGTCAAGTGCAGTGTAAATAGTATCACGATTTTGTATAAAGACATTGACATAACAAGAAAAAAGCTAGTATTCGTGTTCATAAACTACGCGTCGAAATGTTCGTTGAAATCAAGTTTATATATAGAGCATGGCGAAATATATGGATATAGAAAGAGAGAGAGAGAGAGAGGGTGGGGGAGAGAGAGGGAGAGGGAGAGAGAGAGAGATATGGAAGAGACATGGGTATGGAGAGAGGGATGAGAGAAATAATTTAATAGAAATAAAGAGATAAAGGAGAGACAGGCAGACGAAGAGTGAGGGACAGACAAAGAGACATAAAGAGAGAGAGAGAGAGAGAGAGAGAGAGGGGGGGGGGTCATGATGTAGAAGAAGCGTAGTTGATGGGAAGGGAGACGAGTGAAAGAGGAGAGTATAAAAGGCTATATGTACCGAGATTTAAACTAAATTTAGATCGAAAAGAAAATGGCCAAGGAAAGGCAAAATCGTACATTACAGACTATGAACGAACGAGACTTCACAGAAACTTGGTACACTTCAATATGGTCTATTTAATCATTACTAATTAGAATCACAAATAATCACAATCATGCATACTAAATACATACAAATGAAAGCAAAATATCAAAGGTGTATGGTACAGTTTAGTGACCTCTCAACAATATGGTCAGATCTCATAATACATCTGATTTGTTTTACAAGAGTTGAGGTCGAAAAATAATGTCTTATAATGTTTCGTCCGATCACCATCGCTGAGTCTATCCATTTGATGGAGCATAATTTGTCCATATACGTCCTGTAATGGAAGAATAACATAATTTCATCAATTATCTTGCTCACAGAAAATTAAGGATAATGCGTCTAACTGATTCAAAGGTAAAATTCCCAATGTCGGACCATAACTTTACAAACGACATTATACTTCCCTCTTTTACATCCTATGTTAACAAATTGGGACGGATGGATACGGACGAGAACAGGTGTATTCTCGAATAATCAAGTAAATTGAATTAAACGACTTTTAGTATGAAGCAAGACTTGTTTCGTCTTGTTATACGAATACAGTGAACGACTAATCGCGTTACCAGTGGCGGCGATCCCGGTGGGACGGGGAGGGGGGACACGTCCCTCAGCAATTTTGTTTAGGGGGGGATCGTCCCCCCCCCCTCAAAATTTGAAAAAGTGCAAAAAAAATGTATTGCAAATACTGACTAAAGACTGCAACACACTTTTAGGCTCTGGAGGGCCCACGAGTGCAGCGTTTAGACAAATAAAAATGCAAAACTTCTTCACACTCGGTAGCTGCGCTCCCTCGCACAATATCCTACAAATGTACAGGTAAATACCGAGAAAATTGAAGTGTGAAAAAGGTGACCTGCATGCCAGTGCCACAAATAAGGTATCAACATATGCACATCTGACCGTAATTAAATTCCTAAATCTCCTGGGCTTTGGGGGGGGGGGGGTCTCCGCCCCCGGATGCTCATCTGACCTTAATAAATTGCTAAAACCCCTGAGCTTCATGAGGCTCCGCCATTTGACACCTGCCGGGGCTTTGACCCGGGACCCCACGCCAATTGACGCTCCACTTTGCTTTGCTTTGCTTTGCTCTACCTGATCGTAAATGCTTTAGCCCCCCCCCCCCCCCCCCACTTTGAAAAACGTTCCCAGGGCCTGCGTAACATGGAAGAGTGGAGGTCATGCGGATTTTTTCTGCCCCCCCCCAAACATTTTTGCTCATTACGCCACTGCTCCCTCGTCCCTTGCATTTCGCCCCCCCCCCCCCCCCCTCCGGTCATGAAAAGAAATCGACGCCCTTGCGCGTTACATCCCAAGATAATTCACTAATACCTTTAATGAAACTCAAGATGCGATTGGTTATTTTAAACAATAGTATTCTTACCTTACTTGTCGATACAGCCGCCCTGGATAAGAAATAACAAAGTAATAATATCAAGCTAATCAAATCGTTTACACATATAGGTAAGATACAATGAATGAAATACGATCATATGATTTGTAGCATATAAAATAATTTAGATATTTTGTTTCACGTTTTTAACTTCATAAACCATTACATGTTGAACTTTGTGCAATAACATTTCAAGGATAGGTTTAATGACGACCCCTTAGCCTGAAAGAGATAAACTCTTACTAGGCTATAGTGGTCAACTAATTACATACATTTAGGCATAGTTAGTTGACAACTAGACTGCGTAAGGTTGTATGCATATGGGCCCTGGTCTATTGAAAATATAATTTTGTAAAATTTGTTAAATGACCCATTTTTTTAACAACTCAAAAACTAAAAGATCCACACGCGCAAAATGTGATAATGCAAACTGCATGCATCACTTGCTCCGTCCATTCCATTTATTTCAGTATCGGTCACTCTATTTCATACAGACAATATTTTTGCTAATGATGATCCGATTGTTATATTATACATTAAAGGAACATTAAAAATATGTACTCGACAAGAGTTTTAGAATACAAGAAAAACAAAGGAAGGTTATGAAGGAGATTTAACTTACCGTCAAGCAATTTCTGAAAAACAAAAAATAAATTGAAAATACGATCAAAATAATATGTTACATGTGAGCAGAAAGGTAGGGTTAACAATGTTACCCTAAACACCGTATCCTTCAGAAAATTCGTTTCGATTTTTCTTCATAAGAATGCTGATGAAGCCTGCTTTTTTCCAGTGAAGTGTGTATTAGTTTATTACATTAATAAAAACTCTTACCATTATGAAGTGCATGATAAACTTTTACGTTATCCTGTTACTAAAGTATGATGGTTTTATATCTCGTATACTTTGCTTGTTTATATCAATAAATTCAATTTTTACTTCAAAACTAATTTTTGTTTAATTTTTGTATGAGAAAATACTTTGAACTATGTTATGAATACAATATGATATTCTATTGATCAAAGGAAAACATACAACTTACCCCTCTCGCTGAAGAATATATCCAGTGCAGGGTCCATATATTCCCTAGAAAGGTTAACAAAACAAATAGTAAATGACTTGATTATGGTGGGGCTTGGTTACGCTATGAAATGACATAAAACAGATAGTGTTATATCTATATTTCAGACGGAAATGTCGCTTTACAGATTAAAAAGTATATTGCCGGAAAGTATAGTCTTTGGATCACCCATTTAGTTACAGCAGCCGACTCTTCAAGATGAAGAAAAGAGAAAGAAAATATATTTCTTTTATTTTTCTTGCGTATGTCTCGTGGCCTGTCTACATAGGAGAGTAGTGGTAAAACACTCAACCGTCTGGAGGACAAGCTTACACGGGTAGGCGTACACAGCATTATTAACCCACACAAAAATAAATGAGGGGGGGACCAATTTTAAAAAGAAATTAATGATAAACGAAGATTATGATTGTTTTCAGTTCAAAATATCTTTGCATATTTTAGACACATTTAAGATTGGGTACAAAGTTTGTTCATAAATTTCGTATTCTGGAACATAAAATTTCTTGAAGGGAATGTTTCAGGAAAGCTTGGCGAGGGGGGGGGGGGGGAGGGGCACAATGGAAAGTGATTAAACTCGGTAAACGCCCTTTCGGAGAAGGGCCATATTCATTTCTCGTATCCTCGATACTCACTTTGTATGCTCCTGTTGTACGGTTTCACTGATTGGGATGTTATCATCAACACAGATAGATGATTGCAAGCCGGAAATCAAACTGGAATAGTCGGACAGGAAATCATTGAGCTTGGATGACATCGCTTGAAGGGTTTCTGTGAATAAGGAAATGGATCTTAAGTTTGTCAGAATAAAGGCCTACATTTTAAATCAGCTTAATCAACAGCACCTCGCATGAATTCTCTCAAGTATGACAAAACTGACAACCATCTTAAAATCAGGTCACATTAACATCATAGCCAAGACAGTTGTAGTAAAAGATAGATCCATTAACAAAAGGACTTTGCGGCTTGATTAAAAAAAGTTTGGTTGGATTCTGTTGTTACGATTGAAAGTAAATTAAATAAGTGCGACCAAATCAGACCGAAAAATACTATCCAACACTTATTATCGAACAAAAAAGATATCAATTACTCTGGTCCATCTCGTCGTTGACGAGGAGGTTGTTGACGTATTCGATGCCGTGAGCGAGCAGGGTTGCTGTGTCGATGTGAGACTCGATCTCGTCTTCCTTTGACATCAGATAGGTGATTGCCGGTGAGTACTTTGGATCATACTTAGCCTTGCACTCATAGATGACCGTCACATCGACTGTAAGAATTTGATAAATACTGGAGGTTAGCTATACGCAGGTAATTTTTTTTGTTTTGTTTTGTTGTTTTACATTTTAAGCAGCATTGGGACAGGTATTATTGACATAAACATGTTAAAAGGGAAATAAAAAGGCTTTGGTTGGATCTACTTGTGAATGGTTTTTGAAAACACGAACAAACAAATTTCACTGACTTGGGTAGATTTCTTACTGAATCAGTCGGAAGAAAATGAGGACGCTGCTTTTCAAATTCAAAATAGCATCTTTTGGTTCATTCATTTTTTGGTCATAAAGATTTGTAGGCAAAAGAATGAGAAAAAAACTCACTTTTTGGAAATACCACACTGGGAATAGTGACGTCAACCTGAACTGCAATGCTATGAAGTCTTGACAACTGTCAACAAATGGAAAGTGAACAAAATAAATCTAAAATTGCAGTGAAGGTAAAATGAAGATATGAATTAATTCAACTAAACCGAATTTAGCCGAAATTTCGATTATTTATCACGGTGTTGATATCGGAACAAAAAATTATAAAACAATACTTTATTTGTTTTCTGTTTATCTTCTGACTAGTGTAATTCGTATTTTGGACGAGAAGGGTACACAAAAATAATGACCTCTGGGTCGTCATGTTTGATACTCTACTCTTAAGCATACAGCTTGAATGAAAGAAAACAGATTTTAGATCTGTAATAATACTCAAAATAAAAATAATAAAATAATTTAAAATTGAAATATAGATTACCTGTAAGTCGAGCGATGACAAAGCCGACATCAAGGGCGAGAACATATCGACGATAGCCATGTGTGAGACGCTTTGAATATACATGGCACTATCTGAAATCTGGTCGTTCGACTGGTCGTTCGACTGTGATTCGGAGTGCATGCCGCCAGTCGACGTGATGGGGCTGCCTTCGACCACGGCGATGACGATGCACAGGAGAACGAGTACGAATTTCATCTTCTTCGGCGTGTCAACTTGTTGAGGGGAATAGTCAAAAGTGTCGTTTCGAGATGGAGACTTTGCCTTCCTTGAAACTCCTTTAAATACTTCTGAAAGCGAGCGACGTAGGGATGGGAATTTATATTACCTTGGCAATTTGGAGGACGTTTCCGACTGGAAGCTGGTGTGAATACAATAAGCTTCAAACTCATTTAAATGTTATGCAGAATTTTGCCGAAAACAAATTACTGGTTGTGTTTCAGACCCATTTACTAATGTTATGCGTACTTTTCGAATAAAAGTTTCTCTTGACGACTGAAAAGCTGATAAGACATTTGTAAGACATCGCGACAACCAGTGCAGTATGCAAAGTGAATTCAATCCATATGCCTTTATATGCAATAGTGCATAGGAGACGAATCAAATAGTTGGCAACCAGGGATTCAGGAGAGAAAAATGCATAAATTTAGATAAATTAGTAAAGTGATCTGTATGCAAGCTGAATAGAGTACCGAAGTGTGACGTATAGCCAAGTTGTCAAGGTAGTTGCTTTCAAATTGTTGTGCTAAACAATCTTGTATCTTGTCTCTCTCGAAGAAGCGCTATAAATTTGAATAAGCTGCGCTATGCAACAGGCATTTCTGAATACTAAAACATTTTGTTACTCAGTACAACTCCGGTGAATTTAGCATTTTTCAGTATATGCACCTGTGATTATGGGAAAATATTTTGAATTAGACCTGTGAACTGATCTATTTCAATTGATGCATCTTTATATTTCTAATGTATGCTATGAATAAAAGCAACTCTATGGAAGAAATCCACTTTTGCATAGACCTACATATTTAGTTGTTTCTATGTCGGACAAGCCTCTCGCAGGCTCTTCAGTTGTCAAGGGGGAATTTTGTTTTAAAATGATGCACTTTATTCATTCAGTAAACAGATCTATTCTTTAACTAATGATCGTCTTAATCATTTGACTTTATGTTGAGGACCTCGCATTACGATAAGAATAATAGACGTGTTTGAAACGATTTTGATGAGGGATCTCACGACAGATTTTGGTGTTCTTGCTGGCATTTTGTTTTGGACTGTAGTTTTATTTTCCTAAAATAGAGTAATTTATATCGAGCAAAATTTCGATTTATGCATTAAGTCTTCAGTCGGAAATCATAAATGATATTCAATGATGCAGATGGTTTCACACAAATGAAACGGATCAAACTTGTTTATCCTCTTTCACCCCCCCCCCCCCCCCCCCATACCAGAGTTCTCTCTACATGTAACTCCACACCAAACAATCATTGCGAGTTGATATAACTAGCGCCATCTCAGACTTATTTGAGACAGCGCAATTAACTTTTAGATTGTCTTAGATTATTTCCCAAACTTGTTTCATATTATCTCGTTGTAGCATGAAGCAGATCAATTGAGGATGAAATGGAAAATTAGAAAACAACGAGCGGTGACGGGTAGGAGACTAATGATCATTTCAAAGGAAATTTATATCAAGGTTCAGTTGTTGTGGGTTGTTTTAGCTGTACATTCATTGCACCGATTATGTTGACCCGCATTTCCCATAATCATGAACCGATAATGTCATCGGTGTGTTGCTTTGAAAATATCCTGCTATGCAAATATCCATAATAATCACCCTTTGTTTAAGACATGTTATTATCACCTAGTTTTAAAAGCTTCTTCGAGCTCAGTTGATAGGTATAATATATCATTAATACTTCAATGTATTGATAATTCAAGACGATAATGAAAAAAAAAAATCAGTGAATGGGGAAACCATAATATTCTGTTTAAACTTCTAGCAAAAGCACCGTGAGATTAGTTTCAGCCTTTCGTAAAACAGACTAATCACTTACTGGTTATTTCAGAAACGAATTCCTCGAGACGTTGCGAGTGTAAATATAGAAAAGAAGAAACTTGCTGAAAACTGTACCTCCCACGAGTTGGTTGGACTCGTGCCACAGAACTGTGACTCGTGCTTGGACACTGTCAATATGAATACGACAAGCTCGTAGAATTCATCCGCCGATTTTTTTTTTTTTTTTTTTTTTTTTTTGGCAGGCGGGGAGGGGGGGAGGTGACGCTGCTGGACTAAGTACATGAAATGCGAAAGAAGAGTGCCGTTCAGTAAAGACGGGGGCTGGGGCTCGGGGTCGTATAATCTTTCTTTTTAAACTACTCCACTGATCACAGTATGCTATCATCATTCTTGTCTAATTTCATAATAAAATATTGATTTTTAACAAATATCTGTATATTTGTTATCGCTTTTCATGTTCAAGTTTGATTTGATTTGATTTGATTTGATTTATTGGTTTCTGCATCTTTTTTTTTTTCATCATACATTTTCATGAACATAATATGGTTTGATACAATATTTTAAGTGTATATAATTTTATACTGATAATAAACGAGATAAACAAATATATTGAATGCATAATTAACATACTTTAGATGCAGGAGGGCTACAGAAATAAGCAGAGTAGCTTGACGTGCCCGCAGCCCTCAACTTAGATACAACAATAAAAAATATAAATAAAAAGAGTGCATGTGACTTGCAGAGAAGAACAGGAAAGGAGAGAGAAGGAGCGTTGGTACTTATACAATAAATCTCATACATCTGCTGATTGAATGCAGGTTCATTCGTGAATGGATAAACGATGCTAGCTCATGGACGATTACACGATTAAAGTCGTTGTAGGGTTTCACACCAATTATGCTGAAAAGATTAAATAAAGATGTTCTTATGAGCGAAATGTTCTCATTTTTTTCTGTTTTCCTTTTGAATCCTTGTAAATTTTCAAACTTGCCGAGAGAATATGAAATCGGCATGCCTCTGGCGTCTCTGGCCGCCTCTCCAGTGTTATTTGATGTTTGTAACCAATTCCTCTTCTATTGTTATCGGAAAGATGCGTTTTATGAATCACACTTTTGAAAATGTAAACATTTTAATCTTTAAACTTATAGAACCACTATCAATGACGAGGTAACTCTCAACAATGAATCATAACATTGTACATGTTTACCATGATGTTAAGCTAATAAGTAGAATAGCAAACATAGAGCTCTTGTTATGTTACGCAATAATCTTATTTGCTGACGACTGTTCTTTCACAGATACTGCTATATGCTTAATATGACCTTAGGTTATTTGAGAAAAAAACGACGAAAGGCATTTGTATTGTAAAATCATGTCATTGTGTTTTTCTTATCTCTAATGACAGTGGCGTTAACAAATAGAAAATCGTGCTTTCGGACTAAGCTAAAAGATAGAGCTGTGTCAATAACAATAGTTATCGCCTTACTATACGTAGTTAGTTTAAAATAGATATTTTTTTTGCGTTTGCGTGTAGATGTGTTGTGATATTGTGGAAAAGGCCAATAACTGTCGATCAGATGGTTCACGTTTCGAGTCTTAGCCGTGGCACAACACCGTTTTCCAAACATCTTTCTTCATTTAAGATACATACACATCCTTTATAATGAAATATACAATTTAAAAAAATGAATATTCATGAATTAGGAATATGATGAATACGATAAAAGAAAATGTATGTTTTTCTCTTTCTTTTAACAGACCTATTAACACCCTCTCATCAGAGCAATAACACATAAACGAGCGAATACTATGATGAACATTCCATTTAAGTGTTAAATATGTACAAGAAATTAAACAAAAAATACTGCATTTTCTATGATGACTGTTCAATGTTAAAGTCTTTTATGGATTGTGCATATACGTTTTTCACAATGTATATCATCGCACTGCTTTAAAACTAAAACAAGAACTGGAGACCATTATTCGACTGCATGCTGAAATAGTCGAAACCTCTCTCATTCCTAGTCCATGGTACAGTCATTGTATGCGGCTTATGTAACAGTTTCTACTTTCTGAGAAGTTGCTGTGCCTTTTTTCTATTTGTTTGACAAACACATTTAATATGAAGGACCGGTGTAACTATTTTCTTTCCATCAATGCGTATACCCCTTGATTGCCATATTGTAACCAGACGACGAGACTGTTGGTATTGTTTCAAAGTTTAATCATTGCAACCGCTGGCTTGATAATATTTGATCTACCTTTTAGCAGGTAGACAAAAGTCAACAATGCATTCGTTCCCAGTCACAGAAGCAATCACGTTACTCTGAATACAAATCTACAAATAGAACTGTTTTATAATGATGTCATCTTTAGAGACAATGAAGAATTTTGGGGAATGTGTTATGAACTTTTGCAATATCATGGTGAATACAACTTTTCTTCTGAAATCAGTAATATGTTGAAGGTATTTTTAAAATAGTGAGGAGATTTGTAAATAAGTACGATCGCAAAGGCTTCCAAGAAATTAACTCGAAGGCATTTTCAAAACCCTATGGTATTGCTTTTAAAAATTATGTTCGGATTATGTCATATATTAGTTTGTAATGTTCGTTCATTTCAAAAGACACAAGCCTGAGATGACGCGCAAAGCTATTAATGTTGTTTTTAGGTCCTTTTGCCAACCGTAGGTGTTATACATGGAATCGATGTGATTATAGAAAAAATAAGACAAATGAAAAGAAACGAAATTGTGGATCATAGAGTGATCGATAAGAAAGTAAAGCTGTATGGTCTTGAAACGAGCTCGTCTCCCCCTCCCTTTCCTAAGAGTGACTATAGTATGTTGCAATTATTTTGGCCCTTTTCGTCAACCTGTCTAATCCTAATTGTGTTCTCGAGCAGTATATTCCGCAAGTATATAACCAACATGATCGATGACTCTCATTAAAAAAATTATGCACGGCCAACATTATAATATACGGATCGATATCAAGTTTAGCCCATTAAAAATGTAACACAAAATGTGTGGCCCGATGTGTTGGCTTAATGAGTTTATAGGGGGAATGTGGTCGTGTTTCGATCTATAGCTTGATGCACTCTTTCGGCAATTAAGGCCCATTTAATAATGAATTATATATCTTTATCTATAAACGGTGCCGTTTTTAGCACAGAAGTCCTTGTATAATGATTAATGTCATAATGAATTCAGGCGTAAATACACGGAAGTTATGCTACTTCCCAATGTTCAGCAATAAAAAGCTCGTATCACCTCCCGGCTTTCCTACTGTTTATATGTCTCTTTTGTTACCCGACTACAGCGTACACGGCTACCATGTCAACAGTCAATACTCGACGGAGATTGTGTGCTCTAAAGCTGGTCAGACAATAACCTGGGTGTCTCAGGCTCGATCCAGTCCCCGAGAGCCGAGCTCCATCAAGCCAATGAATAACCTCGGTAATAATAGCCACAAAATAAAACGCGAGTGCGCATAGTGGTACGTGCTAACACCGCACATTCAAACCACAGCAGGTCGTGCATTCTTCCTGCATAGTTCTAGCGATCAGGTTTTATAGTTGATGGCAGGTGGTTTCTGGTTTTCTAGGCATATCGTGTGGCTTCTTTAAAGTATCAGTTGGCGCCACAGGATTGGAATTACTATCTGGATTAGATCGAAAAGTGGTGAAATATTAAAAACTGGAATACAACTTAATAAACCTTTCTTTCGGCTTCCACACATATTTCAAGAACTTGGTAAGAATACTTTGAGGCGTATAAGTTATTAAGTTGTGTCTTTAAGAAGTTTGTTTTACTGCAGGTCTTGTCCACCTTCGTACGATGTATTAAGGTATTGACATACTAGTCAATTTCTGCGTAATACGATCGCAATTTATTATAAGTCTACAGGCCTAAAATTAATAAAAAGAAGCAAACAAACTGAAAGCAACGCCAAGTACATTATGAGTCAAAGAATTTTGTGTCAGAAAAAGATATTCGAATGTAATAATAATAATAATAATAATACAGCATTTATTATGCGCCATCGATCTAGTAAACTATTCTGAGGCGCAGAGGGATAGAATTAGAATGAGATACATAGAGAAATGAGAAGGGGGAAGAAAAAAGAAGGGAAAAAATGCATAGATGTACATTCAACATATAATTAGCTAAAATAACATGCGAACATATATGACTTTAGATTCTTTTTAAATGTTTATCAAGCTAAACTGTCTTCATTTTTTCTTTCCATGTTTAATGAAAATATCTGGACGTTGTTTTCAAGTCTGATTTCTTTCTTATGACACACACTGATATAGGAGGTCAAAACTAAACCATTACAAGGTGTATATAGCTAATACAGCCCATTATGCCTGGTACGCATAATGTAGATAGGCAAGTGAAATGGCATCAATACTGAATTTCTCGAAAACAAAGACATTTTAGATCGAAACTTTGAGAGCTACGTTCTACTTCCATGGTATAGCGAAACAAACCATAAAGCAAACCTTTTTGAGCCTGCATTATAATTCATACCAGTTCACAGTGATACATGCCGTTGTTTATGAGTTTGTCTGCAGCATCAGTCCACATTAATATTTAAATACCAATCCTAGCATTTAGTCCAAGCCATCTTCCATTTGACATTTACCGAGGTTACAGTGACGTTAATCTTTCATTCACACCCGTCCAAACAAAATGACATTTAATTTCCGCCATAGTATCCGTCTATTACAATAGGAGGTAACCTGTACCTATACGCATGTTCATTAGGGCAAAGGCGTGAAGGGGGGGGGGGGGTAATAGCGGAGGAAATATTCTCCCATGTTTTCCAAAGCGACACAAATGCCCTTCTCGCGATTTTAAACATGCCATTTTTTAATGAAAATCATCCCATCCTGAACATGTATAAAACGGTTTGCCTGTTACATCATGACCCTACCCTGAATACTTACAAGACACCAATTAGACCTGCTTTCGTTCGTCAGTGGGAGTCATTATTTGATAAAAAGTTTAAAACGTGCATAGAATTATATTGATGTATATAATACACATATATTATACATATACTTGTTTGAAAAAGCACTTAATCAATCGGTTTCGTCTCCGCTATGCACAATCATTGAATAATGAATTATTGTAGGTTAAATCAGCAAGACGTAGGACACGTTTTATTTGATGTATAACAAGAAAATCCCCTTTGGTTGCCATGCGATAGGCCTATAAAACGAGGAAATGAAGCTCAACGGATGTTATACCAAGGCAAAGGCTTATTGAGCAGACAATCGGTATGTTCGCTGATGCAAGTCATAATTATAATACACCCATGGAGCCGAAATGAATAGTGTTGTTGAATTAAATACATTTTAACATGGCGAACGTCTTAGTTCATGACCTTGATATTTTGTTGTATTTTGAAATAAATTTTCAATAAGATAAACGAATACAAAGTAAATCACCCGAGTGGATATCAGGTGAAAACAACAAATATCTAAATTATTGCTCACTGGGTGAACTAGGATGACATTTAGCATTAAGCACGATCGCATAGACTTTCGAGAAATCAACTCAAAGACAATTTCATTACCCAGTTGTATTGAATATACCATGTTCCTATTAGTACATACCACATCAGTTTAATGTTGACACATTTCGTTAGTTGATGCTATGTTGAAAGATTACCGAGAGTCCCCTTTTCAGGACTCCTCAATCCTCCCTTTCTCTCACATGGTGCACCCACAAGCCTATTATGTTGAAATTGTCTCTAGGATAAAACACACGGTATCGATCTTTTTCAAAGGTTATTTATTATGTTTTAACGCATTTCTATCTTAAGCGGGGAAAGGGTATAAAAATAACATTTTTACAGGGTTTAAATTAAAATATTTTATCCACCCTTCGTATGCACTCATTTTGAACGACTCCTCGCCAAGTTTTCAGAAAGATTGAATGACATTAGCTATCTGGACCTCGTATTTCTTTCATTTTCATACATTTACATCGACAGAAACGTCCCTGAATTTCAGTTAAAATAATACTTTTGCCAATAGCATCATGTGTTTGTCAACATGCAGAAAAAATCAAGCGATGCCGTCTAATATTCGTGAAAATCGTGAAAATCATGAATATTATAGTAAGGATCCTTAAATTCTTTGAAAACGAGTTCTTTTTTGTTGTGTATACTACTGTATAGTGTAGGACGTCGTTTAAGCCAAATTCTGGATGACACGAGTCACATGCAAGTCCGAGCCAGATTACAGAAAGTTCCAGGAGTTATATCATCTCACGCATGTCTTGAAATATATTGGCTACCCCCCCCCCCCCCCCCCACAACAGAATCACTCCCAAGCCACCTACCAAACGCAGTCCGCCATAAGCACCAAGAATATTTAAAGGTAAAATTGTGTTTTTCCCTAATCTTCATTTACTGCAGGTCATTATTGTCTTCATCGTAATGGTTTAGCCTCTTCTATCACGTTAGTGACTGCATCATTTTGAAGACCATGAGTAATTGGAGTATCAAACAACGCTTGCGAGAGGTAAGTCTGAACTTTTGGCGCGGTTCGTCTATCTTGCAATCAGCATTCAGCTATATTCAGTAGGTAGAAATAACAGTTCTCAATTATAAGATAAAATAAGACCAAAATAAAACGTTAAATAATTTAAACGATTTTTTAAGTAATCTTATATAGTCTGTTTCACAATCCATATAAACACAGCAAACCTCAACAAATGGTCATCTTATTAAGCAGGGTCGGCATACTTGTGAAATTTTGTAAACGTATTAAACTATTAACAATGTATATAAGAGATTTGTTAGCTCCCCCCCCCCCCCGGTTCTGCTACTTATTTCGACATAAATTACAAACAACATATTCCCTTAGAGTAGGCCCTAATTTACTGTACTACATTCATGCTCTGTTGGTACACATATAATATTGTGCTTATAACATTCTATTCTTTTATACTTATACTTATTTCGCTGGGCCCGAATTTCACCAGCGGCCCGCAAAATCAAAGGCCGTATATAAAAGCTATGTATTTTCAGTGGCACTAACGGTCTTTTATACGGCCAGTCGATATCATGTTTTGTTGGTTTCTAAAATCTTGGAAGATTAAACAAGAGGCATATAGGCTATAACCTTAGACTGTGTCATATTTCATGTCTTCTTGAGCTCATTCTTTAATATAAAAGAAGGTCAGCTAATCTGTTTGTTCCGTCCTCCGCTGGATACATCACTGATACACCCTACATACTTCATTACTGGTATTTACATTTTATATCGTTCAGGAAATCTTGGAAGCAGTGGAGAAAGGAGACACGACGAGGGTCGAAGAATTACTTGACAAAGGAGCAGATGTAAACGAAAGTGAGGTAATAACACAAATTAAAAAATAAATATTCACCCACCTCCCGTTCTGTAATGAAAGGCAAGCTAAAAATACAATTTGCATTACATTCAAATTAAAATACTGACTGCTGGTTTTATTTTTAGTGTATGTGTGTGTGTGCAATTTGTATTTTCTGAAAAACGTGTATTAATAAGATATGATTGATACACTATAGAGCTTCATACTTTTACGAGACGCACATGTACTGAAAGATAAGGGCAATGTAATTTCGTTAGCAAAAATATCAAGAAGGGTATAGGTCCTTAAAATCAACAAAATTTGAGTTTTTTTTTATCGTTGGAGAGGAGCTTTTTATCACGTTATTGAAGGTGGAATTGATTTCAGTGATTGTATTGTTCTCTATTGTAATCTTTTATTTCGTTTGGTATGGTATGGTATTTATTTTACAAATCACAATATAAAAACAATGCATTCAAAATGAAATGATGAAATCAAGAATATAGTGAATGGCTGGATATAGCCCACTCTGTTTTGTAAAGAGTTATGCTATTGATATCATTGTTGTCCTAATCATGGATATATAAGATCGGATAATATCATTGTTTTCATCATTTCCAGACTATATCTAAATTAAAAGTATTGCTGTTTCTTCATTTCCAGGGCGGTTACATTGCTAAGAAGACCGTTCTCTTACTAGCAATCGAGAATAGTCATGAAAACATCGCCAAACTACTGGTTGATAAGGGTGCAGATTTAACAGTTACTGTTACAGTAAGTACTATCATTCCTTTTATTTCAATTTAATTGTCAGTTACATGGAAAACTATTTTTCTCTGAATTATTTCCGGGTATAGTTTATGTGTATAGAAATTTCAACGCAACATTTTTAGGTAACTTATTAAATCATCCTTTGGAAATACTTGTATTTTACACACTATATACATTGTTTTACATTGTTTGATGGCCTCTCACTAGGAAATATCAGGGCAGATAATTTGGGAAACTAAGACAAATAAAAGATAATGTAGTTTTTCAAGATATAAGCAGAGATTATTGAAAATGTACAATCATTAGAATGCCTTTTTAACGAAGATTACATCTCATTATATTTGAAAATGATCATTACTTTAAAAAAAAAAATTATTAATGAGAAATTCAATGACCTGGATAGGTCACTTCATTATACAAATTATCAATTTACAATCTTAACTTACAGTGTTGTTATGTTTCGCTGGTTTCTTTGACTTCAAGTTTGAATAATTTGTTTTCTTCTTTTTTTCACAATAAAAACACTCATGATATTTACTGATTTTGTTAAAGGTGACGGGCACCAAAAAGACACTACCTAACGTGGCTAGAGATAAAGAGCTCCATAATTTGGCCGACTATATGCAAAACAAACTTGACATGAATGAGGTTTGTAATCAGTTACAATTTCTTTCTTTTTTTAATTCAAAGTAATATTTCTCTCTCGTCATGACTGTTATTACATTATATGAATCGTAGAAAGTATTATAGTTAAAGCCCAAGTTCAAGTTCATTAACACTTTCCTGTTAACAAGAACATGTACATCATCGCAAACACTTCAAGAAATCAAGAAATCGACTCTATAGGGCTTTTTCAATATTTTCATTAATCTGAATCTGAATCTGAATACCATAATGTATATACCATAGCAATCATGTTATGATTACGTAACACATCATTGTCATGTTCGCACATTTCAACCAGTGATGTACAAGGTCATTGAAATACTTTCTTGTTATTGATTCTCGAAAGTCTTTGCAATCGCGTCGCATTCATTATCTATATACAGATGGATTTTATAATAAAAAGAGAAAACATTATAACACACTATATAGGGAATTGTTGGGATACGCTGTAATAGCAGGAAACGTATAGCCGCTAAAGAAAGGATGTACACGGAAAAAAAACTAAATGAACTGGGAGGAGTGAGGAGAGGAATACTAAATGCAGGAGTGTGGGCGAGAGGGCGTGAGGGTGTGCGGGCGAGAAACCATAAATAATGCGCGTGATCGTAGTTCACGCACTATGTGGTAAGAAGTAGTTCCTGCATGAGTAGTAGTTCCTGAGTAGGGCCTGGAAAATAATGATTGCATGTGTTGCTTCCAAATATAGCACAATAAAATGAAATAACGAAGTCCGTATAAACTACACCCCCATAATTTTACGTGGAAAATCCTTGTATAGCCCGTCTACAGTACCCCCGACTTGACCATGACTCTTGAATGACTATAATGTGTGGTTATACAGAGTATTGATTAAGGTCTAACCATTCTTAATGCGTGCTATTCATTCTTAACAATACAGAGATTAACAGCATCGGTTAAAGAAGGCCATATAGATTTTGTACAGGATAACATAAACCGAGGAGCCGATGTCAACGTCTTGTATACAGTAAGTATCATAGAGTTCAAAATATCTACGACTCAGTTATTTTGAATATAAATGCAATCATAATAAAGATGACGGAATAGTATACTTATTAAACCACCCCTTAAAAACAATGTCAGAATAATTTGGATGAAGATGTGAAATATAATATATTATACATTTTTTTCAACGTCAACATTAGCCCAACAAGCCGACGTGGAAAGTAGTAGGTAAAATAATCAAGGAGGTGATAATGATGCCTGGTAAGCGGTACAAAATCGGAAACATTATGACATTTGGTAAAGCATAGATGCTCCAGATATTCCAATAGATAATCTCCCAGAATGATGTATATATAGGTATCCAAATTTATCCTACTTAGGAGGGCTTAGGATTCACTTGTTGTCCTATTAAAAATAACTAATCGTTTTTGTTTACCATCCTTTTCGTATTTACCTCTAACATTCTCCCTTCCTTTACCTCCACCTTCCACACCTTCCCACACAGCCCCCAGAAATAGATCAACCTGACTGCACATTGTTACAACTAGCTCTAATAAAAGGTCACGTGGACATTGCGAAGATTTTACTTCAAAATGGCGTCGATGTTCATCACGTGATGAAGGTATGTCTTAAGCATAATGAGGCGTCATATTGGCGATTCTGCATTGGTACTTTCTAGAATGGTTTATATAACGTTTTATGAATATTTCAATTTCAATTTCAATTTCATTTATTTGTTCAACCATCAAAATATATATACAATCAACAAAAGTTACATCAAGAATTTAGAATAACGCAATGATGGTTTGGTGACCCCGGAGAAAGCAGAGCTTATAAAAAGGGGCCACCAATTTGAAATACATAAAAAGATCAACAATACTTATACAAAAAAAATCAACATCGAACATTAATAATAAACAAGGAAGAAAAGAGAAGTACACTTCTTGCAGCAGCAGCAAAAAACTGTATCTACATGTATATAAGAGGGCAGTACAAAAGAAAGCGAACAAGAATATAAAGAAGATAAGATTTCCCTGCTTATGAAATTTGTATTAAGTCAGAAAGGAGCTGGAAAGTTCTATGCAAATTTTCAACAGTTTTACCCTTAAACATTATTTTGTATTGAAATATTAAAGACCTTTTATCATAAAGTTCATGATGTTTTCATTTTTTTCAGTGGGAAGACCAGTCAGAAGACACTGCACTAAGTTATGCAGAAAGGATGAATTATGATGAAATAGTAACATTAATTGAGGAGAGATTAATGACATTACCAAACAACGTAAGTATAAGTGATCCATTATCATTACTTGTTCAAATTTCGTGGTATAATACCAGTATAGCCATGAAAATGTCATTAATATTATACGTTGTTAATTTAATGTCTTTTTTTTTAATCTGCAATTTTCAACGGATTCCTTCTTCTAGTTTATAATAGTTGTTTCTTTATTGCTAAATCTAAAACGTGCACCAACATATTTCTTATCGTTTGTTTTATTACATCCCCGAATTCATACCGATTTACATGTATTTCTGTCTGTATATTAACAATTTGTTGTTGATTATTATATTTTAAAGAAACCTACACCGTATACATCAATATGCTTCTTGCTGTTATGTTTTCTGGATTGTGTGCCTTCTAACCTATTTGTTTTTATATATGTGTATGTTTTTATTTAAATTTGTATGTAAATCATGTTAATCTATATGTTTCTTTGTAAAATTGTGATTGCTTTTTATATGCACGGCCATGCTGAAGAACAGCCATTGGCGGGAGTATGCTACCATGCTAAAATAAAATAAACAAACAAACAAACAGTCTGCCGGCTGATTCTCTGACAACGTCACATACCGTTGCTATAGCAACGTATCCTTTATAGTAATTTAGTGCAATTTCATATACCCGCACTGTAATTGACAAGTACAGCGACATCTAGAATTGAATACCAATTTCATCCTCATTGAAATTAAAGTGTTTGTTTTAATATGTACATATTGCTCCGTTTAGTCTCATTTCACAACGCCCCCTATCGTCAGAACATGGTCAGAGTCAACAGCCTAACAAAGTCATGTTAGACTATGGACGTTTTTAAAAAAAATCGTCAAAAATTCATTTTTTGTTTAAACGAAAAGCACATCCATCCCGACGTACGTTATCACTAGCTCTTTCATTGGAGCCCTCATGTCTCATTGACTTTTGAAAGTTCACCCACCGTAATTTTTCAAAATAGGTTGCAAGCTCGTCATTGCCTATAATACACATGTGAAACAAGTCTAACTTTGGACTCAGTTTTCCAAGCGATTTGAAGATTATAGGTCGAGCACACGAAACATAAAAAGCATGAATTATCATAGATCACTTCTGCCTATTTCATTTTGTCCATTTCATCCAACCCCCCACCGTAATTTTTCAATTTAGTAAAAGCAAACATTTTGCCGAGGTAAGCAAAAACATGAATATTCATGAACGGTCAGACAATACATCCTTTTAGTACGTAACGTTTAGTGAATGGGAATAGGCGATGATCCGTGTAGGAGGTAGAGGTCAGTAGTTTGTGCTGGCAATGTTCACGCGAGCGAAAATGAGACAATCGGAGCAATATGTATAATCATAGATCTTTCAATTTGTGCGAAACTGAATGTATCTGAATGTATAAGTGCTGTAAAAATCATCATTATGACCACAATTCTAATCATATATCTTGATACATATTTTTTTAATTACATGCAGAATTCCCAAGTAGCCAATGGAAATGGCATAAAGAAATACAATGTAAGTCAAATATGAAATGTTATGCACTCGTATTTTTATTTTTTATAATTAAAAATTAATTATAATTCATAATTGAAGCGAATCTTAGCCACAAAAAATGGAAATGCAGTTTGTGGAATATAATCTCTAAACATTCACACGTTCTTCTTTAGTATGAGTCAGCAGAATAATATAGAAATAAAATTATTATGAACATGAAGATGGTTACTATAATCCCTTGTGGTCACGGTGTTCCCCCGCCCCCAGAAAAAAATAAGGGCCGAGACAGAGACAGGGAATTTCCGTGTGAATATTACCAATTACCAACTTGCAACACACTTACGTCCATTTGCTTTAGTCAAGCAAGATTGTGAACTCCTGATACTCTTGAATGACGTCGTTTACCTATATAGTAATGATCATTGTTATTCTTTTTTGTACAGGAAATTGAAGAGAATAAAGGAAAACACGTCGAGGTATATGACATAGAAGACGTTGATGAATTACAGGTACTATGACATTGTGTTTAAATCGAATCTAAATTCTTTCAAGTTCTCCTTTGTTCTTAAAACGATGCGTTATTGAATCATTGAAAGGACAGCTATGATTTTGCAGGGAAAATAATCCGAATCGGCATGTAAATCATACGAGGATTGTGGAGGGACATGTTAACAGCCAGAGTGCAATTAGTGTTTTTAGATTTCGCTTCTGTTTTTTTTGTATACAGCAAATACTGCGAGACGAGTGTGAGACAAACATTATAGGGGGACGATGAGGGGGGGGGGGGGGAGATGGAAGAAGAGATTAGGGAGGGGACATATTACTACGAGAGGTGGAGAAGAAGAAGAAAAAGAAAAGGAAGAAGAAGAAGAAGAAGAAGAAGAAGAAGAAGAAGAAGAAGAAGAAGAAGAAGAAGAAGAAGAAGAAGAAGAAAAAGAAAAGAAGGAGAAGGAGAAGAAAAAGAAGACGAAAAATAAGGAGAGAGAAAGAGAGAGAGGGAAAAAGGAAGAAAGAGAGTGGAAAAAAGAGTAAGATAAAGAGAGAGAGAGAGAGAGAGAGAGAGAGAGAGAGAGAGAGAGAGAGAAATATGTACTGTGCCTATATAGAAACAAAGTATTAGGCGCATTATAAAAAACTTTGTGAGCTATTATTATTATTATTATTATTATTATTATTATTAAAAAAAAGAGAGAGAGAGAGAGAGAGAGAGAGATGGGGAGAGAAGCATGATAATTTAGATTATAATTTCAAAATTCACCTGTCAGTCGAAACTATAGATTCTGCCTTCAACATTCTACTTGATTGCATGTAATTTGATGATACGTAAGAGTTCGTATAGTTACTATGGCGATAAGACTTAATTTCCACGATAACATGACGGATATTTCCCTGAAATAGATTGAAGGTTGTAAAAACAACTAATTGCTATCGATCATGCGGGGCTTGGTATCCCCGGGGTTGCATAATTTATCGTTTGTGCATTACGCAAGGGATTTTCCAAAAACCCAGTAGGATTGTGTTGTTTAACAAACATCGCCATACGAAGACCTTCTGTTTTACTCTTCTTACCATTTCTGATGATTTTCGTTATAAAATACATACATTGGGGATAACAAGACTCAACCACCCCCCCCCCCCGCAATGAACAAAAGGAAAGTTATCACTCAGCAAACACAACCTCCAAGAAAACCGTTCATTGGACAAAAGAAAGAAAGAAATAATGAACAACAAAGGAAGAAAGAAAAGAAGCATTCATCAAAATGTAGGAACTTGGAGTCATGAAGTTGTATAATATTATGTGGTGTCTCAGAATGACTTCAATCTTAAAATTATAATGTTATTTTGATTTTATTTTTTTAGGAAAATGCTTCAGCTCCAGCTATGCAAACACATCAAAAGAAGAAGAATGGTAATTGCATCATTAGTTGATAATGAGATATCACTCGAAAGACTTTAAAAAGCCGCTACCTAGTAATCATCTGTGGTCATCGTAAAATGGATACAGTCACATCATCGTGCTCGACTCCCCACACCCTCCTCTTCGTCCTCTCTCTTCCCCCTCTCTCTCTCTGTCTATCTATCTATCTCGGAGAAGGAGTCCTTCTCTTTATCTTTCCCTCCAAAACCATTTCCTCTCCCCTTTCTCTCTTTCCTATTCTCTGTCTATCTACCTCCTCTCTGTCTCTCTCGAAGTCCGTCTCCCAGTCTCTCTTTCTCTTTATTTCTCTTATCCTATACCCCCTCCATCTCTATCCTTTCCCGCCATTTTATCTCACTATTTATAATTCCCTAACCCCTTCTCTCTCCTGATATTGCTATCCCACCCCTCTTAACTTTCTTCTTCGTCAGAAGCTTTTACCAAATCGGATATCTTTGGATATATCTTAAGTTCTCAACCGATGTCGTCTACTTCGCCTTCGACATCATTTTCGTCGTGATATCCCTTTTCAGCACACAATCATGAATAAACCTACCGCGGCAGTTCCGGCAAATTCGAAGGAAGCATGACTGCGTAATGGAAAACTCTTCTCTCTTTTACTGGTGGCATTTTGGGAAAGAAATGAAAGGAACGAACGAATGCAATTGAATTTCTCAAATAATATTATATAGAGGCTGGTTGTAAACATGTATTATGCTCCTCACATCGCGAGAGCTGTATACCCTGGTCACATGGGTACATGATCCCCTGGACCTCATTCTGTCTGGAGAGAACGACAATCAAAACATTAGATAAGATGTAGTCATCTTTGGCGCGTGGAATATCGACACAAACTGCTGCAAATTGATGTGGATTCATCTCAAATATTACTGTCTTGTAAACATTTCCAACAAGTCAAGGTTTGATTTGATTTGATTTACCCAGTATAAAAACATATAAATAACAACATACATGATAACATGAGAAAATAACACTGGATGGATCGCCTGTTTCTCATCATAGCGGTATAATTAGAGTAAAAGGTGAAATATCATGTAAATAAATTCACCAGTAATGGGTCTAAATTATCAAAGTAATAATAAACATTACAATAATTGTAGTCACAGATCTAATTATCAAAGTAATAAAAAACATTACAATTGTAGTCACAGATCTCATGCGTAAATGTATAGACATTCGTCATAGATTCTAGTCTCTGTTTCCAATTTGTATAATGGTTGTTAGGTATTTGTGACGTCAGAGTACAAGCCAAATAGAGTTATTGATATAATATATTGATTCTGCTATTATATCAATTTTACACGAAGCATGCCAGAGTGCAATATTTAATATATTAATTAAGACAATTACATTCCGTCCTTTTCTGTGATAAACATAATGTTTCGTTATTTTTTTTTCTTCACATCAAATGATGAGAGTTATATAATTATATATATAAATATACTTAACGATGATTTGTATGTACTTGATTATGAATTTTAAAAGGATATGTTTTCTCAATCAAATATATATATATATATATATATATATATATATATATATATATGTATACGACTGTTATAATACGTTAATTTTGTTTAATCATTAAATATGTAAGATAAGTGCAAAAAGTGAAATATAAAAAGGAACTTTTCGGAAGAAAAACAGCCTGTTTAATATGCATTGCATTTTAAAAAAACATAGAATAATGCCTTCAAATCAGTTTGGCAGAATCAAACTTCTATTTCATATATTTCAATGAAATATATATATACATGCATTCATACGATAGAAACTCAATGAGATATTTTAGAGAATTTAATTCATTCTCAAATTCATAACCAAATGCTCAGTGAACAAAACATCTCAAATATTTTTGTTTAAAGAATATATAATTTCTGTAAATATATCATCGTCATGTGCATTGTTAAACACTTTAGGCAGGTCTGGTAGTGGAAATTGTCATTTTTTTTCCTATTTCGTCTCCTGTTTGTTTAAAAGAGAGAAAAAAAGATGGATTTTATAACGAGGCATAATGGTGCACGAATATAACGCCATGCTGACTTCCTCTTTGCGTCAATGAACGATGAACATATACATGGATGATTTCTTACTCGATGTGCAAAAAAAAAGTGCACTACCTTCTGTATTGTCATATCTTCTGATGATATACTGGTACGAAAAAAATACATGTACAAAATTGTATTCATACGATATTTCTGTATCACATATTGCGCCTTTAGAATTTGAGTAAGTCTTTAGTGCGCAGTTACCATGGTGATCTTGTTATAAGTAGACCTATGTGGTAGCATGGAGTGTATTTGTTTCCCATCAAGTTAGAATGATTTTTTTTTATTTCCTCTTTTCATGAAATGATAGTGACAATATGATATATTCTTGAAAGATAAAGTTTATATTTTCTAAGAAATTTATTGATGAAACTTGATTGATTTATCTTTAGCGGTTAATAAAGAGATGAATTGCTTCATTCTATATTTTGTTAACATTTAAAAGATGGTTTAGGCTTTATATAATGACGGTGCATTTTGTAACCATAGGAAATCGATTTATTCATATTTAAGTATTTTTATTATTGGTACTTCGATTTGCATGAAGATATGGAGAGAATGTGGCATGATTTAAATGGTTTTTCGTACGAAAATATCCGGGAGGAAAATAATAATCAGTCGAAATCTATGAAATGCATTGTAATGCAGTATGCAAATGTTCACTTATAGTCACTATGAATATGACTGACAAAGAAAGCGGACAAAATATACAGTTCCTCAAGTAGACAAAGGAACATCCCTTCACTGCTATTATGTAAAAAGGCGAATATGCATGTGACACCTGTTCTACACATTTTTACATAATAGCAGTGAAGGGATGTTCCTTTGTCTACCTGAGGAACTGTATATTTTGTCCGCTTTCTTTGTCAGTGATGTTCATAGTGAGTTATACAGTATGAGTGTATGACCACGTTTATACCTATGATTTTCTTGTGATCTCGACATGAATCGGGATAGTGTTAACGTGCTCATTGTTTGATTCATGACAAGGAATACAAAGTATAGTAATTTCGAAATTTATTATACAGAAATTATATAATTTATATTGCTTTTTCGTCGAATACAATGTAAATTTTCCCCAAATTAATATAGAGTAAATGCGTGTATTATCATAAAAGATGTATATATTAGTATGTGGCTTGTATGTAAAAGTGTCAATAAATATAAAGATATTATAATGACTTTTGTTAGCCTCTACTTACTTCAGTTACATAGCTATTATAGAATGAATAATGTACTAAGTTTATTTATGCCAGGTGCAAAAGGATACAGTGTATGGGTTTGCATCCCCTCCCACTCTATTTCTATATTTATCTCTATGTGTATTTTTGTCCTCGCTCCTATGCCCACTTTCTGCTTGTTCTATCTCTCCTCCCTCACTTCTCCCTTTTCTTTGTATCTTTATCTCGCTTCATATTTCGCATCTCTCCATCTCTTTCTCCCCATGCACTCACTCGTTCAGACTTGCGAGCCCCCTCTCCTCCTCACCCCCCTCTCTCTCTCTCTCTCTCTCTCTCTCTCTCTCTCTCTCTCTCTCTCTCAATCATCTCTCTCTTATTTTTGTTGTTGAAAATCAACTGATCAATGAATTAAGGCCTATAATTGGAGTATAAAGTGTGGATGCGATGAGAAGAAACTATAGCAAGTATTTCTGGCAACAAAATGTAGGCCCGTAATATACTCATCATCCCCACACAGTAACAAATCATGGCAACAAATAAATCGCCTTAAGTGTAACTGACACTTTACTACTAGAACATAAAAGTTATTTAAAAAAAATATTTCTTTGCAGCCTCAATGAAAAGAAAGATGGAGAGTGGCGTTAGTAGAGGATTCTCTGGCCAGTGAGGGGGAGGGGGACGTTCTATAAACTTTTAATTAAAAAAGAAGGGACCAAAAAAAAAAATCAAATTTACAGACAAAAAGACAATACATTATATAAAGGCCTAACTGTTTAACAAACATAACAATTTATGAGCCAGCTAGGTGACACATGTTTTATGAATGCACACTACGTGAAGTTACTAGATCTCCCCAATTCCTACATGCACCGTTGTGCGTATCTACGGGGGGAGGGGGCTGGTGCCCCTCACTTTGGATGACGGAAGAAAGGAAGAAAGAGAAGGAGGGGGAAACGGAAAGAGAGAGAGAGAGGGAGAGAGAGAGAGAGAGAGAGGGGGGGGGGGCGATGCTCGACAAGATAAACGACCCGCTTAATCCAGTCCCAACTGGAAACATATAAATTTGAACTGAATTCAGTTTACCACTTTTAAGTAATTGAAATTGGAAAGTAACAAAATATTTGATGTTTATATTTACGGTAATATTCCAGTTAAGCTAGACAACGTGTGGTCTAGGCACTTTAGTGGGGCGCAGGCGCGTACGCAGACGGGGGAGGGGGTTAACCCCCCTTCAATTTTTTTAAAAATGTGTGTGTATAGGAGGATACCCCCCTCACTTTTTGTCAAAAAAAATAAATAAAAAAATTGTGTGCTAAAGGGTGAAAAAACAGACCTTACCCCCCCCCCCCCCCGTCCCACTGAACGAAATATCGGTAGGCCCAATTTTCCAATTTTCGGGACAAAAACAAAAAAAGTGCTCCCCCCCTCCCCCTCCCCCCTTGAAAAAAATCCTGCCTACGCTACTGCATGGTGGGGCGTCACTTGACATTTTTTTGCTTTCCCGGTGGTCAATTCTGTCAGGTTTTTATTATTTGAAGTTAAACAAAGTTACATAATTATTTATATTCAACATAGGATGATGTAAAGCGGCCATATAAAACCCGGCCTCGTCCTTTCCAATCTGACAAAATTTCAAAATGTGAAGAAAACAATGACACAATATTTAGGTGAATTAGACTTCGGCTTGACGTGTGACTCTTTCGGGATAGGCTCCCTCTGTTTAACTGAAGTATGTAGACAAATTTGAAGGACTAGTCGCGATTGCAAAATTTCCGATAACATATATTTGTTTTGCATGAAATAGCGAATGATGTAATGAAACACGTAGACCCACCGTGGGCAGAGGGCACCTAGTCATGCAGTCGTGACAGTGAATACCTTCTCTGGTACACATTACGTAATTTCTATTTTGATACCAAAGTTATATCCATGTGCGATGTGATTCGGTTCTTAATTGAATTCTATATAAACAATGCAGCTTGATAAATTTTGACAGCAAATTAAGATTAGAAAAATCAATAACAATAATTAAGTAATAGAAATTATGTTTTCAACATTTAATACTACAGAGAGGTGACTTTGCTTCTGCACTTTATGATTTACGCGCTTGAATATTCTGAGTGACGACTCGAAATGTCAACATAAACAACAGTCTATGTAATGTGAACGATGCGGAAAGGAACAATGAATTGCTACGATTGATCACAACTTTCATCTATTTCTGTGCCGAGTGGGACTGTGATACCTGAACGAGTGCAAAGAATAGACATTCAAGATAGAAAATGGAGGAGAACATAGCTCTAGAAGTGAGATTTGAAGGAGAAACACAAATTTACAGCCCTGCGTACAAGACGAAATGGCAGGATTTGCTTGCGATGGTGAGTCTCCATTCCCTCAATACACGAAAATACATTGCACAATGCCAATGGTAAATTACAAGATCAACCTGGCCCGCGGCTGAGCTGAGTGGAAGTATGTTTCAGTCGATAAACTAGATCTACAAATTCTATATGTTATAAATTTTCAGCCAAGCTTGTCAAAATGTGAAACAGAGACTAGAAATTATTATGATTGCTTTTAAACAAAAAGCTCTTCAAATTATTAATTATTCTTTATGACATGTCATGAATTTTTTTTTGGAACCCAATGAACCCAGATGTGCATGATGTGGTGTGTCCGGACAGCCTATTTTGAAACGGCAATTTGAAGAAGTAATATAAGCAATATTTCATAAATCCTCGAAGACTTATGGTAGACAATATTATAAAGGACAAATATTTGTGATGGTTGGTGCTATTTGATGAATATTTTCTGTTAAATTTGAAGGCAAAAGAGAAGAAGATGTTTGTTGAATGTTTGAACACCTAATCCCTCATCATACTAGAAAAAGTAGAACTATAAAACTTACACTGTTTTTACATCAATGTAAGTTTTGTATAGAAAGTGATATATTTTTTTCATCAAGAAAAAGTGTTTTTAGCGTAAATAATGATGAAGATACAGTGACTGATGAAAATACAGTGACTGAGAGTTTTTTGTGTCGATCTGCAACTGAGTGTTGCGTAGAGAAATTAGTAAACTGAGTGATTTAGCTGACAGACAAGTGACATTTGATCAAGTTTGTATGAGAAGGATCATTTTAAATATGTAATGAACAATATTTATTCTTTGGTTATCCAAGTTCCTGTCATTATTTGACAAATGATATTGGTGTTAATGCATATTTCAATGAGGCAGTAGACTTATTTTATTTAGTGCCAAGTGATCTTTCAGAATATTACCCATTTATATCCCTTGTTTTGAATTTTGTGTCTCTCTGACTGGCCAAAATGACCTGCCTCTTAAACTTGATGATAAATCTTGATCATGGTGTTTTCATAAAATTGTTAAATTTACAATTATTTCTTTACATTTCTTTCAGCTCAAGTGTTCCTTCGACCTGGAAGACATTGTTGTAACTTACATTGATGATGAGGAAGATGAGGTAAAGTTAAAATCATTGTTTCAGAAAGTGTTCACAATTTTTAGCGTATTCCTACATTCCAGTATTGTAACAAAAGAAAGCTGAGACAGACTAAAGATATTTTTGCATTCATCGGAGCTTTGTATAGAGAAATTTGCAGAAGTAAGACTTTGTGAAAGAAATTTTAGATGGCAATCTCCTTTCATTATTTCAAAAGCTATGTTGAAGCTAGTGCTTTTTGCTCTTGAATTAATTGTTTACAGAGATAGTGCAAGTCCAGGTAACCTTTGACTTTACTTTTATCTGGCCTTATTACTGTAGGCCCTTTAATCCTTAACCATTGAATGTCTCATATACATGTAGTTTGGGGGAGTCAATTAGTGCAGTCTGAATCATTTTTACTGGAGAATGTTGTGGAATTGGTCATGATATCCTTGTTTTGCTTTTTGAAGTATCTAATAGTTTATAAGTATATGAGTATATAATGATGATTATATACCTCACTTAAGAAATCCAGCCATCTGATTGGTCGAAATTGCATTCATAAACTTCAACTATTTCTGTAAAATTCCCAGTAACCATGGTTAAAACAGTTCTATAGTCCCAGTAACCATGGTTATTGGGAAAATAGTTCAGTCTCCATGGTTACCCCATAGGTTTACATGTTAAAAAATGGTCTGAGCGATCGAGGATACCGTACGTGTGCGAAGAATTGGTCGGTAATTTCAATACAATTGAATCTCGATCGATCTTACCGACAATTTTATCTTGCATTGTTGACATGAAGACGAAAATAAACTTCCAAAAACAAAAAAACAACATCTGCCGATAGATCTTGATCTAAATTCGTGCCAATATGCATTGCAAAGGTAAAAGAAGGGCCTGTTTAATGGAGCAGCCGCGAAGCATCCACCACGTGAAGCCGTTTTCAATCCATTTTAATGTATATATAAGAAAAAACTGCTATGTATGGTAACAGAGCGCGATAGCCGAGCGGTTTAAGGCGGTGATTTTAGTTACATCACCTTTTGTACGCAAGAGATCGAATCCCATCTTTGACAAAAGTTTTTTTATTTTTATTTTTTATTTTTTAGTTGTTGTTTTTTTGGCATATAAAAGTATTAATGACTGCTGTAATATTCGAGAAATAGTTGTTTTTCTCAAAGCAGTCATTAATACTATAATATTTTTGTATGAATGTTATGCAGCACATGTGTTTTATCAATGCCCTTATCAGTGGATTTAAATATTAACATTTGTTCATGTTATCTTTTTATTTTATGCAGATTGCTGTAGACACTGAAGGTAGGTGAATTTTAAACATGAAAATGGAAAACTTTAGGCTGTAATTTATTTCATGAAATTCTTCCTTTTGCCTTCTTTATTGTGACTATCAGTTTTTTTTTATAGAGGTTTTGAAGAAAAACAAATGCATTACCAATTTTGGGCTTGGCTTGTCCTCGATTGCTTCGCAATGTAATGCAGTGAACAGAAGATACCTAATGTATTCAATAATGTAAATGATTGAACAAATGGCTGCAAACGAACAGATGCTTCTGGAACATGTACATGTATTTATCATAAGGATATCAGTTTGAGGGTTGATAATCAGATCAGAAACTGATGGACAATACTGGGATTTTACAAGTACAGTAGTTAAATGACAGGTTGACAAGGTTTTATTTACAAAATAAGAACATGTTTATAAAAGTGTGATGTTTGATAATTGTACCAAACTTGCCCATAAAGTGAACATCAACATTTTCCTAGGGCCCCCACCCGACCCCCCCCCCCCTCCCCCACTTAAGTTGAGGTCTTTGAGGAGAATATATTTGTGCATTATTGCACATTAAAGTAACATGTATTCTTTGTAAACCTCTTGCTCAATGAATCAATCTTATCCCAACAGAAGAGTATGACCAGGCCAAAGCGCTGGCCTCCAAGTGTAATAACGTGCTTCGTCTTAGAGTCTCCAGAGTAATTATATTAGACACCCTTCCAAAGGAAAGCCCAAGTCTCCCTGAGGTAAGGTTACAAAGCATTTTAGAACATATCTCTTCAGAGCCAGAAGGGTGTTAAGTCTGTGTTAAAGGATATGAGTTAACACCCTTCTGGCTCTCAGCAGACAATACAGGTGTGACCAATGTCAATTGCATTTTTTCTATGCAAAACATGTATTCAAATTAATTTTTTAACAGACATTAATTACCTAGAACAAGATATTTTTGGTTCCTTACAAGTGTTTACAGTAGAGAAGACAAAGTGGTGTGTCTATTAGAAGGACATGAAGTAGAGATTTTATGAAATCACTGTTAACGATGTATCGTAGGTGCTGTTCATACCTGTATTGAAATGTGTAGATGTCAAACAAAGGTCAAAAGCTTAAAATAAATCAGTTCTTCTGAAGACCTTGCTTTTGTTTGTACCCTCTCGTGGGACGTTAACTGAATTCTCACTGCGCTTTTGAATTGTGAGCTAATGTGTTTGTGTAACACTGTGCATGATATTTTCACTTGTAAGATGGTGATGCAGTTTGTAGTCTCTTTACCTTACCTTTACCATATGTTTGTGATCTCCCATATTTATCTGGATACAGACAACAGAAGCAGTTAAAAGGAAGAGAATGCACACTCCACCTCGGCCAGAAAAAGAAACACCCTACCCGCAGCCGGGCCCTGCCCTCCCCAGTACCCCTCCCATACCCGTTCCCCCACCACGCCCAAAAGTCCCACCTCGTCTGAACCGGACGACTTCCCTGCCAGGCCATAAGCAGCCCTCTGATGTGAGTGGTTATGTGATGAAGGCTATGGAGGAACTCAAACAGCTTAACATATCTACTCCAGAGCAGAGTGATGGTCCTAACAAAGAAAAAGAGGTAGGGTACAAGCTTTAGTATTGTTCAGTACTCAGTTGGACATGTACAGAGTATACAAATGGGGACCTCTTAACAAAAATCATGAGTATACTGCAACAAAGTTATTAGGGGAATGATGTTAATACCTTTATGCAGTGCTCGGAACAGTCCAGATGACTTCTGTTACTGACAAATTTATTTTCCCCCAATACAGTCGTTTAATTGTTGCCACTAAAACTAGTTCGCATTTTCATGTATGTTATTTGTCATCACGGTTTACATTATTTTGATCTATGTACTATTTAATTTTTACTCTGAAATTACAATTATGATTGCCTTTGTATTTTTGTTTTACTTTGTTTTGTACATGTCATGTATATGAAGAAAGGTACAATCATGATAAATGAAAAAAAGAAAGACTGGATTATGACAATATTTGATACATGTTTGTTTATGCCTTATTTGAATCTCCAGGTGATTGACCAGATTGTCAAAGGTGTTCTTGATGGTCTAGGTAGTGGTCCCTTGGAAAAGACCAGGCCCTTCTCTTGGGAACCATCCCAGATGTTGGCTGGGACCAGGACCCCAATTTGCTCCAGCCCTCTGACTTCTGAACAAGGAACTAAGCCTAAGAACAGAACACCAGGTCAGTCTATGCTCAGGGTGGGCTTTTAGTTTCGATTACATTAATATTATTTTGATACGATTCACTAGCAGTTAGGAATAAAGGTAGTATGAACAAATCCTAGGGTGAGCCTTCTTTTCGGTAATATTGTTATTTACTTGAAGAAATCTTTGCTTTTGAAAAAATTTGAACCTTGCCAATATGAACACATCATGGGCAGAAAGAACACTGCCAACTTTCCATGCTGTGTTACATGTACACCACTATGACATTTTAATCAATAATTTACATGAAAGTATACACACTGAATGTATTTTACTATGACAGAAAAGAAATGTTAGTTTCCATCTGTAAATTATTCCAATCTGAGACAAAAAACACATTTTTGCATGTCCATACAGAAATAGGTTTTTTTTTATTTCGAAGGGGAATTTAGATTAATTGCAGACTCTGGCAAATGATGTTTTGAATCTTTGAAAGTAACAGTATTTATTTGATTGTTTTTCTTTTCCTTACAGCCAAGTTAGTACATGTAGGCATCACATGTGATAAATGCGAAGGTGTCATCACCGGCTTCAGATACAAGTGTGGGTAAGTACACTATCAAATGAAATTTAAAAAGTATCTGTCTTAAATATATGTCTTAATATATAAACTAATTACCTGTCTCAAACAGTGATGCTGAATACTTAGCAAAGAGTAGTGGAAGCAGTATGAGGGCATTACCATTGTATGTGGTTTAGCAGTAGGCAGATAAATATGTTAGAATGAAAAATATTTTAAAAATGTTCAATATTGTATCATATTCAATAAAAAGAGGTTCAATTTTAACAAATATTTTAAGAACTTGTAGGGATTAAATAACAGTAACATTTTAATGTTTATCCCCTAAATATGAGTTTGATATAATGGATTTGTTTATCTATTTTAGCCATTGTCTGGACTTTGACCTTTGCGAGGAGTGTGAAGCCCAGCCAGGTACCCATGACCCTAACCATGTGTTCCTGAAGCTCAAACGACCAGCATACCGTGTAGGGGTCAAGTCTGATGGTAGGGTAGCTCCTATCTTCAAGCATCCCATCTATGCTGATGATGACACACCGGTCTGGGAATACAAGTAGGTTGAATGTTGATGCTATGTTGATCAGGGATGGTAAGGTTGAATGGATAGACATGTATATAGATTCTCCCTACTTGGACTGCCATGTCCCTTGAAAAATAAAAATAACTTTGCAATACTGTAAAATGAATATAGTTTCAGGCTTTTTAATTTGATGGTATTGCTGTAAAATAGTTCATGTGACATAAAACTAGGGTTACATGTATATATCATCCCCCCCCCCCCCATTAATGAAATTCTTAACAGTGTTGTATTTTCATGCACCATTTACATCATAAGCAGGCAGTTGAATGTAGATGATTTAAAGTTTTGATGACATATGATGGGAATAGTGTTACCAAACATCAAAATTATTTCAGGGTATTGAATTACTGTTGACTGAACCCTTTTCCACTTTTTTCTTCATAGAATCAAGAAACTAGAAGAGAAGATGGCCAGGAAAGCTGCAAGGGCAGAGCTCAAGCGCAAGTACCGGGAGGAGAAACACCGTGTCAGGGTCGAGTGTCACAGCCAGGTGTCCCCAACCAAGAGAGAGAGGATAGAGAAGATGGCAGAAAAGCAGGCCGAGCAGATCATGGCTGCTGCCAGCATTGCTGCCACCCCTACAACGCCCACCACTTCAGCAGCAGATTCTACAACTGAAATAACTCCTCTGCTTGCACTGTGAGTTCTAACTCTAGACTCTTTCTATTGATGTCCTTTAATCATAGGGGATTGATTGATCACCAGTACTTAATTACCCCCAAAGCAACTAGTTTCAGTATCAAGAGTTCATGTCAACAAATTCAACTGGGTAATTGCTGTCTGTGCTGATATTAATGTGTTCAGGGGAGTTTTCACCAAGACTAAGATCAAATTTAAGTTGAACTTAAATATGGCAGGTCTTTCATGCCACTAGTTCCTCTAACCATTCCTGGTATTGGTTTCTCAAGGGACATACAAATCGTGGTCACAAATCTACAGAATTTACCTTATTTGATAGTTTATTATTGAAGGAAAAATTATTATCTAAAGATCATAATTGAGAGACCAATGATGAAAGCAACCAGTGGCATGATTGGCCTGCCATAGTTAAGTCCAACTTAAAGTCGATCTTAGTCTTTGTTGAAACACCCCTCAGGTGAAACTGATGTTGAATTGGGTGCATAAACCTCAAACACATTTCGTCTTCTCAATATGAGCAATTTTAAAGCCTTTTAGTTTTTGTGCTCATTTTAGACTTGACAATGTGGAAGATTCAGAAAGCATAATAATCATTGTTCTCATTCTTGGTGTATTATCATTGACACAGAGCTAAGTATGGTGCTGGATTTGTCAGTGACGGTAACTTACCCGATGAGACACATCTGCAGCCCCTGACTAAGTTCGTCAAGAGCTGGATCATGATCAACAATGGGAGTGTGAAATGGAACTCAGATACCAAGGTGAGAGTTGGTTTGTAGCAGTAGAGACTTGGCAGCAGAGTAGAGTGAATAGCTCAGGAGATGTGTGAAAGAAGTAGAGAAGAGTAGTTGAGGTGTTATAAGTTGTTTTATGACACAAACTCGGGTGACAATTGCTCTGTGGTTGATATCCTTCTCTCATCAAAATCCCAACTTCAATCCTGACTGAACACTATACCTTACCATAATCTCACAAATCTAGCCTAAAACCAGTTTGCAACCCAAACCCTTTGATGAAATAATGCAGTCGAAGCAGATTTTGTGATTTAAAAAAAACAACCCATAAATTCAGTGTCTTTATTTTGTTTGTCTAGTGAATAATGGTAGTTTTGAATAGCTCTTATTTGGTTGTCATTTGAAGGAAGCTCATATGAATAGTAACGAGATAACATTCTGTTTTCGGAGCGATCACTCAGGGACATGGTGGATATTACTACCGTGGCTTGAGCCGACAGTATGTCAATGTTCTAATAGCAGCATCCATTTTGTTGCAGTTGAAGTACCTGTGGGGTAACATCAAGATCCTGTCAGCTGACTCTATGGACATCCCACTCCTGTCTCCCGGGGAGGAAGGACCAATCTGTGTGGACTTTGAAGCTTCAGACAAACCAGGCCACTATCAAAGCCACTGGAGACTCACACAGAAGGGCGAACAGTTCGGCCATCGTGTCTGGTGCAATATTATCGTGGACAAGGCCGAGGTCCTGGAGCCCAGGTGTGAGAGTAAGAAGACCGTGCAGGAGGAGCTCATTCTGCCCAAAGTCAAGGTTGGTTCTCACTCTCCAGAAGATCTTGTAATGTGAACTCTCTGCAATATATTCATAGAAATAGGGGTCGGTATAAGAGTAGAGTGTTTACAAGTCAACCCCCCCCCCCCCCCCCAAAAAAAAAAAAAAAAAAAAAAAAAAATCTGATAGTTTCTTTAAAGAACCGGGAAATTAAGTACTTTAAAAGATTGATATTCAGAAAATTGTTTAGAGGACCAGTTTTGAGACAGAGATGGTATTCTCCTGATTGATAAATTTTCTTTCCACCAACCAACCAGGAGGATGAAACAGTCGAGACTGATTCCAGTGAGAACACACCCTCTAGTGACATGGCTCACCTCCAGAGTGACCAATCAGATAGTTGCTCTCCAACCAGGATGGCCTCACGCTCCGACGTCCTCACTGCTCATGATGTCTTCTCCTTCGAGCTGCTCAGTATCCATGATGATCAGGAGGCAGACAAGGAGGTAGCTGGTGTGAACAGCCCTGCTGCTACAACAACACCAAACAACACTCCCATAGGTATGGAGTGAACACACTTGGATTGTGTCTTGTATTAATTAACACAATGTTCAGAAATGTTGATATTAAGCTAGATATACTGAGGACAATAAAAAGGACTACCATGAAGATGAATGTAGAGGTATAGTTTTCAGTATCTTTTGTGTTATATGTGCATGTGATGATGGGAATGAAGGGCCATAGTCGTGATATATTCTTGTCCCTAGTCCTATGTGGAATCTTTTTCTCATTGAATTTTGACGCTGCATTTTAGTTATAAATAAAACAAGACTGAATGCATTCAAAGTGTAAACTTGAGGAAAGATTTATGCTGCATTATTGTAGAGCGCTTAGAGACTTCTGATAAAGTAAGTGTTAGGCACTATATAAGCAAGGATAATTATTATTATTATTCCTTTTTGGGTTCTTTTTCTTCTGTTCATACCATTCTTTTACAAAATGTCAATGTAAAAGTATCAAACCAGACATGCATCTGGGAAACAAATTTTTCTTTCAATACTCTCCAAAGTCCACACTATTGAACCAGAATAACTATGATTTTTTTCCTCCAACAGTTGGACTGACCCCCTGCATCTCGCCCATCCCTCAGCTAGATGAGAAGCTCCTATGCCGTAGGGTCTCAGAGCACAGTGATCTTGAGATCATCCGAAGGGAAGACATTCCAGAGATCATTGAAACCCAGGACATGGTGAGAGATGAACCAGGTTTCGAGATGGCTCAGGATGGTGTAGCAGTCGCTTTCTCGTTCTCTGATGAAGGTATGAACACATGTTTTTCTTGATAAAAGTACAACTCTCATGATTAGTTATTTCATCTGTCATTAACAATGTTTGACATTAGGTAGCAAAATGTGTTCAGGAATTTAATTAGAGGTGCTTTTCAGGATTGTATTTAGTTTTGATTAATTACTATTAAACACACATACATTTCATGACCTTGATTGGCACTTAAACAGGTATTTAGATTTCTCAGCAGTAAATATCAGAAACTAACTCCAATTAAATTTCATACCCTTAACCTACATCTTGGAATATCAAATTATGTATAAGATACCTATGAAACTGTGCCTACATGCTTTTTTGTCATAGTTATTTCAATCATTCTAATCTAAACTTACTTTTTGTATTCATTGTTTTTCTGTTTGTGGTTATAGATTTAGATGACGTTGAGAGTATCTGTAGTTCATCTGACAGTGACATGTTAGATGATTACTGTGTGGTGCCTCTACCAGATTGCTTTGATCCAACCAAGCCCTTGGATAAATCCATGATTCTCTCCAGGACATCCATGTCTTCATCAATGGTATGTAACTCTATAGAAAGGATTAAATGTATTTCCCATCCAGCACTTTCACTGGCTGACAAGAAAACGTGATCAAGATGGGAAGTTGTTTACCTTTTAGATTGTTAATGTTAAAAACTTGTTACATTTCATAGAATTGTGCAAATGTGATATAACTCTTACATGGGTGTTACTGATATACAATGTGAAATAATTGATACATTATGTGCCGTCTTCATTGTATGTATTATCATGAAACAGTTTTGGAAAGAATATACAGTCTAGATGTTTAGGTAGTTGATATTTGAGCAGATGTAGAGTCTCCTGATTTTTAAAAGATATTCAAATATCTTTTTTCATTATTTCAATCTCAGACTTCTAGCGTTCTAGCACCAAATGCTGAGAACGCACCACTGGTCAGGCTACCAAGTTATGAGGAGAGCCAGGCAGAGCTTGGAGGTTCCACCACTCCTCAAGCGTCTGCTCTCATCATCCAAGAGGACGAGGTTCCTCAGTTTTCTGCAGCCGCTGAAGACATCACTGCCCCATCAGCAGAGCAAGACGGTGGAAGGACAGAAGAGATCATTCAGATGGAAGAGGTTCCAGAGGAAGAAGCAACCAATGTGGCACCTTCTGTGGATGCCATCCTAAGCACCTCCAACCCTGCTCTAGAGATCACTCCACTCATCCCACTGGTAGCTGCAACCCCTGTTCAGACCACCATCCCCCCATCCTCCCCCAAGCCAACCACTCCTAGCCAGGAGACAGTCACAATGGCACCCATGCCAGAGATCACTCTCCTGGCCAGCCCAGTACCAACCCAGTTTGAGGAAGCTGTGCTCATCAACCCAGAAGGGAGTGTCATGTATGCTACTAGACAGCCAGAGGTGAGGATAGCATTTCTTCATCATATTTCCTCCACAATTAAGAGGCAAAAGGCACATGTTTACTTATGAAATCGAAGGCAGTGTCATTTTCAAGCATATCAAGCAGAGCTTGGATAAAGCATTTTGAAGGCTTAAACTTTAGTTGGAGACAGTTGCTCATAGTGGTAGACAAATTGTTACAAGAAATGTGAAATTCAGACCTTGTGAACTCAAGAGTGATCCTAAACGGTGTATATCTTATCATGTACTTTTGTCTATTGTCAGGTTGTGAGAGAGACTCGTACAACCCCTGTATCTAGTGCTGCTGAAGGGACCAATCTGGACTTGATCGAGACAACTGTCCAACCACAAGAGACACAGGTGAGTTGAGAAACAAGATAAGATATTTAAGATCAGTTATACTTGGAGGAGAGACTATAATCTTACAGAAGTTATATAGTTAGTTTGCTTTTCCCCTCCCAGGCACAGTTAATGCTGAAAATGATGATGATAGTGATGGTGATGATTGAGAAAATATGTAATGTAAACAAAATGATTGATGATATCTGATACTGATTAGTTTTATTCTATTTTAAAATAGGAGACTCCCTGTACCAGATGTAAATCGCCATTTTTTCAAAGAAAAGAAGACATTTTAATGCAAGTTTTGCAAATCATCAGTTTATTTTCTGTCATTAGAGATCAGCAGAAGTGCATCTTAGTATGTATCATATTATTATCATGTTATTATAATGTTCTGCTAGGTTCAAGATCGTGAAAGGCATGAGGAACATGATGATGAGTTCCATGATGCTCAAGACGTACCAACCCAACAGGAGAACACCCAGTATAACAATACCTACAATGATGTCCAAGTGGAAGCTGACCCAGTCGATCTCTTAGGGTAAGTCTACCGATGGGTGTGGTCACTTGCAGAACAGGAGGGTTGTTATTTAAAATCGTGCTTGGATAGGGCGTTTAATGGAGGCCCTTTGTAGAGGAGAGTCACCACCCTTGCTCATTAAGAACCCACTGCATTATTTGTATAAGAGTAGGGGGAAATCCTGGTGTAGTGGTCCACCTGCACACCCCATTCAGTTATACTTGGAGGAGAGACCCGAGGGTTACAGTGATTCAGTTCGCTTTTTGCCTCCCAGGCACAGGTGGTGCCAAATACTTAATGATATAATATAATCTCATTTGAAGAGCTGACCAAGAACTTCAGGAAATAATAGCATGTACAGCAGGATAATACATTTGCCAGAACAAATTGTTAAACAATGTTACTGAATTAGTACTAAAATTTGCTTACATATTAAGTGTCTTGCATGTGATCCCATTTTATTTTGGTACCTGTGTAGAAAGGAAAACCTTACTAAATACATGGATAAAAAACTGAACAATATTTCATAAACATAAACTAAAACATAATTTTCCATGTTGACAGTGAACCAACATCGATATCTTTAGTGCTCGGAAAGCGAAATTTGGAAGGTTATTTGTTGTTTATATTGAAGAAATCATGTTCTTATTGTGTAAATGACAGGTACACAGCAGCTCGTGCAGTTGAGGTAGCAGGGAATGTAGTGAGACAAGCCTTTGGCACAGCAGCGAGCTCAGTGAACGCCCTGCTAAGACCCCAGGTAAGACTCTTTATTATCTTCACTTGTTTCTATCAGGTTTCACTTTAAATGTAACCTGTTACTTTCAACTTTTCTTTCCTAACAAACGGTTAACGGTTATTTAGAATAGAAGATGAGTGGGAAGGCAATAGCAGGATTTTGGTGTAACAATATTAGAGGAAAGGAGCCGAACCCTGAAAGAAGAACATAGGGTATGGAAGCCAAAAGCAAATACGATATTGAAGAATTTGATGAGTTAGTTTAGGAATATGAAGGAGGAAGAGATGGAAGGGGTTAGAGGACGAAAAAATAGAGGAAGAACCTGTATAGGGAAATGGATTAATGCACACATAAATCATGTGTGTCCTGAGACGTTGGCGACCATGGAATGCCACAACTCTCTGTCCCATATTCTATGAAGTAATTCATTCTCCTGAGATCAATTCCACTTTCAGAAATCCCACTCCTTAAGCTACTCATCCACAGAATCCTCCTACTCCTCCCCTTGATTCTCCCCGGCAGTGCAAGATTTTCCAAACCATTCTTTCGATTAACATGACCCAAGAAGCTCTGATGTGTTATTAATTGAATTTGTATGCACCTGTTTGTGATTTCTTCTACAGCCAATCCCTAGGCCTGCTCCGTATGAACCACCAAACCTATCATCTATGGATCAGCTGATTGAGATGGGGTTCGGAGATAGGACCAAGAACCAACAACTTCTTGAGAAGCACAATGATGACGTCTCCAAGTGTGTCCAGGATCTCCTACAGGCAGAGGACAATGATTGGACCGATAACAGGCATTAGGACCTGGACCTGATGATGCCACCAAGACCGTAATTGATCCAATAAGGACATTGATTCACATACACACTATCATTACAGATTTTGAAAATTTGGAAGTGTATCCACACTTCTTTAATATTGAAGAAATTTCTAGGAAAAAACTACTTGTAGTTATTCCATTGATTATCAATGAATACTATCTAATGTATAGTGCACATGTACATTGTACTTTCTGTGTCAAGTTTATTATTCATAAGATGTGTTTGAAAGAGGATTCATAAATGTGTGAATTTTAAAGACAATTGTTGTGGACAATATTACTTTACTATACCAGTCATTAGAGTACATTAAGTAAAATTTGTACAATGTAAGTGGATGCAAGTTACGAAAAATCTTATTCGTCAAAATGAGAACTTCTTACTGTACAGAACTGCACATGTGTTATATGACTTCTTTTGCATTTGTGTAACACACTTATATTTCTTCATTTTCCTGTAAAGGTCAAGTTGGAACTTATTATATATTTCAAAGAATACTCAAGCTTCTTTTATTTCTTCCGATTATACATGTGCTGTTATGTTATTTTCTTTTTACTAGTATGTAATTAAATATGTGTGCCTATGGCATGACAAACAAAGGTCATTGGTTACTTATAGAATGAGTAGATATGCTTACATGTATGAAATTCAGAATGCCATAATTTTTTCCCCTGGCACTACTTTGTTTTTGTGACATTCACTTTTGAAATCAGACTGCCCTGTAGAGTATAAATCATATTTTTAAGATCATTACATTTTTGCACATATAACTTTTTCTCACTAATAAGTTAATCTTTTATCACTATGCCAATGTTGTATACTTCCTTTGCATGGTATGATCGTGTGATATTTGCATGTTACTTGTGAAAACTGAACATTTTTATTTTTTTGGTCAAAAAATGTGCCCCTGGCAAACTTTCTTCATTCAGATGTTATTGATCTATGATACTAACACATTTTGTAAAGTAAATATGTATTAATAACTGTAAATCTGTGTGACTGAAGTGATTTTATGCCAGATTGATTTGATTTGATCAAGTACTGCATGATACAAAAGTATCTCTTTTATTTTATTTTTCTCTATCATGTATCAATTATTATGTAATAATTGTAAATATTTTCAAGAGGATATAACACTTATATGGTGTAGAGTTAAAATGATATAAGATATGTATCATAATTTGTAGATATAAAAAAAATGATGAACAGTGCAGATACCCTTATATTTGAGGATATTAAGTTTCACCATGTAAAAAGTAAATTATTAAGCTTCAAGATCTTCTTTACATAACATAGAAAGTTAGAAGAGGTTTTTGTGTCTCCATACTATGTCTTCTCTTTGCTACTTTAAAAGCCCTCAATATATGTACTTATTACAATAATCTAATGAAGCTAGGTACCCTCATATTGCCAATTAATTTACACTTACAAATCCTCCCTCCAATACTTTCAATCCACTTTCTTTTGGTATAATGGTTTCTGAACTCAATATAATGTTCTAGTTTATATGTGGTATATTTCCAATTGATCTAGGTTTTAGATTTCCTGTGGTATAAGGGCAGAAGCTTTCAAATATCTGTTTTTGTGATCTGATATTGTCAAAGCATTGTGAATCCACAAACTTGCAGGAAGTAAGAAAGATAACAAGCCGCACTGACTTCACAACTTTGTTGAAAATGTGGTTGTCTAATCTATCCCTGCATCAAATGGCTTGGTAATTATTGAGAGATAAGAAATATTACAGACTTATATAGACAATATATGTGATGTAACCAAAGAGGACTATATATAATATAATATTATCCTGGCAGAGAAAAATTAACCTCCATTTTAAATTTTTTATTTTACTCTTATTTTCTTGAATTGAACAGTGTTGGGGACACCAATGCTAAACAAAGGAATACTTTACTGTTTGTGTATAGATGATTTATTCAGAGTTTGAAGAGGATATGCAGCTTAAGAATTGAGTATGATCATCATGTATTTGACATTTTTAATTTAAAGTGAATAGCGGAAGATGTGATTGCTGTAAAGCTAGTGTAATTTGCATGTAAGGATGTATGAGGTGTGAGAGAGCGACACGGAGGTGAAAATCATCTTGAAGAATGTGTTATTATGTGAAAAATGAAAAAAAATGAGTATATTAAAATAAAGATGTATATGCAACATCCTTGTCCTTGTGTTATTTTTGTTTAGTGTTTTTCTGCAACATTAACAATGGTGTAGATGCTATGATGGTGTTGTGGTGGTAATGTTGATAACAGATGAAGATGATGATGAAGTTAATACAATTTTACTTGATAGATGCATGGTGATAGATGACGATGGTGGTCATGATGATGCTGATGGTGGTGCTGCTGATGTGGGTTGAAGACGATTGGAGGAAGATGATTGTGATAATGATGCGATGATGACGAAGACCACCAATACCATGAATGATGGGGATGATGATGATGATGATGGGGATGATGATGATCGAAGAGTCGGGGGGGGGGGGGGGGCTGTTGTGAACAAGTTGTGTAATAAGCTCTAGATCGGCTAGTTCTAGCTGGCTAGCTATAAGCGCAAAGCGCGATTGCATGCGCGAGCGCAATGTGTGTACATTCGTACATATATACGCCCGCTCTGCGCGCCCCGAACAGATCGCATACGCTCTTGCACTGCACTGCACACCCTTGTTCGCCGTTTGTGAGTCGAATGTCGTCGACATCTAACAACTAAAACCAAACCATAAATCAACTAAATCAAGTGTGGTAGATCTATACCAACAGAAAAGACGACCGCATTATCAGTAAGAATTTACTTGATCTATCTGGACAGATGTTCCGGAGAGGTGAGTTAATTAGCAAGTTAAAAAATCAGTTAAATGATATTTTGTGATCAGTTGAAATAATGAGTGCCTCGATCTTGCATGATCACGGATGATTAGATGAAGAACGGGACGCTGAGCTTTTCTATCGGAGCAGTTCCCGCAACCTGGCACAGTGATTTTCGTGTTCATTGTTGCGGCAGGACTTAACTGTGCAGTGTGCGATGTCCGCGGTCGCCGCGCCTGAGCTTTAGGCTTTATTTTTTAGGCTGAGACTCGACTCGGCCTCGGGTCTCTCTCGAAAAGGTTTACTGAACTTGAAACGCTGTAACTGTTAGTATATTTACTGTTAGTTCTCGTCAGCAATTTTGATGAAAATATATTTTATTGATTGCCTTTTGCCATCGTCTTTTTATAATTGTGTTTTGCCTTTAAAAATAAAATGAAAGTTTGATTGACTTCGAATTTTGATGAACAAGTTTGTTTGCCAACTTGTTAAATTAAGATTTCATTTATCATGTCATGACTTTTAAGTTATTCATAATTTAATGCTAAATATTTCATGCTAAATTGACAACAAATGAGATACTATTCTAGATCTGCACTTAATAACAAATTTAAAAAACAATAACATTTACTTTAGTTTAGGCCACCTAAACTTAAGCTAAGTCACTACTCTGTCCATTTATTCAATCGTAATGTTTAGAAATTAGAGATTTCATCTCCAAATCAGAGTGGAGACAAATGTATGAAATTTTCACTGCTTGCGATTACATGTGTATTGGAATTGGACCATAAATTCAGCTACGCACTTAGTGTCCAAAGGCCAAGTCGTCTATTTTAGTGTTTTACATATATTATATGTAGGATATTTTCTTATGTTTTTCATGGTTCTGCATTTCACTCTAAAATTGATTTATGGAGAAAAAAATCCTGACCGATAAACGTCAATGCCCATCAATCATCCATGTATAATTTGTTAAACAAAATCAAAATGGTCACAAGCTATGCATGTGTAGATTTTACCGTTGTAAATGTGAATGTGAATTAATTTTAGGGCAAAACGTCAATGATATTCACGTTACTCGGTCTGATCTGAAATTTTGCGCAGCGTACATGCTGCATTGTGTATATTTGCAGGGTGCTTAGCTTATGGATCCTTGGCCATTTTTTGACTACCGGTTACATTTACATCATATTGATTGAGCCTTGTAGGCATCCATGAGGGTACTGTCAATTAAAGATAAACTCCAGTTCCGGTAAAAACAAGAAAATTAATTCTCACAGAATCAAACGAAACTTACACTGAATGTTCAAGATTACAAATAAATGACATGTGCCAAACAATTTTGGAAAAAAAATGTATACTGGCTGAGTAATGAGCATAGAAGACAAGGAAATCAAGGTACAATGTAGTACTAGCCCAGACACCATGTGTGTTGTCCCATATATAGCTTTCTGTGTGTACAGTGCTTGTTACTTTACCAAGACTGGGTCAAATTTATTATGATTTTATTTTTGATGACTCCAGAACCTTGCAGTGCACACCAATACTTACATGCTACATGACACTATGAACATGACAGACAATGAAAGCGGACAAAATATACAGTTCCTCAGGTAGACAAAGGGACATCCCTTCACTGCTATTATTTAAAAATGTGTAGAACAGGTGTCACATGCATATTCACCTATTTTACACATTTTTACATAATAGCAGTGAAGGGATGTTCCTTTGTCTACCTGAGGAACTGTATATTTTGTCCGCTTTCATTGTCTGTCATGTTCATAGTGTGATCAACTGTTTCTGATCCTTTTCACACCTTTTCTTTCACAATGCAATCGCATTACCAGTACTAAAGTTTATCTTTAATACCTGAATTCCTGAAATGTAGTGTGATCCTTGATTGCATTATTTGCTCATGTTATTATGTAATATCACTTTTGATGAATCTGTTTTAGGTCTGACGACGATGGCTGACTACATTCCAAGACCCTGTGTTTTCTGTGGGCCTTCAGGGTCTGGTAAGAGCACACTGATCAAGAAGCTCATGGATGAACACCAAGATACATTTGGCTTCTCTGTCAGTCGTAAGTACTGAAGAATCTTATAAGGGAAATCCCATCTTGATAACTTTGGTCTTGATAGGAGCAGAAAAGTTTGAGCAGAATCTAATTTAAAGGGAAAGTCCACCCTGAAATTAAGTTAGTTTTAATAGGAGTAGAAAAATGAGAGAAACAAGTCAGTGAAAGTTTGAGCAAATTCCGATTAAAAATAAGGAAGTTAGGATTTTTGAAGTTGTGATCAATCAAACACAAATTGGCAACTCTATGACGTATCATGCGAGCTCAACTTCCATTTGCTCAGTACTAAAAAAATCTAAAATTTTCATTTTCCCTCAAGAAAAATTTCAACCATACATGCACCCTAAATATAATAATTGCAAATATGTTTCTATACTCCCCCTGCAAGGAACAAATATATATTCCGTCATCAATAACGAAGAAAACATGATTTTATGGAATATTATGCACAAAGCAAATGAAGGAGAGCTCGTATAATAAGTCACAGAGTTGCCAATTTGTATTTGATTGATCACAACTTCAATAATTCATAACTTTCTTATTTCATTCAGAATTTGCTCAAACTTTCACTCACCTGATTTTCTTATTATTCTGCCTCTATCGAAACAAAATTATTTTTGGGGGTGGACTTTCCCTTTAAAATAAGAAAGTTATGAGTTTTTAAAGTCAATTAAACACAAAATTGCAACTCTGAAGTACATGTATCTGGGAGAAAGAAAAAAATTCCTGTAATACATACACTCTAGATATAATCATTGCAATTTTGCTTTTATGCAACCTCTGCATAACTACGAAATTGACAATTTATAGAATTATCTGTACATGGCAAGCGGAAGAGGACCTCAAAAGATATATGTCGCAGAGTTGTCAATTTCAGAATGGACTTCCCATTTAAGTTTTAACAATTTAGTAAACATAACACAAGACAAAAATGGCATGGATTCAAATAGGCATTGGCAAAGTTTCAAATCAAACCCATGATGATTAAATCATTTATTGAGTTTGCTAGAAGAATGGAAGTAAACAATTCAAGGTTAATCTCTATTCAGTTTCAAATTTTCAATTGTAAATTACTTCAAATTAGCTGTTCTTCATACCATTTGTACTATAGAGTTTACAATCAGCTTTGTTTTCTGTCTGTTTGATGAACTGTATAGACAAGCTTGAATCAAGTCAGTACTAGTGGCTACTAGTTTATGTCTTTCAGTATTGATACTGTGTATTTTCCATTCAGACATTTATTTTTCACTGGTATTAATTAAAAAAGTAATACCACTAAAAAAAAAGAGGCATATTTATCTTCCTGTCGTTATATTCATTAGAAAGATTTCCACCACAGCCTTAACATTTCAGATAGTACTTTGAAAGAAATTTAAAGCAAAGCAAAGCAAACAAAAACATATGATAACAACAGATAGATGAATTGTGCGTAATGTACATTGATTATGGTAAGCACATTGTAATCACGCTTCCAGTATATTTATTCTGTTTTGTTGTTGATTGTTTACATGTAGATACTACAAGGAATCCAAGGCCAGGGGAACAGGATGGAGTTGGTAAGTCAACATTTTCCCAAAGTCTTTTTGTAATGCAGTCAAGAAATAAATCAAATAGGCCTATCTTAATTATGTATCTTTGACAAAAAATGAAATTTTAATTAGCAAACGGTAATCACTTGACAGTACTACTGTATATAATATAATGCTTTTTGTGTGATTAAATGAAGGGAACACCCTAGTCTTATTCACAAAAATGTATTTAAACTCTAGTCTACCTTACATTGCTTTGATAATAGCCATACATTATATGCATATGTAGGGATGGGGTGGGGTGGGAGAATTAGAAAGTATAAAAAACAGAAATATTCAATTCATATATAGAAGTTAAGTAATTAAACAATAAATTCACTTAATTTACATTGTGTATTGCATGAGTGCTGTGTTTGAAAGGGCACACTCCTTGTATTGTCCATAATCATGGTTTAGTGCATACATGTAGTTGAGCTGAACGTTGGTTACCATTGTCAGAGTGTTGACTGTTGTATTGTCTGCCATACAGCCTGTAATTTAATTCAGCTATACAGCTGAGAAGTGTGTTGTGTAGGTGCTGTACTTTGTTTATTCAGTTGAAGCCACCTTGAATAATCTAATTTGGATGTAGAGGTGAAGACCATCGGGTTATAGCACGTAGTAGGGCAATATTGATTAGATTGTTATTAAGAAATTGAAGCTTCATGTACATGTACATGTTTTTAGATCGCACATTTACTTGAACTTTTGAAATTGTATTTAAGTACATGTATTAGGTATTAACAAATGATATGTTTTCATATAGTATTTTGTTGATTTTGAAAAAGGCATTTTTTCCTTGATCTAGTCTCACAATATAATGTGAAAAGGTATTACTGTTCATAATGATATCAAAATAACGCCCACAATAATAATCACAGAACTAAGGACTGTGAGAGTATTTTAGTCAGAAAATCATGTCTGCTGTAAATAGTATTGAATGACAAATTCTCGCATGATATATATGCAATCATGATCCTGAAGGTAAAGTTAGCAATACAACGATATTGTTACATTTATCAAACTGATTACAAATAAATCTTTCTTCAAATGTGCACTGTAAAAGCACATCTTGTTTAAAAATAATCTGCAGTAAGATATAAAAACAAATGAGGTAGTAGAAACATATTATAGCATATTAGATGAAAGCACAATTCAACTACCATCCTTAAATCAGAAAGTATATTACAGGTAAGTTTTACTTATATAGGGTATTCTGTCTTTCTTTATGCTAGCTGTAATATGACATGCTTTGCATACCTGCATCAAATCCAAAGAGTTATTTTTGGTTCAAACATTGCACAGCTTCACTCAAACATTGAAGCTTTTTAAATCAATTATCATACTTTGGGTGTTTCATCTAATTACATGTAGTATCATTCCAATTTCTCTCCATGAAAAGTCTTTTGAAAAATAGTTTCCTTTTCTCATACCTTGTCAGATTATCATTATACAACTCGGGAAAAGATGGAAAAAGCCATTGCAGATGGGGAGTTTCTAGAGAGTGCTCAGTTTTCAGGCAACCTGTATGGTACAAGGTAAGACGATTTGTGTGTGTTGTGTGTGTGATTTAAACTGGCTTTTCTGCAATTCTCTTAAAATGCATAGAAAAATGTAAGAGGACTGCTAAATTTGGTACATATAATTTGATAATATGATTTTAAGTGGGATGACATTTAATAAGCCTTGTAATGTGACCTTAGAAAAAAGAACAGGTAAAGGATTTTCTTATTTTCACAATTATCTCATTAACAGGAAAGGGTTAGTGTTGTGGCTGCGTTTGGGTTTAAGGTAGGTTTTGGGATGGGTTCAGGTTAAGGATTCGTTTAGTGTAGGAAATTATTACGGAGCAATTATCACAGGAGCAAGTGTCGCACAACCGTTGGAATTTCATTGTAAACGTTTGGATGAAATTTCTTTAATGGTTATTTTTGTGGAAGCGCTTGGGTAACAAAAATGATGTAAGATTTTGGATGTTACAGAATATCAGAGATGAAAAGTGATACTCTAAAGGGCACTGATAACAGAAATGGAAAAAGAGTTCTTGATGAGATTTACAGTATGTTAACTTTTTCATTGGGGGAGGGGGGAGGGGGCAAAGTATACACAAGATAGAAAATGATCAAAAGGAAAGACAAGATACACAGCAGAGTGACTACCGGTATAGATGTAGCTTGTAAGGCTATTCTTTATTTCCAATGCAATTCACACAGCTCATTGTTAACTTTGTATCAAATAACACATTCCATTGATACATCTGCATGTACTGGTATCAAATGCACTAAGTATCAAATGCACTACCCACTAAGTGCAACTGTGAAAATCTAATTTCTTTCTTCATGTCTCAGGGGAAACTTAATTTATGGTCCATTACAGTCTCCATGGCAACAGACATGTGCATCAATGCTTTGGGTGTGATGTACATGTAAATTAGATTAGTTTTTCAACTTTTTTTCTATTGTTGATTGATACAATTTAGGTCTGGATCTCTCTCTGAATCTACCAATTCTCTTTTTTAGCTGTCATTTTATGAATTTCCTTCTCAGGTAGACTGCATTAATATAAAAATGAAGTGAAGTGTAATATGTCGAAGTGAAAGTATTATTAGATTATGATATATCAAGCAATACTTGCAGTCTATGCATTTTGCACTGCTGTAGAGTTCTTGTCACTGTATTGAATTGCAAACTGCACCTTTTTGAGGTGCTTGAACAAGAATTCCTTATCTAATTACTGTCCATTTTGTCTAAAGTTTCTGGTTTCTTGTGTGCATAAAATATCTTGTTGTGTAAGAGGAAATCTTCATGTACATATATGCTCTACTAGAACTAGTCTTCTCTATCATGTTTACTATGATTATTATTTTTATTTTTAAAGAATGCAATGTTGTTATACCATTTAAAGGTAATACAAAGCTTTTGGGAAATTTTGAAAATTGGGTGGATAGTGAATCTTTACAATTTTGTTATATTTGGATGCCCCTGTGGATGTTTCATAAGCACAACAAAAATTAGCCCCTAAAACACTTCTGTTTTCGAGAAAAATTTAATATAAAAATTTACCGGTGCTCTCGGTAAATTTTGATAAATTTCAAATAGCGCCTATGGCCGTACAATGGTAGCTGCGACCATGAAAATCTCAGAATATGTAGTTGTGATATATAATTTCCAAACAGGAATAGCTAATCGGTCGATTTTAGTCAAGAAACATTGTTTCATAGCTAAATTAATATTTGGCCTTGAGAGGGAGCTATACAACATAAAGAGTTTATTATTTATAATTTCATAACTTTAGACTCGATTTCAACCACGACAACGATCAATGAATATTGTAGGAACGCATATGCTTCCGAAATTGTTAATTTGAACCAAATTCATGATCCCCATACCCAAACTTTGTAATACCTTTAAGCATGTATTCAATGATAATGGTTGTCCATGTGGTATTTCACTGTATTTGACCATACATACAATCCCCTCTACTGACTATCCTTTGTGTCCCTAAGCTGTTATTTGTTGACTCAAAGTCACTTATCCTTTATACAAATTTTTTTTCTTCCTCAAATATATATATTTTTGTTAATATTTTGCAAGTGTATAATATAGATCATATTCATCTACATATTATACATTTCAATGTTTATTTTTGTTGCATAGTAAAAAGGCGGTTCAGGATGTGCTAGCAGCCCAAAGGATCTGTATTCTAGATATTGAAGTCCAAGGGGTGATGAGCATCAAGAAGACTGACCTCAAACCAATCTATATCTTTGTCAAGCCACCGAGCATTGCAGTCTTGGTAAGCAGAAGGATACCTGTATCAAAGCTATGCAGGATTGAAGTAGATCTGAGAAAGGAGAAACAAGAGAGGGAGAGAGGGAGGAAGAAGAAGAAAGAGAAAGTGTGAAGGGGGGAGAAAAGAAAGGGAGGGAAAGAGAGGGAAAGGGAGGAGGGGGAGGGAAGGAGGGTGAGGGGGAGTGGCAGGGAATGGAGAGAGAAGAGAGGGGATGATGGGAGGGGAGGGGATGGAGTGAAGAGAGAGAGAGAGCAAAAGATGTAACTTGAATGGTACAAAAATCACTAGCCACAATATACAAAATTTGTAAACAAATTTCCAGAAATTAAACATTGAGAGTAATTTTTCAGGAATTTGTTTCAATGTTCAACTCACCATCAAACTTTGCCCACAGGAACACTCATTGCTTTTCCTGTTTTCGCAAAGTGTTATGGAGTACAACACATGATGTTTGATGTTAAAGATGGTTGAATTGAGTATTTCTTTTTCTTTTCACTCTCTTTTTTTCAATTTTAGGAGGAAAGACTTCGAGGCCGACAGACAGATTCTGAAGAAGCCATTCAAAAGAGATTAACAACAGCAATAAAGGAAATGGAATACAGTAAGTTTTACATGGAAACCACATTCAATTTTCAATTCAATTCATTTATTTTCCCCCTTTCAATCGTTCATATTTTCAATGATGGTACATTTTAACATATTCACATATTTATATACATATAGATCAATTTGCACAATACAATACATTAAAAAAATAAACATGAAATTGAAAGGTTATGCTACAGATTCTGGTTTTTTTTAATACAAAGAGGCTTTTCCATTGGACTTGATTATAGACAGGAAATAGGAAGCTAAAAGAGAGATAATCTGATACAGACAGACAGAGAGAGAGAGAGAAAGAGAAAGAGAAAGAGAAAAAGAAAAAAGGGGAGGAAAGAGAGAGAGAGAGATAGAGAGAGAGAGAGAGAGAGAGAGAGAGAGGGGGGGGGGGGGGGGGAGGGGGAGGGTAGGGAGGAGGGGAGGACCAGTTTAAGTATTACCAGGCAAGGACTAGGTCGTTAGGGTTTTTTCTGCAAAAAAGTGAGTGAAAATAAAAACTTGTTAATAAAGGCAAAAAACAGCTTATAGAATGGATTGTACTAAAGTGGCAAATTGCAGATTTAATATGGTCGTTTCTGGAACAACCAGATAAAAAGTAGACCTCCACCGGAAACTCAGCATGTAATATTGTTAGATTGATAATGAAACTGGTTTATCTGAATATTTCATTGACAGGACTGGTACTTATATTTCATGTATCTTGATGAAAGGTTTTCAACGTATTCACACTTTCATTGTATATTACATGAATGTCTGTAATGTGTTTCCCTTTGTACACAATGCTACATCCATCCCTCATGATATATAGATTTGATGTGTTTATCATGCTTTATTCCATCTCCATCATAGCATGTGCATTCTTGCTGTTTTCCCTTTAATGTGTGAAGCCATATAATGATGTGATGCACGTGTTTGCATCGTTTTAAGAGACTCACTCTCCACCTAGTGTACAGTACTTTTCAATCCAGATGCAGATCCAGGATTATTGGAGGGGGGGGGGGGGGTTTGAAGGAGAAAAATATACTGACAAAATTAAGAAAGAATGAAAAGGAAAAACAGGTTTCACATTTCAGGCGCATTTTCGGTCTAAAATATGAAGGGGCACAAACCCACAATAGGCCATTTTTTCGTAATGTAACCAAATTTAATGCATAAGTCTTTTTGAAGTGCCTCAATACAAATTATTTCATTCACCTGATAAGAATAATAGTATTTCAATAGACAGAACCAAACTGCATACATTAGTTGTTGCCAGGTTGGACAAACATTATGGCTTGACCTACCTAGCAACACTTATATATGCAGTTTGCATTTCGACTATTGAAATACTATTATTCCTATCAGGTGAATGAAATAATTGGTATTGAGACACTTCACACAGACTTACAGTATGCATTAATTTTTGTCACATTACGAAAATGGCCCATTGGCGGGGGGGGGGGGGGGTGTATTTGTTTTATTCCAGAGTAGGGGAGGGGGAGGCACTGGCTGATGTAATCAAACATCAATGTTGCGGATATATATAATATTTCTTTGTTTATTATAAACAGATTAAAGTCACCTCCCTGTTAGGCTTTTGATGTTGACTATATTATCTTGACATGCTATTGTGACTTGGTTTATTTTACATGCATACAGTTGACAAGCAAGAGCCATGTGAAGGAAGTACATATTTCATCATGAATGATGAATTTGAAAGGGCATACAGTCAACTTAATCAAATATTAGATGATGAGATTAACAGGCTCAAGGCAGGATAAGAAAATTTGATTTGTTCATTTTTTTAATGTTTTAAACATTAGAGTTATCATGTCTTTTGTTTAGTATTGTTTGTTAATAGCATAGAATATCTAATCATATTACTTTGTACTAAAACAGTTGGATTTCTCATCGATTAACAACTTAATGGGTTGATTTACTGAATGAAAGTTTTAAAGCCCCTCTAAAGTGTTGGGAGCCCCAAATTCGCCAAAAATGTTATCATAATGTGAAAGAGGATGTCATTTAAGACACTCTTTTGCAATGATTCCCCCCCCCCCCCCCTCCAAAAAAAAAAAAAAACGTTTGAAGACATATATTGATAAAAGAACACATAATTTTTTTTTTTTTGTATGCAGAAAACCTAAATGTTGTATTCTTTCATCAGTATTAGACAAATTTTTCGGAAAATCCTTGCAGAAATGTGTCTTAAAAGACATGCTCTTTCACATTATGATACAATTTAAGTGAAATTTTGCCATCAAATTTTAAGGGCTCCCAACACTTCAGAGGGGCCTTAAACTCTTGTTTTAATCATTCACTTTTGAAATCAACATTGATAGTGCACCAAACACCGTACATTATAGACCGTTTAACATAAAAGGTATCCTTGTTACTTTCTTCGGCATGATTTCTATGTTTTTTGTTAAACTAACCACTTAAACATGTTATGTGTAATGATCACACTGCATGCTGTATATCATTATCCACTGCACCCTATCAAAATAAAATCACACCTAATTTGTAGATGGAGTTTTAAACAAAATAGCATTTTTTTACGTAGTTCATTCAAATTTTAGAAATATCAATTTGGGGCAAGAAGGAAAAGAAAATTGTGTGTGTATGTGTGAAACTGTTTTTGTTCTTCTCAAATAACATTACAACCCAGCAGAAAGAATATCTGTGTCAGACTAAGATTGATAGGTGTGTGTGTGTGTGTGTGTTGTTTGTGTTGTGGGTTGGTGGGGGAGGGGGGGGGGGTGGTGGTACAGTATTTCATTCAACTTTAGTCTTTTTAATATTTATTATTATAGTTCAGCTTTGATAACCACTGAGTTATTGAAAATTTGAATAGGAAACAGAATATTGAAGCAAATAAACAATGGTTTAACGAATTATTCATGTTTTATTTTTTTTTACTAACTTTTACATAGTTTATTTCTAACCTACTTTGTCATTCACATTATAATTATCTTGCTTAGATGTTTTAAACTGAATCTTTCATTTTATTCAGAATTGATTATAGATTTGACAGAAAATGTATATTCTTATGTTAAAAACAACCACTAATTTTTATTGTGAGTATTATCATGTTTTAAGGAAATTACAATTCTAAGCAGGCAATTCAGGCTCAACCATTCTACTTTTAGGAAGTATACACCTTCTGCAAATATATAGGATTAATAATTGTTTATGAAAAAGGTAAATCATCCATAAAATTGGATGGGATTATATTAAATCTTTTTAATTAAGTACCTATACAATTCATGCAATGATATTGTTTTAATCATTGTTTGATTTAAAAAGGTCATTTTCATGTATCATTTAAAACATGACATGTGTCCAGGACTTCCTTATTTTGGTTAGGTGTTGGTAGACTGAACATAGAGGATGGGTATAGAAGAGGTAGGAGTTCCCCATGTCAAATATGGATGCCAGATAGATCACTTTATAGCTTATTTTGCATAAGTTGATATCATTCTCAAGTAACCGTAAAAAGAATTATCATGGTGTGTCCTTGAATTTGCTTGATTTACCACTATGAGTCCTTGCATAACCTTGTCCAAGCTTGTTCAAGGTTTATTCTCTTTGAAATGTAAGATAGTAGGTCATGATAATGTGGCACCATGTGATAATTTGTTTCACCATCTGGTCATTTTTAACAGTGTATATGTGTCTGATGCACTATCACCTGTTAATGTTATCTTTCTGTTTCCTATCCTTCTGTCTGTCAGAAGTGATAGTCATTCCTCCTCCTACTTACTTATGTCCGTTATTTGTTTTTTGTATCCAGTCAATGACGAGACCTCCTCCAACTCAACCTTCATCGTAGTGAATGAAGACAAAGAGGTGACTTATGAACAAATCAAGGGGATCCTAAGCACGGACATCGTCAATCTAAGGGACATCAGATACAAGGCAAAGTGACCTTTCCATGTCGTTGAGTATCTCCGGATGAAATATCATGTATTTCTTAAACTACAGAGCGAAATATTTACGTTTTCTTAGTGTAAGGTATATGTGTATTTTATAGATGAAATCGGCATGTTCATGATTTCTAGCACTTCCAATCTATCTGTCTCAATATATTCTTCTATTATTGTTCGTAGAGTGATCATGTTTCCTTGGTAGTTATTCAAATGCTGAAAAGTTTCAATAAACGATAGCCTGGATTCATACAAAGGGACTGATTTTAATCCAGTTTTAAATCTTGATTAAGCAGGCAGAGTAAGTTGTGGACCACCAAGTGTCAATGTCTCAATTCTAAAAGATTACCATTATCATGATATCATGTTGGATTCATTTCATATTCATACTCTTATGGATGTACAGAATAAAGATCTTGACACTTGATGCTAGGCACACAAGTCAAACCAGGATTCACTTAGACCGCCTTCATGAATATGGTAAGATGTATTTACATGAATTTATTGCACACAATCCTTACTGGATTTGGGGTAATTTATGTTTGCGGAGTACAGTTACTCTTATTCAGTAGATTACTAAAGTAACTTATCTTCAACGTGAACCAAATTGGACGGTTTGATCAGGTTGCTGTGTGCATGTTTGCCTAGTTTAGAGTGATCTTCTGACCTAATTCACATTCAGTGAGCCCAAATATAAGTAAAGTGTGTATTCAAATACTGTTTGCTCCTCATATTAATCTACAAATCAATGATGTGGAGACTAGATTCAATGTGTTGAAATAAACATGTAATGTGGGCATACCAGTTTATACTTCTAGCTTACAGTGATTTGCCTGATCATATGGCAACTGTTTACATGTATTTAGCACATATGCACTATGTGCAGGTTCATAAAAGCTCTGAAATTTGCACCATATGGTTTACCTTGTCACTCATCTAGTAGTTTTCACATACATAGCAAATCAGCAATGCAACAGAAATATTTATTAGCCTCTTGAATCAAATGAAGGAACAAATACAAGAATTGAAAAGTATGAAAGGTAATTATATGAATTTTTCATTGCTATGCTGCGTGTGTTTGCTTATACATGTACATGTAAAGATATATTTCCTTGCTATGTGTGAAAATAGTTGGTATTCCTTGATTTTGTGTGTTTAAAAGATTTATCTAGTTTGTGTTGAAACTTCAAAGTGTATTTAAGCAGAACAAATGCAGTTTTCTTGAGTTTGTGTCTTTTGATCTGCTATGTACTAGTAAAAACTTTCAGATTCACGGCTTGAACGATATACCCCAGTACTTGTTAGTACAAATGATTTTACATGTAAGTAGGAAAGTACACAATTATTGTTAGATTTTGTATCATACGGAAGATGTATTGACATACAAATTTATTAAAATGTCAATGGAATGTTCCTGAGTTATATAGTTGATGTATCAGAAAGGTTATCTTCAATGTTCTGTATCATACTCTAAAAAAAAAAAAAAATTGGCAATTTGTTAACGATAGCCAATTTTCATGGCCAGAAACTTTGCGAATCTGGACCACTTGTGAAAGTCTGTAGAGATTCAAGCATTTAAAATTTGTAGTTTTCCTAGAAGCAATTGATCTGTGGAGTATTTTATACCTACACATACATGTATATGTAGGTACAGGCGCGTACGCAGGATTTTTTCAACGGGGGGTTTTAACATTTATAAATCGGGCCGAAAATTTCGCAACGACTCAGCCAGCCGCTGAATAAGCGGGGGGGGGGGGGTAAGAGGTCACTTTTTTTTTTTTTTTTGGTCCAAAAAAATCGCAACGACTCAGCCGACCGCTGAATAAGCGGGGGGGGGGGGGGTAAGAGGACACATTTTTTTTTTTTTGGTCTCGAAATTTGAAAATTTGACAGTTTGCTCCGTTGGGGGGGGGGGGTAAGGTCAGCTTGTTTAGGTCAACCATGGGTTTTTTTTTTTTTTTTTTTTTTTAATAAAAAAAAAAGAAAAAAGAAAAAAAAAAATCCAAAAGGGGGGGGGGGGGGGGGGGGGGGGGGTTTTAGAGAAATTTAGGGGGGGGGGGTTTACACACAAAAAATTACCAAAGGGGGGGGGTTTAACCCCCCAAACACCCCCCCTGTGTACGCGCCTGTGTAGGTATAATATTTCTTCCTATTCTGTAGTCCAACTCAAGGATTATTTTATAATAGAATTAATACTGAAATTAAGGTTCGATCAGATATAGCTGCTGTTACACAACAAAGGTCCTGCTCGTATTCACTGAGTTTTGTGTGTTAAGATATAGAGAAACGTGACACACAATATGCTTGACGTCATCATGAAAAGATATAAAGGGTTTACTGCAACACAACTAGGATAAAGTGTGTGAAAGATGTAATCAAATTGCAAACACTATCAGTCTGTATGCACCATGTATGTGTTGTACTAATTTGTATTTCATCTAATGATATCAACATTGAAGAAAAAAATGATACCAATGAAATGATAGGAAGAAAGAGATGAAGTAAGTGAAGCAAATATAGTTACCAATATCATGCATTCCCGAAATTGTTAAGGAATTAAGTGTTTATAAAATACTTGGAAGGAAGGAAAATATTGAGCTGTATCATTGTGCTTTGAAAGCTCCATGTTGTTCAATTTAATGAAGAAATAGTGAGTACCTTCTTAACAGCCTTTTGCTATCAATTGTCATTAAAATGGGATTAATTTTACCCTAAAATTGTTGAGAAATAAGATGAAATGAATTTGTGTTCAAAAGAAGCAGCTGCATGTGTTTTTAATATCTGTTTGGTTCGGCTTACAATTTTTTTATACATTTATGTGTTTGTTTTTATATTTATTGTGTGAGTTTTGGTATGAATTGCTTAATCATCAAAACAGTAATCCATTCAATGAGACATATTCTGAGTGTGGAAATAACCCCATTATCTGATGAATTGATATTCAAATATTGGAACACATCTTTAATATTTATGGATTTAAATGTACCCTTTGATCATTGTTAGAGATAAGCTTAACATATCATTTACATAGTTGTTTTTTATGGTAAAGTATTGCACAATATTTTGTTAGCATGATGCTTCCACCCTCGCACGAAGGTTTGGTCTTGCTCAAACAGATATAAAAATCTGAACAAGATATTGATATGAAGACTGTTCATTCACATACATGCACTTTAGTAATCAAGATCACCTTTTCAGAGTGAATGTAGTACTTGAGCAGTTGAACTGCAACAGTGGATGTAATCTACAGCTGTAGCAATGGAGTGAATCGTGTAGGTCGATTTAATCAAGTTTATTTGAATTGTAATTTGAATCTTTTATAAAACTGTGGCAATTACAAGATATTGTACTTTAATGTATGTTACTTAGCTCTTAATTTCATTCTCTTCACTTGCATTGTACTGTAAGTTTGTCTAAATTACAATTTGTCCTTTAAATCATGTGGATTGATTTCAAATTGCAGAATATAAAACCTCATGTTTTCACTGTCGTGTAAACCAAATGATATGTATTTGAAGCATCATTCAAACGCATTTATAAACATACTTATAAGACAGCCAAGAGAATTTTGTCTTGCTGCTGTAGCATTGAATATTATTGACATTAATACGGCATTATTGAATCGTGACTAGAATTTTTACCTCATATAAGTGAATGTACGTTTCAGGTAATTATGAAGAATTCAAATATTCTAACAAGAACTCATTATCACAATGCCTATTTCATGTACTGTTTAGATGTTCTATGGCGATTGTACGAAGTTTTATCCTCAATTAATTTAGCCAAGGAGATTCTGTTTCGCTGTGATTCAAGTGTCTGTAGTTTGAACTGTATCAGAAATTTCAAGTTTGATTTTAAATGCTATTATTTTGCAAAATTATGGAAAGTGTGTATATAATAGAATCTTGATGTTTTATGAGAAATATGTACATGAAATACTAATATCATAACAAGGAATAAGCATGAATGTTTTCCCCTTTTAGTAGGATACCTTCCATTGGACATTTCATTAATCATTTTACAGAAAATAACATTAAAGTTCAACTGAGGAATGAAATGAATACAGAAATAAGATTGTGTATCAAAATCATGCATCGAATATTAAAAAACCTTGATTTTTATAATTATTTTCAATATTTTGGTAATTTGTTATTGTGAGATCAGTAATATGTCCAATTTATTATGTGCATTTGTGTAGATGACCAATTTTATACTTTTCTGTTGGGATATATTGCAAATAATTGGAATAACAAAAGTATAGTTCATGTGTGTATCATGGCAACTCATAAAGGTATTCAGGAATTTGAAGTAATGTGCATGACTAAACACCCCAAATGTTGTTTCATTATTTAATCTTTCTTGGTGTGAAAATTGAAACAAAACAATGCATGAAATACAGAGTCAAATAAAATAGTTATGACACAACAAGAAAGATTTTTTCGATTATCTGTTTTTTCTTTATTTTACATTGTATTAGTTGACCAAAATGTGTTGGTTAGGCTCCTGGAATTAAAACATTTGTTTCAATATTTCTGTGACAGGGTCAACCACTTAATTAGAATTCAGTTCATGGAGAGAAGCATGATAGTGAATATTGAACTAATGAACTTAGTTTTAAACTAGACTCCTTCATGAGCTCAAATTCATAATTCGCAAACACAGACACACACGTACAAGTCCAAGGGACAACCTTTGCAGAACAAACAGTTTCAGATGTAGACTGTATATAGCAGGTAATATAAAGGTAATATAATATTTGGTTGCAACCATGTCAATAAAAATGAATAGGAAATACACCCCCCCCCCCCAAAAAAAAATAAAATAAAAAAAAAAAAAATATATATATATATATATATATATATATATATCGAGGGAAAACATAATTTATATCTTGTTTAGCGACCTAACTTACATCCTTGAGGAGAATACCTTTCACAGGCTTAGGCATGCTATTTATTGACTACATGTAAAATCAAGAAAATCTTACTAAACATGTAAATGGGTTTTTCCAGGACTTCATAATATTATGGCTTCACTATAATGAACCAATTCCAGTATATAAATATGGAAAAATGATACAAAAATAGCACTTTGTTGAAAATCAGCTTCACTACATTATCAAGAATCCTATAGTGCAAATAATCACGGATTGCAGAAATAAATTGAGAGAGAGCAAATAGAAATAAAAAACATAGTTTGCTCTATGACTAAACAGCATTAACTTTACATGTGTCAGTACCGTATGCCCTTCACTCAGATTTTGAACGAATTTCATAAGATTTGTACATAATCATGATTAGTTAGTGACAAGTATTGAGATATGTCTTCTCAACAGTTCATTGAATAAACGTTGCAAATCATTGAAAGTATCAATTTTTATGAACTAACATTCCACTTCCCATAATTTTATACTAGGTAAATAAATTCTGCCATCAATACAATTTGGGGAAAGAAAGGGGGGGGGGGGGAGAGACGGGGTGAAATTTAGATTTCTGTCACGATCGCCATGTAGTGCTAACAGCATAGCATCTTTTTCATAAACCCATAATTAGAAAACAATTCATGAAGAAGTATATTGGTTGCGTGGGTTTGTACATAACATATATACAAAGTAGGACAGAAAGATAAATTTGTCACCCAACATAATTATGGACAGCGTACTAACACATGGGTCATATTACTACAGAAGAGCCAATCAAAGTCTGTATGTCAAAAGGTCATGGGGAAACAATAATTAGGAAAACAGTTTATGCCGGACAATACTATGAAAACATGTGTTTAATTGTTTACTTGTCTTTGAATGTAATTTTCAGACAACGAATCTCAAGAACTTAAAGTTCTACAGCGAAGGCCAAACTGTCACTGATAGGTACGACCATCGACACTTTGCATAGTATATTATTGTATTCAAGATAACATGAATAGAAGAAGACATTCCTGTCAGATAAAGTTCAATTGATTTGAAATCTCCATATGTTAGAACAATTCATATATTACTTCATTTATTTTTTGGACCATGAAAGTCCACCAGTCACAGCCTTCAAATAAAAGATTCTTTGAATCTTAGGTCAAGCTCTTGATTAATATATCAATGCTTTACACTTTCAACAGTGCTAGGGGATTAAAACTATTGAATCTTATCCTTGATCAATCCTCAGCTGTCTCCTGTGGATTCACCGCATTCAAACCTAGCAAAGTCCACGACCTCCACATTTTCTTGAAGCAATAGTTCTCCAACTGTGAGACTTGGATCCAATAAGTATTCCTGATTCACCATCTCATCTGTCTCGGTTTCCGTAGACGATGGCACGGAGGCATGTTCATCAGATGGGTCAGATTCAGATTGGTCAGATTGTGGTGGTTGAGCCATCTCCTGTGACTTCAGATCTAGAAGGATTCATTTCAAAGGAAAGATGAGAAATACATTTAACATCACATTTAATTCATGAGATTTTTTACTTTACTCTTGAAAAGTAGCGAAACCAAATTTTTCTTATTGAGATAGGGGCCATCCAAGAGTCAAATAATTTTCAGTCCTATCTGAGGGATTTCTAATAAATGAACTATGAGCACTACCTCAGACTGAACTCTTGAATACTTCAATAGGGAGATCGGCTCAGCTAGTAGATCAAAATTTTGTTGGAATTTTAATATAAAATATCTTTGGAATCGCCTAATCATTATTATTTCCAGTGGAATATCAATATAAGAACATTTTCTGTCATTCTTTTTCAAATAAAAGAATTGTAAGTTGCACTGGATATTTGTAACTCTCAAATATTTATGTAGGCGCTGTTATGATATGCGATATCCGTCATAGTTGAATAAATAATATGTCTACCATAACAAATCAGTCTGCCGACTCTCTATTATCTTAAGTTATCTACCATTACCAAGACCCCTCAAACTCATCATCTACAACTGCATTTTAATACTCCTGGATCAAATCTACTTTAATACACTCACCCTCAGGGTCTGGTGGCGAGTACACCCCTATTCTAAGTGGATTCATCCCCACCACATGCTGTGATAGCCTCCTACCTAGCACCTCTGGGCGGAAATTCGTTGTTGTTTCTCCTAGCTTCTTGAAGACAACGAGGGCGGCATATTTACCCATAGTACACTTGCTCTGGTTTTCTTCCTTGGATTTTTGAAGGGCTGAATGAACGTAGGAACCTATGAAATAACAAACAAAATTAAAAATATGATACTGAAATCGGGATAGTATCTGGTCTGCCTGCATTCTGTTCCAGAATTTCCTTTAACAAGACATAAATACTGTTTCAGATGAACATACATCTAATTAAGATTTTCAATCTTTCCAGTTCTTGTCATTTTTGGCAGTCCCACAAGATGATGTTTGCAGAGCTGCCAACCTTGTGCGAACAAAAAAAGGAATCATGATGGCAAAAAAAAAGGAATTTCAAGCAAAAAAAAAGGAATTCATAAAAACAAAACTTACAACTACGCGCGACACACTTCCAATGCAGACATGTTCATTCATCATGCTGTGTTTTCCATACAAGCAGGTAATTTTTTTGGTGGTTATTTTGGTATTATCTGCATTTCATTTTTTTGGAGAATATTTTTCTCTTTGAGTATGTTTTAAAATTAGTTTTCTATTGAATTTGTGATCAAATCACCATTTTAGGGCAGTTGTTTGACGTGCAGTATGTAAAAAAAAAAAAAAAAAATTATTAAAAAACGTATTTTATGAAGAAAAAACGTAATACCGTAATTTGGAGGAAAAAAAAAAGAATGGTTGGCAGCTCTGTGTATGTGATTGTGGGGATCGGCTTACCAATAAAGAACTCTTGAGGTGCTTCAAGGTATAGTCCTCTCCTGATGGACATGTTCTCACCAGCCTGACCTATCGTCAGAGCTGCCAGGTCTTCCATTGTTTTACCATCATCACCAACGGATGACTTCAGATCCTCAGCAGACAGAGGAAGCTTTGAGAAATAGTGGATGAAACAAAAGAAAATAATATTAAAACATTATCAACAAGTTGAATACAAATTACATGCCGTGATTGCAAAAACCTGTGACATTGCATCCAAAGTACAAACGTATCGTTTATCTACTAACTAACCACTACTAGAATCTCAATTTCATCTTTTTTTTTTTTACTTCTATCGATAAATCAGCCTGGGGTCTCTCTTGACAGTCTGCAACAAACCAGCTGAGGTTTGTATTTACAATACAAAAAAAAACCCAGCTTTTCTCCATATGTTTAAAAAAAAAATATATATATATTTATATAGAGTCTCCTGTAATCAAAATCATTTAGAAAAAAGAAAAGAAAAATAATAAATATATATACCGGTATATATAGTTAAAGACACATAGACTATTGAATGGATCCTTATCCATTCTTTTTCTGTGTCTGTTTATAAATCATTTTTCTTAACCCAATATCCAATGGGAAAACAGAGCATTAAAATACTTTGTATCTACTGTTTCCCTTCAATCACTTCAATTGATTTGCATGTATCTTTCTAACTTTATTGTATACATTTATTGCTTTATCACCTTTACCGCAAATACCGGAAGAATGCTGAGACAGCAGTCGAGCTTCCAGTCTATTTTATACATTTATTACTTTTTTGTATACATTTATTACTTTATCAGTTTATTGTATACATTTATCACTTTACTGTATAGATTCATTAGTTTATTGTATAATGTGAGCAACCCCTCACCTTTAAAATGTTCTGATCTTCATGTTGGCCTTTTTTACTGAAGAGGGCAGCAGATGCTACATGGCTGACAAGATTCTGGAATTTAGCATTCCGTGCCACAAAATCAGTTTCACAATTCACCTGCAAAAAAGAATTAAAAAAAAACAACACTTGATATGTTGTCTAAAGTCTATTTCCATATTCACACATCAATCAAAGAAGAAAATCATGGTAATCTTAAGATTATCTTTTAAAATATGATGGGTCTGATGCAAAGATAGCTCAAGGCTGTTGAAATTTGTTGTTAAAGTAATAAAATAGACTAATGGAAGATGGGTGAAGAGGGAAATGAAACAAGTAAGGTTGGCTCAGATCAAGAGAGATAGAGAGAGAGGGGTGAGAGAGAGGGGTGAGAGAGAGGGGGGGAGGGAGGGAAGGAGTGGGAAGGAGAGGGAGAAAGAGAGAGAGAGAGAGAGAGAGAGAGAGAGAGAGAGAGAGAGAGAGAGAGAGAGAGAGAATGCAGACAGAACCGATGGGTGACAACACAGAGAAAACAAGGAAATGAAAGCAAGAAAGCAAGAAAGAAAGTATGAACATATGAAACTGTAATGACCAATTATATTAAATTTAATTTGAGCTCTTTTCCTTTCACTAATTATCTTACTTTTGCTAGATATTGGGAAATAGTTGTGATGAATTAAAATGATGAATGGTGATGATCTTCCTTTCCCTACATCCTTTCTAGAACAATTCATACAAATATAGTATTGAATTTCATGACCTATGAACTTACCTCTACCATAATAGCAGAATTAGTCTGACACATGACCCCAATGAGACCCTGAGCTGTAACTCTTCCCTGTAGTTTGGTAGCCTTACTCCAACCTTCTTTCTGGGCCTGTTCTCTCAACCAAACTTCTGCCTAGAGAGAGAAAAAAAAACAACAATAAAAATAGCATAAGTTCATATTGATACATGTGTTATTTATATTCTATGTGCTTTCATATGAGAATTACTGGTATTCATTTAGTACTATATTCATTTCAAAATTTTCATTTCCATGACTTGATGGGGGTCTGTTTATTCATATGTTTTTTAGGCATATATTGTTTGCTTATAGCCAGAAGGGTAAGTCATATCATTAAACATGATATTAACAACCTGGGTATTCTAAACAGACATTATTTAATTCTTTCAAGGAGGTTGCCTTGTTACCTTTGGTAATCAGATCCATTGAGAAGAAGCACATGTGACTGCACAATATATCAATAAATGATCATACTTGGAAAAATGCATCTTATTCTAATTGACAAAGGAAATGGTTAACATATTCAATCTGATGGTTGAGCTCATATCTTTTATAACAAACCAGAAGATATTTTATATTATCTAATTAAAATATTTTGCTTTAAAATCATTGAGTGACGTCCTCAATAATATTTTTAATTTGACCATAGCAGTACCTGATCAACATCATTACTGAATTTCTCAAGGGCCTTCCTGCAGTTTACAAAACTAAATCCAGTTTTCCTTCTCAGCTTTGCCAGATTTGCCTTGCTGCTTGTAGCAGCAGCTGTAGTCATCAGCCTCATCATGCTTGTTAATTGGAAGTGTCTTGCAGTGAGACATACTGACATTCCTGTTGGAGAAAATAGAGAGAGGGGGTGGGGGGAGGGAGCGGTGGAGAGAGGGCGGGAGAGAGGGGTGGGGAGAGAGAGGGGGTGGGGGAGAGAGAGGGGGCGGGGGAGAGAGAGGGGGCGGGGGAGAGAGAGGGGGCGGGGGAGAGAGAGGGGGCGGGGGAGAGAGAGAGGGGCGGGGGGAGAAAGAGAGGGGGCGGGGGGAGAGATGGGGCAGGGGAGAGATGGGGCAGGGGAGAGATGGGGCGGGGGAGAGATGGGGCGGGGGAGAGATGGGGCCGGGGAGAGATGGGGCGGGGGAGAGATCGATGGGGAGGGGGAGAGATGGGGCAGGGGAGGGAGCGAGAATGAGATAACAATTAACATTTTTAAGAGGGATTGAATAAAGAGAGAAGACAGTATTAAAAAATATATATATATATATATATATATATATATATATATATATATATATATATATATATATATATATATATATATAGGAGACAGGATCAGGAGTAGGTCTGCAATGGCAATGACAGTGACAGAGGAGACTTCACCGTGGTGCTGGACGTTAAAATAATTGAATTGTTTCGAGATCTGATTAACCCATTTTACACTACAGCAATAGCTATGAATGGGACCAATATTTAAAAAATGAGTAAAGCATGATCTCTTTCGTCGACGTTTGCTGATAGATCTGATAAGTACATGAATTACCTTAACAGAACACATAATATATTTTGAATAATTGAAAGCAAATTTAATCCTTAGCTCACCTGTTTTGAGGAGCATTTTTGTGAGTTGGTGCAAAATTTTACCGGCAAAAAACTAAAAGGTCCAGAAGTTAGTCTAGAGTCCAGGCGGTGTAGTAAATTATTTTCTCGAACATTATTTTGCATGGTGGTGGTGGTGGTGGGGGAGAGGGGGAGGAGGGGGGGGGGGGGGTGTCCGGGGATAAATTTGCCCCCACAACACATTGGCTTCATCTAAATGTCAGGCCCTTTAAATAAAAGAAAAACATTGAATGGCAAGGGGGATGCACAAAGCTTGACAGAGGTATATTGAGGGAAGTTGAGATTATTTTCTCTTTCCATATACCTATATATAGCTATAGGCCTTTATATATAAATATAAATATGTGACATGGATTAGACAATACCCATTCACGATTGCTCTACATGTCGATTAAGCCCAACATCTAGGGATGGGTGTGAGAGCCTGGAGAGGATACCCCCTCTCAGGCGCCGCCCCCGCCCCCCACCCCCCTCCCCCTGGCCTCGGTGCGTTAGGCCCAATTGTGGAAGAAAATGAAATAAGGGACACATGCAGTAAAGGATAAACCGGGATGTTAATTCTTCCCCAATGTCATTAGCTGTCAAGTACTTTTCCCACCGCGGCTTTTCAGTTTGCATGGCACCTGTAAATTAATTGATATTACTTTTTCCTCAAGATTTTCACAAGATTCGAGGGGGAATTACCCACACTTACTTGAGGTTTACCCATCATTTATTTGTATTTTTGTATTTTGTATTTTATTTATTTAATCACGGTTAAAAAGCCTGCTATCAGCTAGAAGCTGCTTTTCAGCAAGGCCGTGAACAACAATTGAACAAAATAAGTAAACGAATACATAATTATTATACAAAAGAAATCACAAAAATTATCATAACAACGTAATAAGATGAAAACAAACAAAATGAATTAAAAATTACTTGGATAACAGAAATGATGGAGGGGTGTATTATTCAAGAGAGGGATATAAGACGTGCGAATGTTGCCAGGCTATTTTTTAATCGGATGTTTGCCGGTAGGTTATTGAAAAGTTTTGAGGCTGAATATAGAGAGGTCTCTTTCTGAGGTAATTTGTATGTGGTCGTGGCAGTTGAATTTGGCAGTCGATATTGCGTAATAGGTAGTTGTGTGGTTTAAGATGGATCCGTGAGCATATAGTGAGGGTGGGGCTATGTTATTAACTAATTTGAAGTAAATTGACTGCTTATTCCATCTTTCGTCGAGTTGATCGACATTTAGCGTGTTATACAAAGTGGCTCTATTGAAACGATTATTTACCTCTAAAACGGACCTTAACGCTCTATTTTGTAGAACTTGGAGACGATTTAGCTGGCTTCCATATACAACAATAGTCAAAGATTGGTTGAATTAACAATTAATACAAAAGGAGAGCAGTATTTCTCGGTAAATAAAATCTGATGCGCTTTAAAGAGTATAATGTTTTTTAAACCTTTTTCCTAACATTATCAATTTAGGGAATTGATCATGTTAGACAACTATCTATTGTCACACCAAGATTATTTACAATGTGTTACTCTCTGTAATTGAGAATTTTGAATTGTGATTTTTACATTTTCAAATAACCGGAGTTTTGCTTTAGAGCCTAGTAACATGAATTGACATTTATCGAGATTGATCAGCAATTCATTATTTGAAAAACATCAAGAAATCAACTTTAAATCTCTGTTTATACTTGTTTCTTACTCTGCTGACTCTTTTGATGCAAAATGATACACGTATCATCTGCGTATAGGAAACAAAACATTTTTCAACGGATTTTACCAAATCATTCAGTGTAAGGATAAAAAGAAGGGGCCCCGAAATACTCCCCTGGGGACAAATTTTGTCTTGAACACATGAAGTGGAATGGTATACCCAGGCGCGTACGCAGGGGGGGGGGGGGTGGGGAGGGTTGAACACCCCTTTAACTTTTTTATGTATGCGTTTTGGAGGAACCCCCCCCCCCTTTGTTTTGTTTCTTAATATAAAAAAATAAAAATAAAAAAATGTGGTAATGGGTGACCCAAACGAAACGAAATATCGATCGAACAAATTTTAAAATTTTGGGACACACACACACACAAAAAAAAAAAATGTGCTCTATGTTTGCACAAATAAGAGGACATAAAATGGAAATAAAAATAGAAGTAATAAGACAGACCCCTCCTAACCCCTGCCTCCCCCACCCCCAATTCGCCGCGCCTTATCGATAATTAGGCGCCTTGATGGAAGACTAGCTTATGTAGATAGACAATATGGAGGCGGCTGAAGATGCTACGGGCGAAGAAGTTCAGGCAAGTGCACTGGATGTGGAAATAAAAGAGGAAGAAGCCTCCGAAGATGCACCTCAAGAAACTGAATGTCAACGTCAACAAATAACAATCGAGTCTTCAAGTATTGAACTTGAAGATGAGTTCGGAAAATGGTCAAATATGAAGAATTTCCTGGGTATTTCTGGCATCAAAAGCGACGCCCGGCTCGCAGGGTTCCTCATGAATTTTTGGTAAATAACTTGTTTATTTCTGAGGCAAGCGATCATAATAAGATCACAGTTGGCATGCAACACATACCTAACCCAAACTAGGCTTGTCACCATTAAGAAAGCAACCTCAACCACTTGCCGTCTTTGCCACCAGGAAGATGAGGATAATATCCACTTTGTGGCCTCCTGTAGTATCCTAGCGTCACACCGAAGTGACTTCATCGGAGAAATGCAGAGCAGACACTTTTCTGAAACCACCCTCTCATACTTCAACTTCAATGATGGCTTTGCATTCACAAAAGCTATACTTCTTCCCAACCACCTCATGCTCCCATCAATTCTATATGATAGACTGAACACTCTAATTCTACTCTTCCTCCATAAAATTCACATTGCCCGTACCTCTATCCTTTCCTCTCCCACTTGAATGTTTGTAACTACAATGTCAACAGCTGGAGACGAAAGGCACCAACACTGACGCTTGCAGAATACAACTGCAGATCTCCGAGAACAACGGAGGAAGAAGAAGAAGAAGGTCCCATATATGGATAATTTTGTTTGGTTTATTGCAGAGCTGAGTGTGCTTGTTGTGAATAAGGATTAAGGTTTGTCAGCTCAGAATATTTTAACTTGACACATACCAATCATAGTGTCAATGTCTGAACTCTCAAGATTTTAACATGACAATAGTAAACACAGTCACTGTGACTGAGCTGAGTGAGAGTGAGACAGGTATGAAATAATTGGACGAGTGAGATTAATTTGTGGCTTGTGCTAGGCAAATTCATGCAAAAAAATATATTCAAAAAATTGTCTTGAAAACACATCAGACAATTAGTCTGAACCGAGTCAGGAGCAAATTTGAAGAAATTATTTTTTTTAATTGTTGTACAACCAAAGATATTAGAAGAAAACTGACCAAGCTGCCAAACTTTGGAAAGAGTTTGGAGTGAGACATTGCGAGGGAGCGAAGCGCCCGAGGGGCGGGGGATGGTGTGGAAGGGGGGTGTCCCCCCTTCCACGGTAGGGAACTTTTACAATTTTGCAATTGAAATGGTGCAATCTGGTGTATACTTTAACCCTGATTCCACAAATACATAAGGCAGGATTCAAATAGGTTAATTGATTTCATGAAGTACACTGACCTTGAAAAAATACAAACTTCCACATTTGTTAGTGCATTATTCCAAGAGGACGGCCCAGGCCCATTATCCGATCGCAAACACTGAGCCAACTGGGCGATGTACAGCGATGACGGGCCATGGCATCGACATTCGCTTGTCGTGTCTCGCACAAAAACCCCGCTTCATATTAAAGTAACGACGTCACTCGCGCACGCAGGATAAGCCAATCGCAATTTGTGGTTTAAAAAATGTTGAAACTTTCGGCAGGGATATTGAATATCCGATATAATAGACATTTTTTTTTTAGTTTCTATTTTCGGGGTTCAGCGTGAGAATTCCTATGATCAGCGGGAGAGCGTGAGAATTGGGTGAATTGCGTGAGACTCACGCAGATTGCTTGAGAGTTGGCAGCCCTGCCAAGTATCTGTCCTAAAAATCGTACATGTAAAAATGTCCTTAGACATTCGACAGCTAAAAATGACGCGCGCGGTTGCGTTACGTGCGTTCTCTAATCCAAAATCGTACCTCACACACACACTGTTGCCATACCATGAAAGGTCCATAGTGGGGAGCTAGCTGGCTGGAAGTTTGCCAGCAAGACCAACGCACCTTCGGAGCTCCACAGCGCGCAATTTTAGCGGAACTCGAAAGGTTCGTCGTGGGAAGGTGACAGGCTAGCTTTTTGCCAAAAAAACGCTAGATCGTCTGCTGGCAAAATGAAAATAACTACGATCGAGAACATCGTCAGTTTCTTAACTTTTCAGTGAGATAATTCTGAATTCTAATTGAGACTATATAATAAATTAAATCGACAAAGAAACCTCGGTAGATCTCTTATAACTATACAAAAGCTTGTTTATTTCTTCATTTGACATTTTGTTTTCGAGCCATTTTTTTGTGCGCGAGTCAATGCAAACTATGTATTACCAAACTTTCAACAAGCAAGAAACGGTGAACACTCGCGGACCTCGTATCAAATTCGTTGCAAAAAAAATTTCAAGGGTGATTTTGAAGCAGTGAAGAAAATTGGCGCTGCAATGCGCAGAGATATACTTGAAAGAAACCAAAAAATCACACCTGAATTTCCAGAAAATCGTATTTTTATTACCGTACCTAGTTTTATGAAGATTTGTCGGAAAAAATGTCAATTTTTTCCGTTTGGTGGTCATTTCTAGGCTAATATTTAAAAAGTTGAATCAGTAATGGGCCGGATGTTTCTCTTCTCGTACTCGCATGTTATATCTACTTAGATAAAACATAGGATGGTTATGGGTAAGACCGGGTAACATTATAAAAAAGATATATCCTTCCACCCTCCCATATCCAAGTTTTGGGCTGATTATTGCCGACCCACCGCACCAAGGCCTTTCAGATTTTCGTACGCGTGCAAAGCGCCCTCTAGTGCCCCATGAATGTGCCTACTTGTGCTAATCTTCTTAACGCCGATTTTGTATTGCCAACTTGATGCTGACTTTACAATGATAACAATCAGTATTCAGTGTAAATAGGAGCGCCCATACACATGGAGTGTCGCTAATTAAGTGATTCCATGTGCAAGCTTAATACACTAAATTAATTGCTATTGTCAAATTGGCATATTTTAGGAATGTTGAGTGAATCCCCCCCCCCCCCCTCCCTCCCTCCCCATTCTATTTTGAAGTTTAGTTATTCATTGTAATTTTCAGTGCACTCTCTTAACTCTCAATCCAAGGGTTTGGGGCTCTAATCCCAGGTGGCACTAAAGTCCTTTGGCAAGACCGACTGTAGACATTGTCATTAATCCACTTTTGCCACTCTCTACACAGGTGTAAATGGATACCTATATGCCACAGCGCTACATGTCCGGCCGCCAGCTATGACTGGGGTAATAATGTTGGAGCGCCAGGAGTGTCACATTGTGACAGACATGTGCGCTGCCTTTACAAGAAACCACCATCATTGTTTATTATTGTTATTATTATCATTATTATTAAATCAAACTAGTCATGATATTGTTCAATATATTTTGGTACTTTTCTTTACAAAACACACCAAACAAACAACAAAACAAAAGTAAAATGTAGGTGGCAAAACAAGTGGTTGGAAACAAGATATCAAGAATCAACCTTGGTATTCTAACCTGTGAAAACCAATTAAAGCTTTTGATTCCCTTGGTGTATAGTCTAGGGTCTAACATCACACATTGCAATTCACTGACATGGATGGGAGGATGCACCTGTAAATTGTAGTGAAATGTGGCATATGCAAACAAATGTTGTAAAATGAGTAGTTTCTCTTTTTTCAGCCCTTGTGTTGTTAAAATTATATTTGATGTGATATCATTGTAAGACCAAATAAATTGCCTATATTTGAAATTGAAAATTTGAAATCGGTACACTTTGCAATTTTCTCTCTTTAGGTCAGACCACAAGAATTGCAAACAATTGGAGAAAAAAGAGAAGAAGAAGAAGAAATCCAAACAAAGGTTGGTATGTCATTCTTAAATCAGTGCATCTAATCAGTCGTGGTTAAGGATTGATTCTCTTTATTTTCAGTAAAGCTAATGAAAGCAAGGATATAGTCAGGGCTCGACACTAACATGCACCCAAGGCATATGGCTGCCCTAAAACTAGCTCAGGACCCCACAGAGTGCTCAATGTATATAGACCCCAACATTTCAATCCGGACCCCAAACGAAAAACGTCACTGTGGAGCTGTCACATAGTGATACCAGCATTAAGTTGGGGTTGCGGGTGAAAGAAATGGTCAAATTAAGTACATATTCCGGTGAGAACTAAGATATGAATTCAACAAATTAAGCTCAATTGAATCTTTATATTGCCTCTGTAAAAATGCACTTATGCTTTTGCCTTTTACTACAAGTAAAAATCATTACAAGACTTGAAACTTGTTGGAGTAGACCTCTTTGATTCCATCATTGAATATGACACAGTTCAGAGGGGCCTTTCACAAAACATGTCATCAGTGACAAATGACAGTTTTTGTTATAAGCTTCTGAAATCCTTGCTTCTGATTGATTATCAACAAATTTGTCACTGATTTTTGACATTTGTCATTGAAAAAATGCTTTGTGAAACGTGTCCCAGGTCTAACAATACAATCTTTGGATGGCAGTGATTAACTACTAACACTCTTTTTTTCTTATCTAACAGACATGAGCCAGCTCCCCCTACTGTCAAGATTCCAGTTCGAATGACAAGTAGAGGTCGTCCTGTATACAAACCCAACATCCTTCAGGTCAAGCTGACCAGTGACTCACGGTCCAAGAAATCTAAGCGAAGAGCAGCTCTACAGAAGCAGCGGGATGCCATCAAGAAAGCTAAGATCAAGAAGCAGCAGGCCGCAAAGAAGAAGAGAGGGCAGGCTAAGACGAAGAGGAAGGTTTCTAAAGTGCCTCGTATAGAACCAAGGGTGAGTATGCTCATCCAATCAAAATCAGGAAGTGTTTCATATAAAGCACATTTCCCTTGCATGGTTACAAAGCGCTGCACACTTGATCCACATGTTTGGGCCAATACAATCCATGATCTGTAGCAAAATAAATGGGACTTTAGATATTTCTAGAACTGGTCTAGAGATTTAGCTATCTTCAAAGTAGTGAGAAGGTGGTTCCACAGTTTTGCAGCAATTGTAATGGGTGTGCTTGAATGCATACCAATACCCAATGATCATGCCTTTGAAAATGGTATTTTATTGAAAGTTATCTCTTTAGATCCAAGTCTAGTCACCTACACCTGTATAGGATGGAAATTATTTTCTTTAAAGGGATCGTTTAACAATGTAAAATCTGAGATACACGGCCCTACGTGTTATCAGTGTCTGTGATATGGTGTAATATTGAAGCACTAAAAATATTGCGCTTCAAAATGATCAAGAAGTGCCTCAAAAAAGTAAAAATCTTTGAGTGACCGGTTTTTACCATACTCGTTTTCCCCAATAGACTGTAGTGTTATGAAAACCGTCAGGCGAACGGTTTTCAAAATTTGTAATTCCAATCATAACTTATCTTGATAATCAGACGGGCGATCGGCTTGTAAAAGTCATGGGGTTCCTGACTAACCTAAAGGTTTATAATTATCATTGCACATGAGCTAAATCCAGAATTTTGTTTTAGAATCTGAGACAAAGTTACCGGATCCCTTTAAGGAAAGTAATGGCTGTTTAGCTAAAGCTATTTGATATTGGAAAGCCAGGAATTGAGGACATGATTGATATTAGCATCCACAATTATCAATACGTATAACCAATGCTAATGAAGGAAATTGGAGCAATGTATGTGGATTTAAAGATGACTGTGAGAGGGAAGAATGCAAAAAGAGAAGTAAAGATAAGTAGTGAATAACAAAACAGAGGAGTTTGAGGAAGGAAAGAACGTAATGATGGTCTGACATGTTGTACTGATGGTACCATGTTGTTGAAATAAAGGCAGAGATTTTGTGACTATTCAAACACCCATTCATGATGTTTCCCTCATTTCAAAATTATGATAAATGCTTGCTACAATTCTTCATGGTCTATTTTTGTAAGAGACTTTTCAGACATTTACGTGTCTTGAAATGGTATTTTGCTTATTGCTTTATTGATCATTTTTACTTCCGACTAAAATGTTTCCTTCTGTACCTTTACTCAGGAAATGAAGATCATTTGGCGGTCTGATGATGAAGAGGATGATGATGACGATGATGATATCAGTGAATTTTTTGATGATGATGCCGATGGTGACTACACCCCTGCAGGTCGCAGAAAGCCCAGGGTAATTTTGATACTTACTTCTTGTAATGATAGCTATATGATACTACAAGACATATTTACATGCGGAGTTGCTTAGGAGATACCTCTGAAGGTTGAGATGATTGGTTGATATATTTTAAAACCTTTGTCAGGGGAATTTACCCATGGGTATTCCCACTTTCACAGTTTTCTGATTTAATCCCTAAAAGTTGAGTTTTCAGCACTACAAAACAAAAAAGAATTGCAAACAAACCTCACTCTAAAAAACACAGTCCCATGAATGAAAGCGAGCTTGTGTTTAATATGTCATGGCAACCCTTAGCCTCATTTTTATGCTTGGGTGCAAGCATTGCCTAACTGGGGTGTGACAGATCAATTCTTATGATGTCTTGTTAGTCTGAGTTTCTTGGTCTCTTTTTTCATAATCAACTTAGAAAGTGCTTTAAAAAACCCAGTTAAAAAAAACTATTTAAAGAAGAAGGAAAAAAAAGACCAATCATCATAGTCACCCATGTTATAAGCACATAATTTGATGTTATTTCTGTGTATTCAGGGCCTAGCAAAACTTGCAGCTGATACAGAGTTCAGTGATGGTGAGCTGAGCGACCAAGAAACCCAACGGATCAAGCCCAAAGCTGGTCAGAGAGGAAGGAAACGTGTGATCAAAAGGGGAGATAAGCTACCACCTAAGAAAAGGAAATATTTGGATAAAACAAGATTGAAGTAAGTGTACAATATGAATGTTGATTCTGAAGTAGTTATAGAGTTAATGGCTTTTGGTCATGAACTTGTTCAAACATTTATTGAAACTGTTCACAACATACTCACATGTATAGAGTGGCTCCTACCTAATTTTATTTAGTTCATATATTTATTTTATGGCAAGTTGCTGTAATCATCAGTTTCTTTACTATATATATATATATATTCTTCCCACATATGAAATGTAATTGAGAGTGTTGGCTGATGTATTTTGTCAAGTTTATCCATTTTCTTCATAATCCCACTTACCATGAATACTGAACATGAGAGGTTTTAATCTGTATGGCCCATTGAACATACAGCAAAATTATTTTGAAAAAAGAAATTCTCTTTTGTGTCAGCTCTGATTAAGATGAGTGTGATTTAATTCATGCAGCATATATGTTATACAAGATGCATTTTCAATTTTCCTTTTTTAGGGGTGAGACGTGGTATCGCTGTCGCATCAAGAAGATGATGAAATATACCAAGCGGTTCCAGTGCAAGATCTGTCTTGTGGAAGTGAGTTTCATCACCGAGGTGATTGATCATATCCAGAACGAGCATGCAGACCAGATCTCAGGCTTCCGTACATCCCTAGGACCTCACCTAGAGAGATGCGGCCTCACTGTCGTTTGGAGTCTGCCAGAGCTTCCAGAGTCTTCACAAACCACTCCAGGAGCAGGTAGAGATGATGGATCTGTCTTGAAGAACATGACGGATACACCCGGAGGTGATGGTGAGGGTACGTCAGCATTGAAGCTTGGTAATGATAAGAATGGAGGGGAGGATGAGAGGGAAGGAGGTGGAGATGGCTTTCCTATGGGTGGGGGGATTCTGAAGGGAGGTTATATGTCTTTGTTGGTAGGTAATGAAGCAAATGCTTCTTCTCGTGAAGCGGATGCTCAGGAGGATGATGGAGAACCTGACACCAAGAGTAAGAAGACAGATGAAGAAGGCAAGCAGGATGGCATAGTTGGAGGTGGCGATCGTAGAGCGGTGGCTGTTCTAGATGGCCAGACAGATGTTCTCTTTAAAGATCGTCAGAGTGATTCCCAGGTTACCAATCTAGAAGAAGATGTTGATGTGTTGTATGAACTTCAAGGCTGGGTAGTTATCATGATAGAATGCCCAGACTGCCAAGAATATGTCAGTATATACAGCTTGCCTAAACACCAGTTCCTACATAACAAGCCTAAGCAGGAACACAAATGTGACAAGTGCAACAAAGTTTATAGACGTCTCAACCTGCTACGCAATCACCAGAAACGTCACATGGAGAAACCTCCCAAACCCCAAGAAGAAGACAAGACTTTCATGTGTGAGCTATGTGGCGATGTTTTTAGAAAGGCAAAATACCTAAAGAATCATCAACTCCGTCACCAAGGTAACCTTCCATTCGTCTGCAAAATATGTGACCGACGATTCCTCTTCCAGAGACAGTTGAAACGGCATGATATAATCCATCGAGATGTGAAGCCTATCCTGTGCCAGGAATGTGGCCGTGGATTTGTTCAGCGTTCACAGCTCAATGCACACATGCGTCAACACACTGGAGAGAAACCTTATAAATGTGACCTGTGTGAGCGAGCCTTCACCCATAACGTCTCTCTCAAGACGCACAAGAAGCGAGACCATGGCGTCCAGGTCGGCAAGTGTGCCAATCCTCATCTAGGACGTCCAAAAATGGGCGGGGAGGGTCTACCCAAGAGCAAAGGCACGAGAGCAACATCATCCAGAAAGGCTTCCCAGACTAGGAACCAGACAGTGATCAACAACCCTCCGACGATGTCACAGTATTCAGAATGCAGAATGGTCAATCCTATCATGAATCATCTCCCACTTGGTCTAGTCATCAACCCTGACAGACAAGGTATGGATCTTAGCATGGATTCCTCTGACAGTCCTCCTGGGATGGACAGCAACAGGGCAGCACCCATGCAGAGTAGGACAGATGACCGATCCCATCGAGAGAGGCATGCATCTATAGACAGACAGAGCGCAACCATTCACAACATGGACACCCACTCCAGACCAAACCACAGTGAAGGACAGAGCAACATGGAGCATCTAGGAAACCCCCATATAGAGAGATCTGTCATTAACATGGACAGGCATGCTGGGAATGGAGCAGCAGGGAATAGCAGCGCAAACAGTGGAGGCAACCATAACTCCCACTCCCACTTTGAACGTGCCATGGCCATGCCGCTGATTGAGAGATCCCTTGGAAGTCACCTGATGGACAGACAGGGACTTTCCCCTACAATTGATAGCCGACCAGGCAACGCTCATAGCCACCACATGGACCATCACCATCATCAAGGTGGGATACCACTCATAGCCAGACCGGACATGAACCAGCATCTTATGAGACAGAAGAAAGGGAAGGAATTAGAGATGCCCCCTCATCAGAACAACCCGTCCCATCCACCATACCCTTGGGGAGCTTGGGGCAACGCTGGTGAAGGAATGGGCATGAGATTCCCTGTATTCCCACAGTAGACAGGAAAGCCCTTTTTAGAGTAGCTCATCATGCATCTTCACTTCTACGTGGTGCCACTTACAGATAAAACCTGAGGTAGATACTTCATGTACTTTGCCACTGACCTATGGGTTTATTGCAGGTTTTGCCTGTGCGCATGTAGTTGTTGATTTTGTGAGATGGAACTTTTAAATGGTTGGCCTGTTTTTATTTTTCACATCTAGGACATTGTTTTAGAGCATGATTGGTGATTAAAATACATGAGTTATCAATTATTGCGTGATAAAAGTGTAACAATACAAACATATGAGACGCATATTTGCTCTTTTCAGAAAGGGTTGTAAGGTTATCATGTCAGATTTAAAATACTGTATTGAAGATGTTTAGAATGTGTCTCCATGTGGTCATTCAATGACAAGGTATGCATGGGCAGAGAAACAAAGAAAAAACAAAAACAAAACTTATACATGTATATATGAAAGCCAACTCAAAACAAAAATCAGAAACAAAAACTAAACCGAAAAAAAAAATTGCACTTGCTAGTTTTATTTAACATGTAAATTCAGTTTAGAATTGTTCATTAACAAAATAAGTACACTTTCAGTAACTGTGAAATCTGAAACTTTTGCATCCTAAGAAATTTTCACAAACTTTTTTGAGTGGTTCAGATTTGTGAATAATTGGATCCCAGTCGACACAACATTAAATTTATGCTAACTTTCTTGCCATGAAACTGGTCACCCGCAACAATTCACCTGAGTTTCATGTCGCTAAAGTTTTCTGATTGTACAGTGAGTCACATCTTGACATTTGTTATTAAAGGGATTTCTGTGTCATTTTACATAACTAAATGTATTAATTGCATGTCATATTGATAAATGAGAACTTTCTATTGTATATAGTACTGCACCGATCTATTATCTAAAAGAGAATAAGAAAGAAATCACCATACTTTTTATTCAAGTAGCCAACAGCATTACTTTTTTTTCACATATGCGGCAAGATTCTTTTAAAATCTGTATTTTAAAGTAGATGAATAATGTTTAACACTTGTAGCCTTGCAGGTATGTATGCATAACATGTATCTCTCAGATTTTATGACAAAATACTGCATTTCAAGTAAAAGTCATCAAAATCTAGAGAACTATCTTTTTAAGAGTGTATATATTCACCAAAGAATTGGAGAAATGTTCGGCAAGATAATATTGTAAAGTAAGTCAGGGTTTTTCCCTTTTTTAAGTATTATGAGGTGCAAGCTCAAATCCTTGCTCTCCACTACCGTAGCCTATTTGTATTATTCTTTTCATAACCATGTGGTTTCATTTTTGTTTTTAATATTTAAGAAAACACTGGCATGTGTAAACACTTGATGTTGTTATACAGTGCATACTTGTGATAAGTCTCAAAGGCTTACTTTTATCACATTTAATGTGAAATTTTCTTAGAACACTCATCTATATGGACCGGTGCTGCGTAAAGAGTAGAATACCTGTAGTATTTAAAGAGGCAGTCATCCTGATATTAAGTTGGTTGTCGTAAAAGCAGAAATATCAGAGAAACAAGTTAGTGAAAGCTCTCAAAATATTGTTTTTACTTAAACTGAATATCAGGGTAGACTTTGTTTTTGCTGAAATCCAAACGAGAGCTCTTAGTTTCATCTGGGAAGGCATAAATTCATCTTAATTGTCATGCCATACCCAGGAGAGTGAAGGGGTCACATAGAATGTGACAAAACCTTCCAAATTGACTTAAATTTAGTTGCCTTATATATCATTAGTTATATATGATAATATTAGTTAGAACTTTAGTGATAAGAAATTGAAATTGAAATTGAAAGCTAATTTTGTAATAAGCTTGAACAGCTAGAAGTAACTGTTCAAAGTGCTTTTGGACAGTATTATCACCATGGGCACTGAATTCAATTTCAGTCCCACTCTGTGTACTGTGGTGCACAAGTGCAAATTCCAAAGGATAAATTGGACATAGATCTATAGAAACAAATATTACAATATATTTCCCGTTGAATTTTATAATGCCATTTTACTTGAAGTATCTCTAGTGCTAAGTGTAATATAGTGAGTGACAAAAAGTGCAGAATTTTAGTGATATTTGCATGTTGCTAGATGTATGTACTATTATTTGTTATTACTGGTGCTATTTTTCTATAAATGATTAAGCTAATAATGAAATGTCAACAAATTATTCTAAGTATGCAATAATGATGGTGATAAATTTTTTCTTCAATAAGTACCATTCTAATGTATTTTTCATTGATAAAAGTACTTTCCGTAAATTTAAATGATGTATCGTCCAAAATCACACTGTATCCTTGTTTGAGAGTAAAGCCCATTGCAAACTTAGTATCTGTCAATGACGAAGTAGTGTGGAAGGTGTCAATTGAAATGGGCTTCAAAAAGTAGTTATTGTAAAATCCTTCAAATTCAAGACTTCCAGCTGATTATAAATCTTTATTTTCAAAAAAGCACAGACTGGCACATTTTTCACTCACAGCGAATGCCCAATAAGCCTTGAATGATAGTAATAGTCACTGGCATGACTTATCGCAAGAACCCATCTTTTTTCTCTCAAACTGATATTCTTTAATATACTATTTTACAATTTCAATTCTGATATTTCTTTTAGATATTTGGAATTCCAATCAGGAATAACTCGTATATTTCTGATATTCACATCTATTTCATAATGTAAGTTTTTACAAAATGACAACATTGTCAGATAGTGTAGTGTACAGTGAGCTTCATGAGAAAGCTAGCATTGTTTTTAGTAATGAAAATGAAGACACAAAGAGTTTTGTTATGATTACAGTAGAAGAGAATGGCAAATATCAAGATATTTTGAGAGGTTTTATTATAATGAAATAATGAATTTTAAGAAATGTGCACTTTGAATACTAATGACATGTTTAGTGCATGCTATACATGCTATACAATAAAATAGTTGTTGTATTCATGGTATGAATTTTAATGAAACCTTTATTGCTGATTTGCTACATTATAATGTGTGCTGCTAATATGAATAGAGCTGTATTTTAAAGGATTTTAATGCTGGAATTTTCACAAAATTGTATAACTGCTGGTAATGGTTACTATTAAAGTAGTGTAAGAAAGAGAAAGCAAAAAGTGAATGAAATGGCAAATTACTGAATCATGATTTCTGTATTCTTCTAAGCACGTTGTAAATAGTTGTCAATTTGAATGTTCAATGTCTGCATGGTTTCAGTTCTTCAGTCTGTATTTTCAAGTTCATTTGAAGGTGATATGGAGACGGTACCTGAAGGGGTCGTCCATCCTCCATCCACCACATTTGACATCAAATCTGAAGAACCGATATTTGAATGCACAGTATGCATTATTACACAAGGAGGAAGATAAACTGCAGAAAATGTCAAAGGTCAATCAGAATATGATGTCGTCCATCCTGTTGAGGGTACGCTCATTTGTATAGTCCTAACAACAGAGGTTAGCTTTCTTCACATCAATGTTTTGTAGATGAATGCTGTATTAGCCCTGTAATGACTCCTGGTCCAGTGGTAGTAAACAATGTAGTATTAAGCTGTCACAGAAGGGAACATTGTATGTGTGTGTGGTGATTTTATAAAATTTTAAAATAACACAATCTGCAAGTACTTGTATCATTTAGCGGACTTTAATAGTTCCATAGATAGTTGAATGTATGTGTCTGAATTAGCATGTAAGCATGTTTGGTACTGCAAAGATATAGATATTTTGGAAACTGTAATAATTATACATGTTCATGTAGTTGATGTGAGTTGAGTTGAGATCATGCCGAGTATATACATTCGTAGCTTTCAACTCATTTTGATGAAAATGATTTTAATCTCTGCACGACTAACTATAGCCTTAAATTAGAATGAGTTTCTTCTCTTTATCTAGCCATTATGCATCACATTGATATTATAGGATTGTAGCCAATTATAAGATAATATGTGCATGGATGTGTTCTAACTCTGAGCAAAACTGTGCGCTTTATTTGTAACGTGTTATGCTTTATTGTGCTGTAGATTCAATTTTTTAGTTTGACATATTTAGAGCCTTAAATGAAAGCTGTTAAATCTCTTACAATTTTCTTCCCCTTTCTTGGTGTATTCATTGTATAAATTCCATGCAAATTTTCCATGTTCTCTATTCTTGCTAGTGTATCATGTATAATGTATACAGTGGCCTGTATTGAAGTTTTCAAGTATTACCCAAAGATCTTCTGTGCACTAAGCACACTAAACTGTATGTTGCACATGGATAAGTTTGTGTGTGACACCATTTTTTTCTTCTTCAATTACATCAGAATTATAAATTCAAGGTGTAATTTCATTGGTACTGTATGTGTTCAAGAAAAAAAATTGTGATATTAATAGATTGATGCTACGGTCATAAATATTTTGTTTTCTCCTTCTGTTTACCATAAAGTATTCATCAGATAAATGTGCCAATACTAAATTTTGTTCTGCATAACATGATAAGATGTAGATTATAATTCTATTCATTTTCCTCAAGTAAAGCTGCGTAAATTTCAGGCACAATGGTCATCTCTTTCATATAGTAATTGATAAAAAACGAAGACTAGAGAAAAAACTCATTGTGTTATTTACAAAAACAAAACAAATTAAACTATAAGACAAGGTGACTTGTGGCACAATTATTCCAACAATAAACACTGTATAAACAATACAACTTAATAGTTGTAATCATGTTATGGTACATTCAATTTAGTGCTATTATCTCTTAATATCAAATTATTGTACTAAACATAAGCTTTAACCAATCATAAACACAATTATATTGATGACCAGAAGAGAAATAAGAATAAGGTACCAAAAAAAAAAGGCTTGTTTATCCCGTCCTTTACATTGCTACATTTCTAATGAATGCTTGCGTAAACGTAATCAGTATTTTTAAAGCTTATGTATTATTTTATTAAACAAACTGACCATGAATCTTTTTATGTTCTATAATACATGTATGTAAATCTAATGACATTATTTCAAGATTAGATATTGTATGTAACTATAATTTATGTTAACGTAGCAAAGCTACTCTTTATATGTTTCGTACATTTTTAAAGAAACTATTCTTTTCTTCCTATCTTGTATCATTGTGCGCCTATCGGTTGTTTTCAACATTAAATGTCATCCTGACACAAACGGAAATTTAGATATCTGTGTGTTTTAGTGTATTTTATTGAAGTTTTTAAACTGCCTCCTATTTACTTAGTATAATTAATTCTTATTGAGAGCACTGAAACACGACTCCACATGGAAGCAGGCTAGAGCTTGATGTCGTAACATCTGAGAAGAGGGCGAGTGGCGTGAAGGGGAGAGGGGGCAGTCCAGGATCAATATCATTGAGGTCCCATACAAAACAAAGAACTGTAAAATACACTTTTGCCTATAAAGTTGGAATAAGTTTGTCATCTCTTAATTTTCATGACATGATTTTGAAATTATGATTTATTCTTCATCAATAAGTTTATACCTTCTCAGAACTTAAATCAAACTTTACTGATCAATAAAGATCTGAGAAGATACAAGTTGTATGTGTATCTATCAAGAATATATCATATTTTCATAATTAATTCAAGGAAAGAGGTAAAAAATTATTCCAACATTATGGGCAACAGTGTTTACATACATGTTTGAAAAATAGTCTTGGTATTCAGGCATATCTAGCGCGGTCGTCCACTTCGTATTAACAGGGCATCATTTCACAGAGCTGTCGTAACCACAAGTTCACAGACTGGTATGCATGTATGTGAAGATTTACACACATTTCAGAGGGATGTCAGTAAACTTGTACTTGGGACGGCTTTGTGAAGTGATGCCCGGGTAATAGATGCATATGGAATGGTACCTTGGATTTTGCTGATAAGACATTTTTCATGCCTGACACAAGTTGTCCTCTCATTACTTTCAAAGCTCACTGAAGAATCCTTATCATTGCTTATGGTTAGACCAACGGAACCACAAAGAAAGGCACGCTTTCAACAGATCATGACCTTACTTGAGCTCTTGCTTTGTAATTATGCTGTTTTATAAAGAGGTTGTGGGATAGTTTTAATGATTTTCTTTTAAATAAACTGTATTAATCAACTGGCTAAGAACATATCAATTCAAAATGAACATTCAAGACAGAACCTTTTTGTTTTATTCCTTTTATTGCATATACTTTACAATGATAGATCCATATTTTCATAATAGTTATATACATAGTATATACATATTTATTAAAGATACATTTGATAGTGAATATAAAAGATGATGGTATTTGCAGAATCGTGCATAGAACAAATTGGAATTGGAATTTCAAATCTGGAAAAGAGAGGCACTGTGAAGAATATTGGATGGAATTCCTTTGCATAAAGTCTATTAGCTTGTTTATGTAGAGTCATGAGAAATATATGTACAATCAAAACACTGCATTAGATATATTACATAGGACTCTCTGTATACTAATAGTAACTTTCTTAGAACCACTTATCTGTTGCAAAATCTATCTATAATAATCTATTATGAGCTTTGATGGCATCATCAGGTTGTCCAACATAAAAACGAATTGAAAAAATGACAAAAATCGAGAAGTCTAGATCAAGTTATTGCATAATAGACATATTCACATGAAATGCAAAATGTTAAGATCATCTTGATTCGAAGACAATAGAAAGGCTGGCATAGGTGGTAAACATCTAAAATCAAATCCAGAAAATAACATGAAGATTGGATGCAATGTCTTCAAACTGCAATTTATAATCAACATAACTAGTTCACTAGCTGTCTTCTTACAGATCGATACCTGTAAGTGATGTGTATCATGGAAGATAAATGAAATAATAACTATTAATTAAGGCAACTCATCAGAGGAGTTTCATGATCTGTACAATGTACGGTGCCACCTGGTTCCGCATCAATGTTTGTGAAGTTGGCAGGATTTCAAAGTTTGCATAGATTGAAATATTAGTGAATCGGTGTACAGGTTTAATACTATCATAGGCATGTACAATCAATGAATACTAGTAGACAGATGCAAGTTATAGAGGCGAGTATGGACGGATCTCCAAATTTGAGACAATTATCATATTTTCATATCAACTTGAGAAAGGCAGCTTAGTTGTAATACATGTTTGAACAAATCAGACTTGTATATACAAAAATAAAAAAAATAAAAAAACGTTATGGCTCACGATCAATCCAAGTGTAATGAATTATTGAAGTGAATAGTTGAATAAAATTTTACATCAATTATCTGAGCTACATCTAAAGTATATGCACCAAGTTTAGCATTCTCAATCATTTCAGACCCTTAGGCAGGGTTCTGCACCAAGGCATAAATACATGCATGTACATGTAATAAAGTTGTAAACAGTAGCACAGAAAATACTGAAAAAAACATATTGTAGTGCATAAAATGATGGGATTTCAAATTCAATGATTTCCCAAAGCCTGATTCTATGAAAATGTTACTGCATATGTTAGTAATTCATCAAGGCACATATCTCAATATATGAAATAATGGAAAATAATGAAGAATACTGAAAGAAGTAATGAATGACCGATCTTCGTATATTCTACCTAGCCAATCACAACGAATGAATACCAAAATAATCTGCAAATTCATATTTTGATGCAAGTTCAAACAAGTGAGACAGACATGAATCAACCATCAACGAGTTATATTTCAATGTTTCTTTCAACTACCAGAACTGCAAACTGATAGTTTAAGACTGTATGATAAAAATTGATAAATCAAAATACTGATAGTCATGAAATATATATAGGTGGGTTGAAAATGATTTCAAGTTGCATAGTTAAATCACAATCAATCAACAAAGAAGACTAGATTAGGCATAAATCAAACAGATCAATATAATGTGTAAGCAATATACTGTACAATGTATTGTGTACCAATCAAATTTAAATGAATAATTTACAGCTTAAATAATCCAAATTTAATTTCATTCCTTTGGAGACATTAATTCAAACGTAGAAATGTAGTCTATTAGTTCACTTTAAATAAAACTTTACATGTGGATCTTTGACTCAAATATCCTTTCCGGTTATATGCTTTTAAACGTTAATGTCATCCTTGGGTGGGGTCTTGGCAAAATGGCAGCCACTGGGATGGAGACGATGTGTTAGCCAAAGGTACTGATCACTAGCTCGTCACTTACAAGTGGAGTTCCTAGAGTTCATAATATATTCTGCAGGAGGTCTTTGAAAACCTCAATATATTTGCAATAGTTACGTCCATCTGTCTTTCCTCATGAATAATGCATGAGCTCTAATTTGAATAAATGCAATCAAGGTTTACACCAGTTCCGGTCTTCCTAGGTTCTGTGCTTCATCAGCTAGTTGTAAGGCCTGGACCTCGTCTAAGACGTTCCTAAAGCTTTCCACACTGACCTGTCCTTGATCACTCCTTGAGGTCGCTACCGACCAGAGCTTGTGAAATGTTTCCGGGTCCATCTCCACTCCGATGTCAGAGAAGATTCCTTTGATCTGTTTGGAAATATTAAAAAAGATTGCTTAAAAATTAATATAATCATTTTACATAGCGGTATTACAAACCAAGTAATTGAAAACATGTAGTAATGTATTTGTGCTTACTATTTCAAATATGACATGTGAGGAAGTCATGTTGGTACTAAGGTAACAAAACATGTAGCAAACTTGTTTGTAACCTCCATGAAACTCTAGCAGAGAATATAATTATGTGATTAACTACTAATCTGAATTTTCAAATCATACATAAAAACTAATGTTGAGTTATGTGACAAAATAATGATGGATTTTTTTTCTACTTCATTCACAAATAGCTTAAGCCCATGCATGTTCTAATTTACATTCAAATCATAAATTTTGAAACAGCAAACACACACAACCTAATAGTTTAAAAATGCTGGGGTATGCAACAATGGTTGTATCATTACTTTTTATTATAGATTTAAAACAAAATTTAAAACTAGTTCTTGCCCTTTGATTACATGTTTGTACTTGCCTGTTCAGGTTCTCTTGGCTGAAAGAAGTCCTTCTCATAGATACCCTTGTTACTGTACATGGATGGATTGATAAGACCGAATGCATCAGACTCATCACCATAATTCTTAGTGTCACTGATCCGTTTAGTCCGAGGAGCTGCGATGTCACTGCGGACTGTTGGTACACCATACGTTCTGTAACCTGTTTTTACAGAAAGAAATGTGATAACAAAATCAATGTTATCCCTTCTACAATACATCTGACAAGTTCTTTATTTTAAATTGGGAATGTAACAATATATAATAATATTCTCTGATTTCACACTTGATTACATGGGCACTTTGCAAGGAGTTTCTTCAGATTTGTTTGCTACTGAACCTCAGTTTAAGTTACCTCAACCCTCAGGTCTTTGCATCCTGTGGAGGACATTGATCCTCAAGTTTCCTTTACTGTGTTCTGTCTTGAGCTTTGTCTTGATCTTTGATTTAGCTTAGTTCTATTTTTCTGTCTTTTAGGTCATTATCTATTGTTCTCCAAGATGTAATTATTGGCTTTCCTCTCTTTCTTTTTCCAGCTGGTGGTTTCCAATCAAGAGTTAATTCTGTCTTCTTCCATGTAAGGTACATGGCCAAGCCCTACATCATTCTTTGCTTGCTTGTGATTTATGTTAGAGGACTTGTGTTAGTTTCTTGTCTTACTTCTTCATTCCTAGCACAATCTTCCCAGGTTATCCCCAAGAATACTCTGAGAAACTTACGACGGAATGCATTGAGTCTTAGTTGGTTTGTGGTAAATAGTTAACTTGAATACAGGCCTGTGAAGGTGCTGCCAAAGAGGTATTATGAACTACTATGAATGAGAGTAATCAAAAGGGTATAGTCTACCGAGAGAGAGAAAACAAAAATTAATCAGTGATAAACTTACCCTTTGTAGATACTCCACCGACCACAGCATTGATCATCTGAGCCGATGTTCTATGACCCCCGATGGCTTGGTCTATCTGCTTCTTCAGCCTTTCAGGAGTCCCTTCCTTGCTTTCTTGAGATTCTCCCTTCACAGCAGCAGATGCCGGGTTGGTCAGAGTCTCTCCTTCATTCATCTTGTCCTTCCAGTTGAGGAAGTTTGCAAATTCAAAGTAGTCAATGCAGCCATTGGTGTTAGCATCACAATAGAGGATGAGCTGCTCCAGGAGCTCTGGTTCAATGGGGAGGCTGAACTGATCACAGCAGAGCCGCAGCTCATTGATGTCAATCTTGCCATCACCATTCTGGTAAAGAAAAATAGGAACATGCATGTACTATTTTGAATATCAACTTTAAAAGGAATACAAAGAATATAAAAATGTTTCGCTTTGCTTTTTAAAAAAGTGGTTTCACTTCAACATTGTATATTGGTTGTCTTGCAGCTTTTAATATTTGTATTTTGACAAAATTTTCTCTATTAACTATATATCTATATATAGAGAGTAAATGAGTGCGTTACACAGTTCATTAACCTGGAAGGAGGGATTCTTGAATGTTTGGATTTTCAGCAATAATATCAGCGTGCACACACACTCAAACACATACAACATAATCTGAATATTAATTAAATGCATGCACATGGATTAACAAACATTTCTACTTCTTCTTTTACGGTCTAACAAATTAATTCAAAACTCTATAATGTAAATCTACAAAGTTTCTAGAGAAGTCTCCCAATGGGATAGTCTAGAAATAATCAACCTCTGACATTTACATGATTTGAGATAACAACAAAAGATGGCAAAAAAATTACAACTAAGAACCAAGTCATACCTTATCATAATGGTTAAAGGCTGCCTGTAAGTTGTTGAAGTTGTGATAATTAGCTTTCTTGAGCTGTTGCCTGATAGCAGCTACAAGTCCCCTCTCCCTATCTTTGCCCCTGAGATAGCTGCCTGGGTAACGCCCATGGATGAGATCACCAGCCCCGTATTCATCTGGTTTGAGGAGGACACCGTACGAGTGGTCAGCAGGAACCGTCATGGTCTCTTTGATGGGGTCATGGACCATACCAAGTTGAGGCTGGGTACGCTCACGGAAGTCATCTACACGTTTTGACACCACCTTTGTTCCTTTATCTCTGTGGGGATAATAAAAGTTTTCAATGTTTCAACTGATTAAAAGCACAAACATTGTTTAAATACAGAATAGTACAGATAAATTCATTAAAAATTATGTTGGCTTTTAATACTGTCATCTTGATTTTCAGTACCTATGTAAACATTGATAGCCAATCATTATTCAAACCATTTCCCCCTTTAAACCAAGATAATGTTGTTATCTATCTGGAGGCAATCTTGACTGTTCATTAGTTACAGAGCATCAGTAATAAGGAACACTTACAGATGATCATTTCGCAGCCATTTCAGAGTTTGGGCGACATTCTTGCCATTATTCTCATGTGGAGTGGGGATGCCAAATAATCCATCCTTTGAGTACTGGGACCAGTCGTACTCCCTGTCAACAGGTTCTCCTACATGGAAGTTATGATGTGTCTTTCTGTAGAGTTCACGACCTTCTTCACTCTCGACATAGACTTGCTGGTAGGTCTTAGCAGGACTAACAAGCTCTCCAGCTGAACAATCTAAAATCAACAAAAGAAAACAAACCATTTCATTAAAAAATGTTCTTGTTCTCTAAAATGATATTTTAATAAAGGTTACATGATAAACCAAGAAACCCCCCCCCAAAAAAAAAAAAAAATATATATATATTAAAAAAAAATTGTTTTGATGGGGGTCAATTTGATGATAGGACTGTGAAAATATCAATATCAGTATTGGAAGCTGCTTGCTTCATGGTAGCTAGTAAGCAAGGATCACTTTCAAGATTACTTCACAATTGTATGCCTCATATAAAGAACCTTCCATTGGCTGTATAAAATATAAAAAAATCTTAGTGATTTCATATCTAGTATAGATAGCTTGGCAAAAGTTCTGTCTTTTAAGTAGTATAAAGAGTGTGCAAATATTTGATGTTATGTTTGCTTCATTCAAATCTATAGGTGACAAACAATTTTAAAATGTGCTGCTTACAATTCAGGCAAGGAATACAATTTAATCCACAGGACTCTATGGTAACTTCATCTGATAAAGTTTGATAATGGTGTTTATACTTACCAAAGATATTTGGGGTACCAAAAGTTTTTTCAAGAGTGTTCAAATCCTTGGGAAGGCCAGGTCTCTGATCATGGGATGAGCCAAGCGGTGCTTTCTGCTTACTGGCATATTGAGACTCTTTCTTGTCCGAAAGGCGCTGTGTAAACAGAGTCTTTGGATTGGGGTTGACAACTTCTCCAGCCTGAGAATATGAGAGTTAATAGAATTCTAATCTTAAGACTTTCATAGTACCATCTGGTAGACACAGACTTTAAATGAAGGCTATAAAAGGGAAATAAAAAAGACTACAGAAAAAAAAAAAAAAAAAAAAAACTTTTAAATGGATATAAAACAAAAAGCTAAAATAAAAAGGCAATAAAAGGCTATAAAATGAAATGCTTTCAAACTGTCAATACAAAGATGTGCAGTTTTTAAGATTGTTTACTACAACATATGGAACCCCTGACAACAGACTATTAAAAAAAAAAAAAAATTGGCAACGGGTCCAGAATAAAAATGTTGATAGCAAGAAATTGTAATTTAGCAAGAAGAGCTAAATAAAAAGAACAAAAGCTAGCAATAAAAATAATTTGCTGACATTCTTTTACATACATACCTTCAATGAACCTGTTGTGATGACACCATGTGATACTGTAGAGGCAATATCTGGGTCCTCTGCTTTCCCATAGAAAACCCTTCTCACTTGGGGCTCTGGTCGGGTTGTGTTGCGGAATTTCTTGACCAGTGGTGGGGTCTGAACCTGTAGAAAGGAGAGAATACAAACAAGGAAAAAAGAAATTAGTATGTGACCCACTTATGATATAATTCAATTTCTAGAGCAGGCAAAAGTAATGATGCAAATACATGCATATTCTATTACAATTGAGAATTCTTAAAAATTTGGTCGAGGTAAATCAACTTTCCAAGCAGTTTGAATTGTATCAAATGGCAAAGATTAATTACAAAGCTTCACACCCTACCCATCTATACTGTACATGTACAGTGCCCAAAGTGACTTACATTATAAATAGAGAGTCTAGACTACATGTACATCATTACATGTATTTTTTTGTGTGGAAGCCATCAAGCACAATATGACCAGTTGATTCTGCCTCAGTCTGCCTCTTACTCTTAGAAGTCTAGGATAAAACTTCTACTAATTTCATAGTTTGGAATTTCTTTTCATTTAAACTACACTGAATATATCTAAAATTTCTTCATCCATGATTGTAGCTCAGAGATACTTACTCTTGGAATGTTCATGCAGTCTCTTGTTGTCTCTCCTTCCATTGAAATAAGTTTTCCTGCCTAAAAAGAAAAGAACAATGCAAACTTGTTGAGCAAAATATCTAGAGGTCTTCCAATATACCAATATGTTTTATAGTTGTCTAGAATTGCTTTAGTATGTAGATTTGACAAAAAATAAAAAAGTGAACAAAACAAAAACAAAATTCAATGACTTTGTCCACTCACTATTCATACTTTACAGAAAATGCATGATAAATGAAAAAATAAACAAAGAAATGACAAATATTCTTCCTTAGAATATACATTACTCACACACAAATAGTACACACCAGAGCAACCATACTCACCACCATTGTTATTATGTTCAAAATTGGACAGTATTTACCGGTAAAAAGTGGTAAATACTAGTAAATACCGAAGCGGAAAATATGCCAACCCTGGCGCCAGGACACCCAACTCCCAATCATTCATAATCATATTATTACACAGTGTTTGACTTCTAATTTTTGATCCCGGATAACCTGTCTGACTGTGAAAAGTGGACTCACGACGCGATGTGTGGGTCGAATCATGTGTAGCCTGCAGTTGTCACTTAGTGGATGTAGATCTAGATCTAGAATCTACATCATACGATTAAGACCATCATGACCGTAGTACTCAAGTCTATTGAAGGAAGTAGTCAGGCCACCATTAACCAGGCAGTAACCAATTCAAGTTATCAAGTTATCAAGTTAGAATTTAGAAAGGTATTGGAGAAAGTAACATTAACAATTAATGCAATTACTAGATCTAAGTTTGAACCATACTTGAGACAGGATGGAACAGTAAAGAGGGACAAGCTTCCAGTCTCAACACCCAAGTAAGTATAGTTGAGAATGCCCAGGGGATGACAAACATTTAACAATTTGAATTTTTATTTTGTTAAAAAACTTACCGCAGTCATGTCAGAATTTCTGTCCTTGAACTTTCCTGTGTTGCTGGCTATTATGGCCTCACTCCCTTGTGAGTTTGGAGGTGTTTGTCTAAGAATGCCATTTGTAGGAGGAGAAGCAATCGCAGCCATATTTTTGTCGATATTCTTCTTTTTGTATGTGTTGTTACTGTTCACTTGCGAGGTCGAACTTGCACGAAAAGCAATCGGCTCCCTGACTGGAAGAGCCCCCGGGAGATCAGGCGTGGATACTCTTCAAACTCCGATGGGCCCGATGGAAGACGAATACTGCACTACACGTAGATCTACACTACAGTTAAAAGCGTTCTATTTCCCTTATATTTGTTAGCTAAATTGGTAAATTTGTCATTAAAATAAACCTAAACTAAGAACTGATTGTGTAAATCGACATAAAACTTCCAATGCTAATTCAAACACCTGTAAAACAGTCGGACCCCAGTCGAGTTGAGTTGGTCAGCTGTAGAATTGCGATCGCGAGATCGAGAGATAATAATAATAACACGTTGTTTATGGCATAATGTTGCTAAGGCTCTTTCAATACAATATATTTCAGAAGCAAGTTAAAAAAAGATAAATCATATAATGTGTTTTCAAAATAATCTATAAAAACAGGTATTTTTATAATACTTTATTTTCAAATGAATATTTATCATTGCTTGTTTATTAAAATCACCAATTTTGAAAAATATTCCGATATTAATGAAGATGAAAAATACTTATCATCTCGTTGTACTACACATTATTTTCTCGTAAATAACGTGAATCCCGTGATATGACGTAATGCAGGTGGGGTTTCACGATTGCGCACAAGGGCTTTTATCTTCCTGTTGTAAAAAAATAGTGTATGAAAGGCATAAAACCGTACTGAAAATACGTCATTTGGTAAGAAAATTTGACAATTTATGTGAGGGAATGTTTTATAAAATTATAAATCTTACTGAAAATGTTCATACTATCAGTCTGAATGTTATAATAACGTGTATAATGTACCATGACTTAGGGGGTGTCTCCGGCCAGCACAACTTTTGCCATAGGGTTTTATACATGGTAGATCTAACGTCAGGTTGTGTTATGTTGACGTTCGCCACACCGGCAGAGCCGGGGTCACGAACAGTGTGTACGTCGAACGTAGTGGATGCGCGATCACCTGTGCAAGCGCAAGGGTAATGTAATGCCCAATGACGTTGTCATGTCCGAGTCAGTGCCGGGCTTTGGGACACGGAATCATCTCTGTTTCTGATATGTTGTAGAGACTAAAACTTAATGTCACTGTAATCTATGCTAAAACACAATTCTTGGCATTGAAATGATAAAAAAACAAGTTTGGGCACTGGCCACTTCGGCCGGGCGCTGGTCCGAGAATGAGGATTGTCCGCATAAACGAGGATAAATTGCGTCCTAAAAAATAAGGATGGTCTGCATTTTCGTGGACGTCTTTTTTCATCGGTGCTCTGCGGTTTCAGGTTCCTGAACTGCAGGCTTGTGATGCGAAAAAACGGATTCCGCGTAGATCTACAAAAAATAACCCCAGTTCACTGTCTACTAATAATGGGTAACTCCGGGAAGCTCCGACGCCGATGCCGAAGGCTTCGGGTTCATGCATCAAAAAACATTCTAACAGCGGGTCGGGTGACATCTCAAAATATGCAAAGGGAGTAATTACAATTTTGACTTGCTAGGTTGCTTGACTCCTCTGGGCATCTAGCCGGCAACTTGAAATTATTATAATTTGAAGAAGTCTTCGATGGGAAAAAGGGGGTGATTTTTTGTCCTATCCCGATGATTCTTCCATGCTGTTTCGTTGATTCAACCGGCGAAGAGAAAGTACGCACTACCGCGCTTGTGTACTTATTGTCTGCGTGTCTTAGAAACGTCTGCAAAAATGCAGACGATACTTTTTTGTGTGGACGCGTTTGCCGCGTTTACAAAGACTATCCTTGTTTATGTGGACGATCTTGATTCTCAGACTAGCGCCCCTACTGCTCACCAGGCAGTAGGGGCGCTGGTCCGAGAATGAGGATCGTCCGTATAACCAAGGATATCCTCGTAAACGCAGACAAATCGTGTCCTGAAAAATGAGGACGCAGACATTTTTCTTCATTGGCGCTCTGCAGGTTTCAGGTTCCAGAATTGCATGCTGCCGATGCAAAAACAAATTTCACGTAAAAAATAACCCCAGTTCACCGTCTACTTTTCTGGGTTGTCTGTCTTCCCGAGGATTTATCACTCATATTAGGGTGTCTGATCGCGCACCCGATGTTGTGCGCTAAAATACTTCCCATAGAGATTGCACGCATCCCTATGCAGTCTACGTGCATTGCGCGACCATGAAAATTGGTCAATGATTTTATGAAAAAAAATTGAAATTCAAACCTTTGGGGCTTGTGATCCTGAAGGTAAAACTCAATAAATGAGGTGTCATATGAAAGAGCAGGTTTTTCTCCATATTCCCCAAAGGGGCGCACCCCCGAAATTCTCAAAATATCTTGGTCAAAACAGCGATTTAAATGTTGTTTGCATCCTAGCTCCAAAATTTGCCACTTTCCTGAGCTGCGCCCCCCGGGCTTATGTCCGGCTAGACGTAAGGAAAATATGTATGCACTTATTTTTTCGCTAGCCCCAAGAGATCACTCGCCCCAACAGTTTAAAAATACCCTTCCCACATTTTTGGAATCAGCTAATTAGGGAGGCGTGAGCTCCGCTCAGTCCAAACCATGGTTACATCGCGTAACATGTGCGCTTATAGTGAATGAAAGTATGGATGGCCGTTCCCACCATAAACCCCGGAAGTGAATACACGTTATAGTCAATGGCAATATCGCGGAGACATCTCCGCGATATTGCCATTGACTATAACGTGCATTCACTTCCGGGTTTTTTGTGCGACGAACGCTAACCATACTAGTCAATGGCACGTGTCGCGGAGACAGCGTAGCTCAAGCTTGCAAGTCGCGCATTGGCTTAGCAGCATGCGTACGATATGCATACGCTTGCATATCGCGCGATACAGCTGTTTGGCTAAATTTAGCAAAACAACATCACTCTGCGTGGACGTCTTTTTCGTCGATTTTGACCAAAATGATATGAATATACCAGCATTTTGGAGGGGCTGTATCTTTTGATTGAAACATCGGTGAAGCTTCAAATTTGAAATGTATTATTCTGATTACACTTTTTATTCAAATATCAAACAAAAATGGTGAAAAACGATCCCAAATTGAAAATTGAAAAATCGTTCAGACACCCTACTCATATTAGGATGTCTGATCGTGCACCCCGATGTTTTATGCTAAAATCCTTCCCATAGAGATTGCACACATCCCCATGCAGTATATGTGCAATGTGCGATCATGCAAAATTGGACAATGTTTTTATTTAAAAATTGAGATTCAACCCTTTTTTCTTGGGATCCTGAAGGTAACACTCAATGAATGAGGTGTCATATGAAAGAGCAGATTATTTTCCATGACAAAGTCTCTGTTTAAAGTCAATGTAAAATGCATCAAGAAAATCATCGCCAACCGGCCAACGCGTGGATTGGAAATATGAAACGTCTGCGAAATGAGGACGATCCTTATTTTTGCGGACGCATCTGTCTGCATTTACAAAGATGACCCTTATTCTCAGACGAGCGCCTCTACTGACCACCGGGCAGTAGGGGCGCTGGTCTGAAGATGAGGATCATCCGCATAAACGGGGATATCCTCGTAAACGCAGACAAATTACGTCCTCAAAAATAAGGATTGTCCACATTTTCTCAGACGTTTTTCTTCATCAGGGCTCTGAGCTGAGGGATTCGGGTGCCTGAACTGCGCGCTGTGATGCAAAAGACAGATTCTGCGTAAAAAATCAACCATCTAATTTATGGGTTGTCTGTCTTCCCAAGTATTTATCGCTCACAACATGAAAGTCTCTGTACAAAGTCAATGTAAAATGCATCAAAAAAATCATGGCGGAATCTGTTTTTTGCATCGCCAACGCGGGGATCGGAAATATGAAATGTCTGCGAAGATGCGGACGAATCTTATTCTCAGACCAGTGCCCCTACTGACCACACCACTCACCAGGTCCAGGTCAATGACATTGGTTGTCTTTTGTCTGTTTTTAATCACCATTTATTTAATTTTTAGTGTCAATAAGGATTAAGATATCAAAATAATATTGCTAGTGACATTCGTTTGTCTCGCAATGTATGGTCAACAAGGGATCTAAAAGATCATGACATTTTGTGTGCCTCTGCTACACTTCGTCAGGTGATAAAATATATTGTAAGCAAGCAATAACGGACAAGGCCTAGTGGTCAATGCACACAGGCGCTCAACCAATCAAGGGGCCATTGGCTCGGCTCACCTTCCAGGCAAGAACAATGACATGCTCAATCAATCAACTGGTCCCTGGCACGATGCGGGCTGGCTGTGTTATTGTTCTAATTATTTGACCGCCGGTCCACCCGTAGAGTATACAACACGCTTGCTTACAATGTATTTTATCACCTTACGAAGTGTAGCAGCGGCACACGTAACGTCATGATCTTTTAGGTCTCTTGTTGACCATACATTGCGAGACAAACGAATGTCACAAGCGATATTATTTTCGATACTATATCTGCAATTAATAATATATTTAGCAAGAATTAAGATGCTGCCATGTCACTTCGACTTTTGTCACTAGGAAGTAGAAGTAGGTAGCCCTAGGGCCAGATGTGCAGGTATATATGTATGAAGGCTTGCGACACGGGTAGCACGCACAGATTGTTTCGCACCGAGCCTGACATACTGGCATGTGCAGATGCTACGTGCTGTCACCTTGGGTGTGGGCTGAGCGGAGCTCACGCCTCCCTACTTAGCTGATCTGAAAAATGGAGGGAAGGGTATTTTCAAACTGTAACCGCTTGTAAAACCCTTGGGGGCAGCGAAAATATAAGGGCATGGATATATTCCTTACAGCTGGTCCAACTTAAAGGGCAAGTCCACTCTAAAAATAACTTACTTTCAATAGAAGCAGAAAAATCAGACAAACCAATCAAAAAAACTGATAATAAAGTTATGAATTTTTAATGACATGAAAAACGTTGAAAATCACAAGACAAATTGGCAACTGACTCATGAGTCTGTGACGTCATGTCCTCACTATTTGTAATTCAAATTCATGAAACTGCATTAACAATCACAATTTTTCAATGCGGTTTTGTGAATTTGAAGAAAAAATAGGTGAAAAAAGTCTACATACATGTATACTGTACAGTTTGTTGTACTGTATGTGCACAGTGCATTTCATTATATACAAAATACAACATTTTCGTGTCGGGGTATCAGGGGATTCTTTTATTTTGGTTGGTTATATAATTAATGAGGAATTCATATTTTTCAGGAATGCTTATTAAAGATGAAGTTGAGTTCTGGTCATGCGATTGCATTGTGAAAGAAACGGTGTGGAATTGACCAGAAAAGGTTGATCATCTAGCATATAAGAATTTGTGTGTATTGCAAGGTTCTGGAATCATCAAAATGATAAGAAATTTGTTCAAGTCTTGGTAAAGTTACAAACACTGTACACAGAAAGATGTATGGGACTACACAAACATGTGTTGTAAAAATCCTACCCCCGAGTTTTATGATGTTACATGACATACCGTATTTGCCGGCGATAAGGCCGTAGGGCTGTATAGGCCGCACCCCCGATTTTGACATTTAAAAAAAAAAAAAACTCTTTGTCGAAGTCGGGATTTGATCTCTTGCGTAGAAGTGTTGATTTGACTAAAATCACAGCCTTAGACCGCTCGGCCATCCCGCACTGATGCTAGCTCATGTAGTGTTTTGTGATGTATACATTGCGCCTTTCTCTTGTGTATTGAAATGGATTCAAAATAGCGACTTCGCGTGCTGGATGCTTCGCGGCAGCTCCGTTAAACAGGCCCTTCTTTTACTTTTGCAATGCATTGGCACAAACTTAGATCTATCGGCAAATGTTGTCTTTGGAAGTTTATTTTCATCTTCATGTCAACAATGCAGGATAAAATTGTCGGTAAGATGTGTGGAAATGTATAGTTATTGTACCGTTCGTAGATCTAGTCCCATATGTGCAAATTCGTGCTGGTTTTGACTTACTTTTTAATTTTTTTTACTCTTTCGTCACATAGGCCGCACCCCGACTTTTTGATATTTTCTCTTACAAAAATATTGCGGCCTTTACGCCGGCAAATATGGTATTTAGAATATGAAGGCATTTGAAGAGCCATACTCTTCAGGGAACATGTCTTATCTGATGTTCTTTCACACTTGCATAATAAGAATGATAACGATCACAAATTATTTTTCACCTCTTTCCAGAACTCAACCTTCTCTTTCATCCCCTTTCTGCAGAATTTGTGAATAACGCTAAAATCGGAAGACATAGAGGTGAAACTCTTGTTACCAGTGGCCATTGGAGAAGCATATCTTCTGGTGGAAGTAGCGTAGCAGATGCTCCAAAGGCTACCTCCAGTCCAGTCCTGACGACATCATTTTGGTGGAGTCTGCACACACACACGAACACCCTATTTTTCTGGACTATTTGTCACCGGTATATGTTGAACAATGGCTAACAGGGGAGGAGCACAAAGACCGAATGGCACCCAGGGCAAGATATGTCAGTTCAAACTGGTGCTTTTGGGAGAGTCTGCAGTAGGAAAGTCCAGTTTAGTGTTACGGTTTGTCAAAGGCCAATTCCACGAGTTCCAAGAAAGCACAATAGGAGGTAAATATCAGATGTGTCCTTTTGTATAGAAGATAGGTAACATTTGTGACATGTCATTAATGTTGTTACCGTTATTATTATTGTTATTATCTAGGCAATTTTTCATCCACCATATGCGTGGGTGTATACAATTATGCTAGAAGTTGGAGTTTGTATTGTATCAGCATGTTGACTGTAGTTGTGGAAATTAGTGCTGTAGTCAAACGTTTAACCGTCCGGTATCCGACCGCCCATGGCGGATTCCGTTTACAATTGGACGGATTCGTTTTCCCATTTTTTTATTTTTTTATTTTTTTTTAAGTTTCGATTTATGCCCCTCCACCTGGCACTATGCCTGGCAATGTCTCCCAGCTCAGTAATCTGTGAGTTGACTCACCACTCCGAAACTAGAACAACACTCCAATTTGTCTGTCATCTTGGTTTGAAAGTAATCTTTGTAATTGATCTCAATATGTAGTTTATAATAATATTTCATCCAACTTTTACACACAGCGTACCACAAGGTTCTATCCTAGGTCCTCTACTGTTTTTAATTTACATTAATGATCTTACACATTCTTCTAAAAACGACATTGTTACTATTATTTGTGACAAGTTCACAAGCACAAATGGCGCCTTTTTTTTATTTTTTTTTTTAATCGTTTAACCGAAAACCGTCCGGTTTTAACTGGCGGTTAAACGGAATTGGAGATATCCGTGATGTTACAGCACTAGTGGAAATGGTACTGAGTTTTTGCTCTTGACTATTTTGAATCATCCAGAGGATTCCACCAGATTAGTAGAATCCATTGAAAGGAAAATAAAACAAAACAAGCAAATAGTATTACAGTGCACCCCTGTCCATAGTTCATGTTGAATTATGTTAGCTATTTTAAGTCACTCATAATTCATGTGTTTAAAATGCCAGTATCGTGCAGCTGCAGGTCTTAAGTCTGTGAAAAGAAGAGATTTGATCCATACATGGATGTTGTTGTTGTTGAGGTGCGGTGGCTGTACACTTGTACTGTATGTACTGCATTATTGTAGAGATGTCATGATGCCAGACGTAGATTCATATTTAGACCTACTGTAGTGCTGTGTAATGACACCCGAGTATTTGTTACAGCAATGTGATAATTTTGCTTAAACACCACTTGTTGTTTGGGAGTACTATTAGCTCATTGAAGAAGGTGATGTTTTGATTAATGAGTGTTGATTTTGGAACATCCATGTACTTGAAACAATCATTGTACACAAAGATGTATTGTATTTCAAACATATGTACATGAATCTTTGTTTCCCCACCAATGCAGTAACTTGTGAGCTTGTCAATTTACATGTGTTGCAGGGTGGTTCCCATAGCAAGCTTCCAGCCGAATGACAAAATATGCGTACCTGGGTTAATATTGGTATTACAGTATCTCATATGAAGTTATTTTCATCTATTTTTGGCAATGTCTAATGCAATTATCATGCCTCTGAAAGTAGAAAATCTAGGGTAAAACTTAAAAGAGAACGTGTGAACTGCTGTTTTGATTCATGCAGGATTAAAGAATTGGGTTGCAAAACAATGATGTGGGAAAAAGAAATCAGCTCTGTAAAAATTTCTTTTTCATGATTATACTTATTCAATATTTGATAATCTTTTAGATAATGCCGTAAGTTAAGAGCTCTTTTGGCTCACGACATCGGTAGTGGATCAAAAAATCAGGAGAGAGATATGATAAAAATCTGCATTAAAAAATTACAATAAATTTGTTACACTGTGATACCTAAAATCACTCATTCCTTGCATTATTCTCTCATTTGATGTTTTTGTACCGTAGTCTGTATTTTAATTTTTTAATCTATTTTCAATGTAAAAAATTAGTCTAAATGTAGAGGCAGAACATGGGAGCTGCCATTTTGGATTGTTATGACAATGAGGGGGAGGGGGGGGGGGGGGACGCAGGTATGCCTATATAAAAACTAAAAAGGGTTTAAATTTTACCAGATTTTCGTAATCCAATATTCAAAAACGTGCATGTGTACCTGGGATTTTTTTGTCATTTGGAGTTGTCATAGACCATGTTTGTTGATGTTTAGTGCCTGTTCATGCCTCTGAATACAAGCAAGCCGCCATTTTGGATTATAATGACATTATTTTAGCCTCTGCAACTGTTCCAAGTATCTCTAACCTTTGTTGTGTACAACAACAAAAATCATAAATTTTCACTTTTTTTGTAAATTCAAAAATCATATCTGCACCTACCGGTATGTAAGCTCTATTATAGAAAACATATTTTTCACATCACTTAATGAGAAATGGTCTACATCACCAACAACACTGAAAATGGAAAGTTATGGAATTGTCAGTAGACTCAGTACAAAGTAAATTGTACAGATGCATGTACTACCATATACATGTATGTTACAGAGTTGCCAACTTGCACTTGAGTGATTAAACTTTGAATTTTTTTTTATTAAACTTTGAAGTCAGGAGTTTAACTTGAGAAGCCCATTTGTACGAGACCCCTGTTAGTTGTCAAGCCACGAGTATAGGGAAGAATTAGAGTGATAATCTTTAGGGGTAGTTGCGGCCCCCTATGAATAAACAGTGCACAGTGGATGGCCGGTCATGAGTCTTATGGCACAAGAGATGCCTAGTGATTCCTGACATAGGGTATTGATTGTACATGTAATTGCTTACGTTTTTTAATTAAAAAAAAAAAAAAAAAAAAAAAATTACATACCGCACGTCAAACAACTGCCCTAAAATGGTGATTTGATCACAAATTCAACAGAAAACTAAATTTAAAAAATACTTGAAAAGAAAAATATTCCCCAAAAGAATGAAATGCTGATAATACCAGGCTGCGACAGGTAGTCGATTGCTCGAGTATCCGCACGGTTGACAACTACTCGGATATGATTTCTCGTACCCGAATATTCGGCCGCAAAAAAAAAAAAAAAAAATCTGTCCAGGCCGACGCTTACCCATGCCAGGGAGAGAGGCGGCCGCTGAAACGAGACGTACATGTACATGTAGTTGTCATGCAGCGCAGTAGACCGTAGGTCTGAGGTGGCAGTATGCACAGAGAGAGAGAGAAGAAATGCGGGGGCCTGAGATCACGAGATATCACATGATCTCATGCCCGCTAGTGCTGTGCACAACAGTGTAATGAGGTACCCGAGTACACTCCCAGGCTCACAGGCGAATACTCGAGTATTCGGACGCCATATTTTTTTATAATTTTTTTGAATTTTTTTGAATTTTTTTGAATTTTTTTGAATTTTTTTGAATTTTTTTTGAATTTTTGGATTTTTGGATTTTTTTTCTTTTTTTTCTTTTTTTGCCACTACCATACCTCTCGGCAGTTTCTCAGGTCCCTCGCTGAAAACGCATGCAACTTTACTTTGAGTTGCAGTTGAAGGCGCCGATTTAATAAGAATAATAACAGTAAACAATGCTGTTTTAAAAACCAAAGATGGCAGAATAATCCATTTTCCTCCAAGTCCAAACAGAAATCTGGACATTTGGTCCCAGTTTCTGAAAGGTGAGTTTGACAGTGCTTGAGTTGGGAAACATTTTTACCGACGGTACCATGCCAGCGGACGCTGCTCTCCCTGGCACGGGTAAGCGTGGGCCTGGACATTTTTTTTTTTTTTTTTTTTTTTTTTTTTTTTTTTGCGGCCGAATATTCGGGTACAAGGAATCGTACCCGAGTAGTTGTCAACCGTGCGGGTACTCGAGCATTCGACTACCCGTCGCAGCCTTAATGCCCGCACATTTTTTTTCTCTCTCTGCATACTGCCATCTACGGTCTACTGCGCTGCATGACAACTGTCTCGTTTCAAAATGATGGCTAGCTGAACTCGATATTGAGTACGTAGCTCATGAGATACCATTATTTCTATAAGATATTATGAATATCTATAGTATTATTTGTCAAAGCAAATAATTATTTTATGGTAATTTTGTTGAATTGGAGTCCCTTAAAGTCTTACTCGATGTTTTTTAATTGGTTTAATGCTTAATGTTCCGATCAGCTCGGATGACGGTGTAGCGATGTAAACAAAACTTGACTCGTAACTTCAGCTTGCCGTTATACACGCATTTTTGGAACAAACGGAAGGCACTACGATGTTATTTCAAGGGCTTTAAATTATTTTCCTTCATCAAAATATCAAGGCTAAACCATTATGTTGTGGATATATTTTGACAATTAAATTAATGTCTATTATGCTATTAGTATTACCATTTAATTGTAATAGTCTGATCAATATTTTAGTCTTGTGTGTGGGACTTTCTTAACTTGCTCAGTCTTCAGTGGGTCATATTTCCACTTAAGTTTCTGAATGCATTCAGTCAGTACCATGCACAAAGCATGATTCCTTTCTTGCAGCCTCAATTTTGAGTGATAAAAAACCTACTGTCAGCTAAAACGATATTCATTTATTTTTTAAAGCATCTTAATTTAATTCAATTGATTATTTTATTGTTTTGGAAGCAGTAACTGTCGTTTCCGTCACATTATTAGAACAGCAACTTAGTCTAACTCGCGCCGCTGCATGCACACAATTTGTAGTGTCAGTGCAGTGGTGAAAATTTCGGGTACCCGGTCCCCGCCCGAAATTTTCAAGTCAAACCCGGGTTCGGCAAAACCCGTGATGACTCGGGCCTAGTACGTACATGTGTACGTATCCACCTATAGTGGCATATAATCGTGACGTTTTATTAACACGACAGTTTACAAAATTGACAAGAGTCATGTGTCCCGCTTGCATGAGTAAGGCAAAAAAATGAAGTTAATTAAGGAGAGGTTTTAAGATGATACTATTGTTAATGTGGGAGATGGATGGCTGAACCAAATTTGGGATTTATTTAGCCAACTTGACTGGACCAGTCATTTGCCTAAATGATTTTCAATTTTGATTTCTAGTGTTGAGTGTATGTTTAGGAATAAGCCTAAATTGATAATGATCAGTAGCTTTTTAGATGTCCCAGTTACCCCAACCCATGCCATTTTTACCCTGATGAC